TGTTCGCTCTAGCTCTTCACAGCGTCTTTGCGACTGCAAGAGAGTGCGTTCCAGATCGTCTGCCCCTGGTTCACGTTGCTGGCTCGAGGTCAGTTCCTCTTGCTGCGGGGGGCTTCCATGCAAAAAAACGCTGATGGGGCATTGCATCAACTTCAAACCTTCAGAATTGCGGCCAATAGTTTCAAACCCCAAGCCTGTCCAAGCAGCCTCCGATGTGCGCAGGCTGGCCAAACGGAACACGCCTGTAGCGTGCTGCGCCAACAGTTCCAAGAATCTGCGACACAACCCGCGGCGTCGGAAGCTCCCTTCAATGGCCAGTTTTTCGATCCACAATCCACCGCCCTCTGCCCAAGCCTGCGCAAAGCCAGCCAACACCGTGTCCTTTGTGAGGGCATAAATCTTCCCTCGCACATTGCGGCCCCAACCAATGTTCTGACAAAACTCCCTCTGGGACAGCCGGCCGACTTCCTTCAGTAAATCCCCAGTCGGATCTGCAACAATTTGAAGCCCGTGCCACTGGCACTTGAAGACGGCAAAAAAAACCTCCGTGATTGCAGCCGCCACCGCAGCTACCCAGTTGTTCTGCCTGACTATGAGGGGGCCAAGGTCAAACACAGCTGCCTCCAGGTCCATCGAGGGCATGAAAGGAGATCGCGCCTGCATCCGAGCCAGGACTATGGCCACCACCAGTCCAACTTCGAAAACGCACAAAACATGGCAAGCCAGCATTCCGAAATGAAGGCGATGTTTGCAGAATGGCAAAATTGCAATCACGAGGACAAACCAAGCTTGTGGAAGGACCCTGAAATGGACAATCGCGAAACAATTTTCTCCATCACCAGTGCATTGCAAACTGGCTGGGCCATTTGGAATTGTTGTAATCACAGACAGCCATCTTGTGCATAAGATCCAGCACAACACACAGCTGCAGAATGTCAGAAGAGCGGATAGCATAGACATTGCCATGGCTAGTCAAACCAGTCTCAAACTGGAAAGGACAGGACCTGTTGGAAACGAGTGCAGGAAAAGAGATGCTGCACATGCCTGGTTTTCCAAACGTTCGCGCGTTGGATGTATGATCTGCTTTCAGTATGGAACAGTGGATGATTTCCAACTGCCGAACTACTCGATGACTGGATTAAAATGTGTGCCTTTCCAGCCAAAGCATGGGCAGACAAAGAAATGCAATGACACTTTAATGCATGAAAATGCCAGGCAAGTTCATTGATAGACCAAAAACATCTTCAACGACTTCCCAAATGTCCAACGTGCCAAATGAGGAACTGTAGCCCCTATGTTTATAAAGTCCCAAGCAGAAACCCATTGAACAGAAGTCCCTGAATACAAAAAGGAAATCAAAACCGGAGATCATAAGAACCCCCGGAGAGTCATTTTTGGGCTTCAAAAAACACCAGCCTGAACTACGGCCGACAATGGGATAGTTTACCTTTACATTCACTATCATTCCAGTAATGTCTCACCATGAGGTCATTTAAAAAAAAAAACTAGCTATGTATTTCCCAACATGCTTGGTAATATGTGCATACATCATATATCAAATATTATATACATATTATATATAAATAATATATATATATATTCATCTGGCTGAATTACAATGATTCACCAACTTGGGAATAATTACAATATATCATGTCATAATTTTATGTGGTTAAAACAATGCCATAAACCATCCCCCAGTCATCACCATTTTTATAGGTGCTATGGTTACCATTCCCAGTCATGGGTGGTTTATTCTTGTTTTAACCACATTATATGGACATCAGGACATCCCATGGAAATTGTCCCATGTCATCCCCATCCCAGCTTCGCGGCCTCCATGGTGACTGCTGTAGGACCAGTGAGAGGAATGGGACGAGCCATGCATTCCTTGCGCAGGAATAGAATTGTAATAGGAAGTTGCCAAATTCGCGGTTATTCCAGTACAAAATAGGGGTTACAGTAATTCATATTATTTAACGTGAAAAATCTAGTTAAATCATGTCAAATCATGATAAATCAGCTTAATTGCATAGATTGTTGCTGGTTGAATCCCATAAAAGTATGTCAAAATTAACAGGCTACGATGCCAAAAATGTCCTCCATCACTGGGATAGCTTTGGCTCACCGCCATTCCTGGTGCCCCAAAATGGCGCGCTTGCGCCGGGTCGGTGGGTGGAAATGGGCGTGACTCGCATGGGGTCTACCATGGTATACCATGGTGTCTATATACTACATATGGTACACCATGGTATAATACAGTATGTAATATACTCGCATGGGGCATGGCAAAGTGGTTTCATCCTCTCATACAAGGCATTCGAAGCCAGTTGAGCCCCTTTTCAGCATTCGGCACAGGCAAGCGTACCAAAATCTCCTCCATTTTGGCTGTATCCTCCGCCTGTGATTTCCATTCCTGGCCGCTGTGCTGTTCCAAACTATGATTCTGCATGCATCCGTCAATCTTTCTCTGCGTGAAAAGACGAAACAAAAAAGGCAACTTGAAGAAGAGAAAATAAATGTCCTCCATTTTGGCTGTATCCTCCAACGGTGGTTTCCATTCCTGGCCGCTGAAACGTGGTAGCATCTGGCTACCAACTGGCTACAGTACCAACTGGCTACCGCCTCAGCTCAGTATGACATGGATCATCTCCGGGACAAAAATCTGTTGAAGCCATCAGATGGCCAAGAATCCCAATGCCTTTTTTGGGTTGGGGGTCACTTTTTTCAGAATCCAAACTGCAGCGAATCTTTGGTTGATCAGCATCCCAGGCAAGATATTTACAGTGAACCCCCCCAGAGGTTAATGAAAAATGCATCCCCCGAAAGTCGGTGCATCATTTTCCCAATCAGTCCATGGCCACTTTACGGAAAAAACACCATCTTTTGACCGAAAGATCATGAAAATCGAGTCGGAAAAAAAGTCGACTCGATCTCTCCAACCAAAAAAATCCCACGAGTTGCCCCGAAATTCTTGAAACCTTAAAGTGGTTTTAAAATGACATGTTTTTAACCACCCCAGAATGTTTAAAATGGTTTAAAAAGACATGTTTTAACCACCCCAGAATGTCCTTAGATTTCCCACTTGTTCTTAATTTTCTTCAATCCGAATTGCTGTTTGATTGGATTGGTTTAAGGGAAAATCTTCACCGGAAACCAGAGTGATTTTCCCATTAAATAATCATGGGGCTTAAACCAGTACCCTCTGGTAAATTAACAGTTCGACCCTGGCAGTCATCGGGGTTGGAAGACTAGTTTCCAGTAAAATTTGGCTATTTTCAGGCTCCAACTGTTCATTTACCAGAGGGTAAATTTTCCCAACAAAACCAATCCGAATTGCTGGTACCTCCAACCCTCGATGGTTCCACCGTGCTGTCGCCAGTTAAGGCTCCTCTGGAGCCACCGGGGAAAAGCATGGGAAAAGCCCATGGGAAGGATATGGGACTTTTTAAGCGACCAAAAATGGTGCTTTCACCAAGAAGATCCATGGTTTAATGGTGGTTTAAATGGTGGTTTAACCAAAAATTTCTGGTGTGTCACTCAAAAACTATAGAAAAAAAACAAAGCGACCTGGTGGTTCTGACGAATTCATGATATTCATGGTACCTGGTGGTTCATTTTGCCCACGAACATCGAGGATTCATCAGCACTTCAGTGGTGGTCGATCCTTAAAAGACCACCAAAGAGCTTCCGCAGTGTCCCAGTTGGCTGGTGATGTCGAAATCCATCTAAGTACAGATGCATCCACTATGATCAAGGGTGATTTCCCATCCATGTTTGACTAAGGATAGCTTTTTTGCAAGACTGGTGGGTTCAACCCATCCCAAACAATTCGGAAATTTGCATGATCGTCCCAAATAGTGGGAAAAAACATGTGGGAAAATATAAGACATCTTTGAAATCATCAACCAGAAGATATTGAAGACCTTTTCAGCCATTGGAAGCCCCATTTGTCTACCCCTTCGCAGGCCTTCTTCATAGTGCACCTTCGTACTTATTGGAACACCTGCTGCACCGCAATTTTTTCAAGGCGCCCATGGAAATCCCTGTGGAAACCTCCTGACCCATCTTCACTGCTGTCGCTTCATCGCTTCACCCACCTCTTTCTCAATGGATTGCTAATACAACCAGAATTCGATAGGAAAGCCATGTTGCTTTGCATCTTTTCGCTCTCACATATGGCCCAGACCTCTACAAACTCTTGAAACCGTCTTTAGGGATCTTCCAGATGAGGAATGCGCCAATTTATGGCATATTTTACCCACATGTCAATGTGCAAAATGATGTTCTCCACCTATTTTGGGTGGGACACCCCCTATCTGTTAAGACAAACTAATCCTCAAACCTGATTCTCCATTCTGGTTGGTTAGATCATGTTCAACCCCCAGAATTGCATGATATAGTTCATGTTTATATGTTTAATCAAGTATTATCTTAAGATGGAACTGGATGAACCGTATCTACCACCGTTTGCTTGTCACAGAATAATACAGAATGTATAGTCAAACTCCCAGGTGTTTCATAGGTAGTGATGATCGGATTTTGCCACCACCGACCCAAGCCTAGTAACCATTTGGGGGCCAACATGATCCCAGTTCCAGGGGTAAACTCCCAGTGGGGATGGTTTTAGTTCCAGAGTGTCTCATAGTCCTGAAGTCTCCATTGATCATTGGGTTCATCTCATGACTTTGTCCATTACCCTCTGGTAAACTAACATAACTATGGAAAATCACCATGTTTAATGGGAAAATCCACTATAAATGGTCATTTTCAATAGCTATGTTAAATTACCAGAGGGTAAATTAGAATAAACAACTTCGACCACGATCTTAGTCAGGAATTTACTTTCGGATCTCTCTGGGGCAAAGGCTCTACCCATAAATTTCAGACAAACCCTTAAGTCGAATGATCAACATCCGTTGATCGGCCAACTGTATCCAACTATTCATAAGTCCAGAAACCCATCTATACCCCAAAATCTCATGGCATCTCATGGTTCATCAGGTCCATGGCCATCTTCCCAGCAATCCATGGCCATTTTGCCGGGCAAAATGCCCCAAGTTCACTCGACCCGACCAGCTCCCACCTGGTATCGGCGTGGAGTGTGCCTCCAGGAACCGCACGCGCGTGCGGAAGCCGTCCCCGCCGCAGCTCACCGTGCATTCGCCCCAGTTCTTCCAGTTTTGCCAACCGCCTGAGGTGTTTCCGTCGAAGCTGGGATAAGCTGGGGCCCAGTGCTTGGTGGCTCATCCCACTTAGTAAGTGGGTTATAACCCCAGTTATAAATGGGATAAGTAGGGTAAATCCACTTATAACTGGGGTTATAACCCACTTACTCAGTGGGATGAGCCACCAAGTGGGCCCCAGTAGGGGCCGAGCGTTGGTGAAGACAACCATAAATTCGATGGTTGATGTTGAAATTGGGGCTGACACAGCAATTTTACTGGCAAAACCAGCATATATTTGATGGAGTATTTTTTGATAGGTAAATCATCGAACTAAATGGGTCATCTATACCATAGCATACCATAGCTATATGGTTATGAGTTCAAAGCCCTGGTACTACGTACCTTATGTTGGTAAATATGGATGTAAATGGATGTTTATTCCCAGTCAAATGGTCAACCCATAGGGTTTTGACCCATCCCCAGAAAGTGGGTCGTGGGGTGATCCGCAGGGTCGAACAAGAAGATCGGCCCGCGCTTATGCGCGCTTTTTCTGGACCCCCAGGTCGGATAGGTTTCATTGGTTTTGATACCTACAATTGCTGGATTTATATGATTTATGGATATTTATGGTCCATTTATGGTGGAAACATGTGGAAACATGTGGAAACCAAGATAACGTGGGGGTATTCCTACGGAGGAAACATGAGGACACCATCGTTGTGACCTTTTTTGGGGGCCAATGAATAGACCGTCACAATGTCAAGAAAAACAGCCACTGCAAAAAAACAGAGTCTCCCTCAGCCCCAATGATCTTCACCGGACTTTGCAGCAGCACTGCATCGCACAACCCACCGGGACCCACCGGGGCCAAGTGCGCGTCCCGCGTCATCCGGTCCCAGGGACAGTAGGTGGGCGTGTGACAGACGCGAGAGCAGTTGCTAATCTCCTCCGCATATGCCCGTTCGCAGATCTGACCTCCACAGTCGGCCTGCACGATGACCTGAACGGCCGAGTGAACCAATGTGTCATGTTCTGACACCAAATGAGATGAACACACAAAAACTAAATCTAGTTATAGCATGTTATATCTAACTTGGCAATTCGATATATATTGGAAATCCTCATATTTTAATAGGTAAATCATCTGTGTCTATATCCACATCGAAGACGAGTGATGGTAGCTGGCTTTTTACCTTTGGGTCGAACACTTTGCTGGGTGACCGCCTCATGCCTCACACATGAAAATGGGCTAGTCTGAAAATGGGTAACTGTAACTCCAAAAATGGTTCAGAAATATTCAGACATCATGTTCCCCACTCGAACGGGCAGCGTATGCCGGTATGCCCCATGTTTATCCATGTTTCACAAAACCCGAATGGTTAAGTCATGTTAAATCAGTAAAATTAAATCCCTATTCTTGATGGATAAATATCGATAAATCATGATAAATCAGAAGAATCCCCGTTTTTCATGGGTGAAAAATCCCTCTTTGGCTTGTGAAATCGCAATGGGATCCACCCGTTACAGTACCCGTCAACGGCTCGCCACTCGTCTGAAACGCTTGCGCTGGCCGCCACATTTGTCACAAGCACCCCACATTTCCTCAGCAATGGAAGCACGCCCTGTTTCAAAAACACCTGGTGTTTGGGTACCCATCATCACCATTTCTTATCCGTCCACTTTTTTGATCTTTTTTGGGTCTCAACATGTCCCTGAAATCAAAACCTCAAAACTCAGATATAAAAAACTTGGGTCTAGCGAGATTCTAGTGCGTCAAATGTGTGAAACTCGGCGATTTTACCCCCCCATTCCATCCCGCCACAAGTGGTGACTCGGTGACCATTGACCACTGCGCCAAGGGACCCATTGACCCCACATGCAATCCGTCCGCCTCGAGGTCACCCCGCATGACCAAATCTGGGGACAAATCGCCATGCAAAATATGCAAATGCCATGGTTTCATGGGATTTTCTGATGGGATAGAGACATGGGATGATTTTGGGATGATTTTGGGATGATTTTGGGATGATTTTGGGATGTTATATCTGGGATCTTCATGGGATACTATGGGATGATTCTGGGTGGGGAAGATTCCCATTGAGATGGGGAGTTTCCCAGCAAGCCATGTCAGCTGGTGCCGTCAGGATGATCGCAAGGTTCATGCATGTTGATTCTCCAGAAATGTTCTCTGCGCGAACCCCCAGCATCGTCTTTTGGTATCTCTTGGTAGAATCTTCACTCTGGTAAACTAACATAGCTATTGAAAATTGCCTATTTATAGTTGATTTACCTACGGTATGAAAAGCGGTGATCCCCCATAGTTATGTAAACGTTTACTGCGCAACCCAGCACCACGCTACATAGACTACCTGGTAGATTTTTGCCAAGCCACTTGCAAGTGTGGCAGGGCGCATTGCCACAGGACTGGCGTACTGAGGGAATGTTTGTCCAGAACTGGTGGAGAACGAGAACAGAGGAGGCCCCCCAAAAAGGGCATTGTATTCATAGATAAAATATGATAAAATGATGTTCTAAAGCATGAGATTTGGGAGGTACCCTATCCCTAGTCAAACCCATATCATGTCATTGCGGATTATTCTCACTGTCAAGGAAGAAGAGTATTGGATCTGTGGCTGTGGGTACAAGCCCACAGATTTTGACAGTTTGGGGGGACGCCTAAGCTTGATCAACATGGCAACATGGATTAAAAAAATCCATGAACCACCAAGTACAGTTCAACAAGTCCACATGAGCCAAAATTGGAGTATTTACCGATTCACCCACAGACTTGGTCATTGCAATCAATATTTCTCATTTTTAGATACCCTCTGGTAATTTAACGTAGCTATTGAAAATGGCCATAGAAATAGTGAGTTCTCCCATGAAAAATGGTGATTTTCCATAGTTTTTTGTATGTTTACCAGAGGGTATGTTTAGAATGAAACTCCATCATAAAACATCCGTTTCTGTCATTCTTCACCGGTCAGTGCCGGTCAGGTTTAGATATCGCAGCTGGTACCATCTGGTTATGACTAACAGTTCGCCATGGTTTGGAATAGATGGCCCTAATCGAAATAGATGGTGACTACCGTTCTGAAAAAAGCATGGTGGATCTTTCCATGGCATTGCCTGTTAGTCAGTCATAACCAGAGGCTTCTCCACTTGGTCCCATAAAGGGACCCCTGACCTCGACCCTCTCGACCCTCTCGACCCTCTCGACCCTACCGCCTGCCTTAGTTTCTACCAGCGCATCATCGCAGAACTTGCCGCCATTCTCAGGCTGCTGCTCGACGGTCCTGTTTGGAAAATGCCCGCTGGTTGCCCGCTGGTCGATTTGGGCCCAGGATTTTCAGCTGATTGTGATGTCTTATGATCATTCGAATAGGGTTTTGAAATGCAAAGATCACGGGGTTGATTTGGGGGTTTCCATAAATGGGGGTACCCCTAAATCATCCATTTCAATAGGATTTCCCTTGTAAACCATCCATTTTGGGGTACCCCCATTTATGGAAACCCCCATTTAAGAGGAAAAGATAGGGTTAAAACTTGAAACCATGGAGACTGGGGAATCCTGGTGAATTGTCCAGCAAAATCTGGGGGAAGATCAACAAGGACAAAGCACTGCAGAAGTTGGCCCAAGCTCGCTCACCTCTTCCAGCACACTACAACTGGGACGCTTGGTCAAGCCATAAATCACGCAGATAGCATCACTTGTCATCAAATACCCTCTGGTAAACGTTTACATAACTATGGAAAATCACGATTTTTCATGGGAAAATCCACTATAAATGGCCATGTTCAATAGCTTTTTGAATGTTTACCAGGGGGTAACCCTAAAAGAAGATCCCATACATTCATGGGATTTCATTCGGCTTCTCACAGATTCGAGGATATCGCTGCTCCCGGCGCCCCAAGGCCCACGCCTCTGTCGGTTCTGCTGACCGGGTCCACAGGTGGTGGAACATCTCTCCCAGGCTTCCCAACTGCTCAACTGCGGCGAGCGCTTGGAGAACATGTTTAAAGCTGGGATGAAGCTCAAACATCTTTGAAACAAGTCATCCAATAACGCTTCGAAGTGAAGAAATACCCAACTATGCAGGAATCCGTCACTCGCTTCCGATTGGGTGGTCGACTTGAGGGCGGAAAGCGCTGCGTCAGCGTCCTTTCCTAGTCATGAATGATTTCGTCAGGTGCCTTCAAAGTCTTCCATGAATGGCACAGATGGCACAATTCCAATCTGAAATCATCAAACGGATTGAAGATGATCTCACGATGATTTCAGTTTCATCTGATTTCACACCCCAAAATCTCCAATTTGTCCCACAGATTGGCGCACCTGACAATCAACGGGAGGTCCGCCAAAACAATCTACACCACTGGGACATGGTGAGGTCTGTTTTAATGGACCCACGCACCACTTCCCATTCTCCTGGCTTGGCGTCCTTTTAAAGGATGGTAGCCCTACCATCGTCCGCATGGTTCATGGGCCGAATCATGGATGATCTGAATGTTTTCCACATCAAAACCGGCAATTTTATGGGTGTACAAAATGGCATAGAAGTGACACCTCCATGGGATCCTGCAGGCAGAAATATACGCCAAAGGCGATTCGATGGAAAAAAAAAAAACACGTTTTTGTATCCAGGGATAGGCCTCTCCAAACCACATGTTTTTTGGCCAGAATTGAATTGGTGCACCAAATTTGGTCATGTTCATCAAAGCATCCATATGGGGGTTCCAGGTTCCAATCATTTTGGCCCCACCCATCTGTCAGTGGATTGGTGTAAGGGGAATTTTACAGGGATATTTCGTGGGACGAGCGTTAAATCAGATGATTTGTGGTGTTCCCATTTTCATACAACATGGACCATGGTAAGTAAATAGCACCTGGTGCCCTGACTCACTCATTGGTTAGCAGCAAGAGCCACTTGGTTGTGTGATGCTAGTATAAGTTACATTATTTCAGGCACCCACTGAAGTTCATGCAAATGAGGATTAATAGGAACTTGTGGATGATGGAAATATATGGATCTAATTCCCTATAAATGATACAATCATAATCCCATGTTTTTAATGATGAATCTGATACAATATAATTCCCTAGTCTTGTTTTACATCATTCACCAAGCTGATGTTGTCGCTTTGAGATGGTTCACTGTAGAATCCACCGAGATATGTGGATATGTATGGTATATGCAACGCCCGCATCTCAGGACAACATATGTCTATATATACATATATATATATATATATTATATTTTATATATATATATATTATACATATGAAATTGATAAAATTGATATAAATATATACATTCTTCGTGGGCGTTCTATTGTTTGCTTTGTAGATTCATTCGGGCCACGTACTTCCTATCGAACCAGGCAGGGTTGTCTCAAAAGGAACCTCAAAAATCATCAAAAAAACGTGGTTTACCATCTTAAACACTCTTAAACCTCATGTTCATGTCCATGAAATCCTTGGTTATGGTACCATAATGATCATAATGTTGTTCCACTTGAGAAAAACATCACCCGATCTAGTCATGAACCGCGGAAGTTCGGGTCTCCTTGCCCTGAACCTGAATGGTTCGCGTGCGTCGTTTGATGCCCAAGCAGGGCATCGTGCAGCCACTCCAGGGTTCCCAGGCGCCAAACTCCTGAGGGCAGATCATGTCCATGGATGAAGGGAAAATCTAGAGGAACTGGTTGGTGGTTGAGCCTACCGGACCTACCCCCCTGAAAAATATGAGTTCGTCAGATTGGATCATCATCCCAACTATTGGGGAAAATAAAAAATGTTCCAAATCACCAACTGGGGAAAATTGAGGTGTTTTACATGTTTTTTACCCGCCGTATAGAAAAAACCGATGGCTTTCCGGCTTCTAGATCTTCTAGTCAGTCTCCCTTCAAACCAAATAAATTGGATCTGAAACCATCCATGTTGGGATTTACCCATACCTGTGTGAAGCAACATCTCTTTCTGGTACCCAATGTTTCTTATTGTTTGCTGTCCAAATACTTTAAAACCCCCAAAACCTTTCAGAGTCTTGCAACCCAGATATTGGTTGCGTTGGGTGTGAATCATCCTATTCTCAAATATTGCACAGATACAGTAACTAATAACTCCATATATTTCTGAATAAACTACAATACTGTACAATACTTCACCCATCTGAAGTGCGTTTGAAGCATTTAGATGATTTTCCTACTCCAATTCTCATCATTTACCCTCTGGTTATTAATAGAGGTTTACCTATTAAAAATGGTGATTTTCCATGGCTATCCAGATCAATTTGGATCAAAATTTATCCACTTCGCCAAGGCTCACAATCCACATCCTTCCGGCAGGGAATTCCGCGGTTGCATGCGGCATGCTCCATGGCCATGCCTGACCCCAAAGGAACCTCCTATACATATATATATATATATATAGTAGATATATATATACTGTATATATACATATATATATATATTTATATATTTACACATATATATATATATATACCCTCTGGTAAACTAACATAGCTATTGAAAATTGCCCATTTATAGATGGATTTACCCATTGAAAATGGTGGATCTTTCCATAGCTATGTTAGTTTACCAGAGGGTATGTACATAACCGTGGCTGAAAAATGAGGACTTATCACCATGATGAGATGGCTTATTTGGGGGGAAATTTTCCGAGATTCACCAGCGGATTTTTCGGTTACCCTGGGCTTCATGAAGAAAAACGATATGGAAAACGGACGGCAAACCAAGCAACATGATCTACAAATGCTGGGTGTTCCATATCTCTGTTAAGTAGAGGGTAATGGCGTTCATGTATATCTGGAATACACATGGTTACACACCAACTCCAACTTAGAGACCACCTCTCTTGCCCCCCCAACAAAAAAAATAATGTCTTCAAAGAAAGAGGAAGGAAAAAAACAAATCTGAGAAACATTAGCATTTGTTAATATGTGAATTAACTAATTGTTCCAAGTGTCGTTAACCATGCATTAATATCTATATCTACATATCAACCAATACAGAACATAGTATATGTCTATATACTTCTGTATAGTTGTGAACCATATATTTATCTATCCACATATTCTCCAATATAGAACATAGTATATGTCTATATTACATAGTTGTGAACCATATATCATATATCTTTCTATCCACATATGCTCAACCAATATAGAACATAATATACGTCTATATAGTTGTGCACCATATATCTATCTATCTACATGTATATATATATATTACATTCCCAACCCCCTCGGCAACCCCAACAATCCCACGGAAACCGCAAAAACTGCCGCCTGTTGTCAACCATACAGCTAGATATATCACTATTAGCATCTATTAGCCTCTGGTAAACTAACATAGCTATGGAAAATCACCATTTTTCATGGGAAAATCCACTATAAATGGCCATTTTCAATAGCTTTTTGTATGTTTACCAGAGGGTAGCCAAAATGGCTTTCAGCACGTTTGCCATTTCTCAATCAGTCAATCTCCAACGTTTCCAGACCAAGCTTAGTGAAAAACCGTTCCCTAAGCGAACCACCAAAACACAACTCCAGCCAAAGCCTCCAATATATAGAAGATAATAATACATTGCTTGTGGAGATATGCATTATTAGAAAGATACATTATTATACACGTATGAAGCATATCATCTAATGTGGCGGTAAAACCCAATGTCATAAACCATCCCCCAGTCATCACCATCTTTATGGGTTGTATGTTTACAATCCCCAAATGGTACGTTTATGGCATGGGTGTCCCACAATATAAAATCCCCATTAACTCTATATATATATATATATACCCTCTGATATTTTCTTACATATCTATAGAAAATCACCATGAGCTAAATCATCGAACATAAATAGACCATATTTGCCATTTTCACCATATCATCATATATGATCCATCTATCATCTATATCATCTTCCCACCATATCCCTATTCAATCCCCCTTTAAGCCCTTATGAAACCCTTACGAAACCCTTATGAAACCCTTACCCATAGGATCCATGTATGGTATATATGCAAACATTTGGGGTATATTGATGGTAAAATATGGGATCCATGTTACCATATATATAGCATACATGGATCCTATGGGTTATGAACCCCCTTGAAATCCCCCCTTTAAACCCCCCTTTGAAGGTCACCGACTCGTCGGTGACCTTCGCACCTGTGGCCGGCAGCCCGCAGTCATTGGCCTTCTGCCGCAGCGTGCGGTGGCGCCAGGTCACGCCGCCGTCGCAGGTCTTCGAACAGCCCTGGCGCAACGTGGCGCTCCGAAAGAGCCCGGACCCGTGATTTTTAGTGGACCCAATCTCTGAATGTTTGAGGTTGTGATTTTTTTTGTGGACCCAATCTCTGAATGTTTGATGTTGTGATTTTTAGTGGACCCAATCTCTGAATGTTTGAGGTTGTGATTTTTAGTGGACCCAATCTCTGAATGTTTGATGTTGTGATTTTTAGTGGACCCAATCTCTGAATGTTTGAGGTTGTGATTTTTAGTGGACCCAATCTCTGAATGTTTGAGGTTGTGATTTTTAGTGGACCCAATCTCTGAATGTTTGAGGTTGTGATTTTTTGTGGAAACAATCTCTGAATGTTTGAGGTTGTGATTTTTTGTGGACCCAATCTCTGAATGTTTGAGGTTGTGATTTTTTGTGGAAACAATCTCTGAATGTTTGAGGTTGTGATTTTTTGTGGACCCAATCTCTGAATGTTTGAGGTTGTGATTTTTTGTGAAACAATCTCTGAATGTTTGAGGTTGTGATTTTTTGTGGACCCAATCTCTGAATGTTTGAGGTTGTGATTTTTTGTGGAAACAATCTCTGAATGTTTGAGGTTGTGATTTTTTGTGGACCCAATCTCTGAATGTTTGATGTTGTGATTTTTTGTGGACCCAATCTCTGAATGTTTGAGGTTGTGATTTTTTGTGGACCCAATCTCTGAATGTTTGAGGTTGTGATTTTTTGTGGACCCAATCTCTGAATGTTTGAGGTTGTGATTTTTTGTGGACCCAATCTCTGAATGTTTGAGGTTGTGATTTTTTGTGGACCCAATCTCTGAATGTTTGAGGTTGTGATTTTTAGTGGACCCAATCTCTGAATGTTTGATGTTGTGATTTTTTGTGGAAACAATCTCTGAATGTGTGAGGTTGTGATTTTTTGTGGACCCAATCTCTGAATGTTTGATGTTGTGATTTTTGCTGGACCCAATCTCTGAATGTTTGAGGTTGTGATTTTTTGTGGACCCAATCTCTGAATGTTTGAGGTTGTTATTTTTAGTGGACCCAATCTCTGAATGTTTGAGGTTGTGATTTTTTGTGAACCCAATCTCTGAATGTTTGATGCTGTGATTTTTTGTGGACCCAATCTCTGAATCTTTGAGGTTGTGATTTTTTGTGGACCCAATCTCTGAATGTTTGAGGTTGTGATTTTTTGTGGACCCAATCTCTGAATGTTTGAGGTTGGATTTTTTGTGGCAACAATCTCTGAATGTTTGATGTTGTGATTTTTAGAGGACCCAATCTCTGAATGTTTGAGGTTGTGATTTTTTGTGGTCTCTGAATGTTTGATGTTGTGATTTTTGTGGACCCAATCTCTGAATGTTTGATGTTGTGATTTGTGTGGACCCAATCTCTGAATGTTTGATGTTGTGATTTTTTGTGGACCCAATCTCTGAATGTTTGATGTTGTGATTTTGTGTGGACCCAATCTCTGAATGTTTGATGTTGTGATTTTTTGTGGACCCAATCTCTGAATGTTTGAATTTTTGTGGAAACAATCTCTGATGTTTCAGGTTGTGATTTTTGTGGACCCAATCTCTGAATGTTTGAGGTTGTGATTTTTTGTGGACCCAATCTCTGAATGTTTGATGTTGTGATTTTTTGTGGACCCAATCTCTGAATGTTTGAGGTTGTGATTTTTTGTGGACCCAATCTCTGAATGTTTGATGTTGTGATTTTTTGTGGACCCAATCTCTGAATCTTTGAGGTTGTGATTTTTTGTGGACCCAATCTCTGAATGTTTGAGGTTGTGATTTTTTGTGGACCCAATCTCTGAATGTTTGAGGTTGTGATTTTTTGTGGACCCAATCTCTGAATGTTTGAGGTTGTGATTTTTTGTGGACCCAATCTCTGAATGTTTGAGGTTGTGATTTTTAGTGGACCCAATCTCTGAATGTTTGATGTTGTGATTTTTTGTGGAAACAATCTCTGAATGTGTGAGGTTGTGATTTTTTGTGGACCCAATCTCTGAATGTTTGATGTTGTGATTTTTGCTGGACCCAATCTCTGAATGTTTGAGGTTGTGATTTTTTGTGGACCCAATCTCTGAATGTTTGAGGTTGTTATTTTTAGTGGACCCAATCTCTGAATGTTTGATGTTGTGATTTTTTGTGACCCAATCTCTGAATGTTGTGATTTTTTGTGGATCTTTTTTGTGGACCCAATCTCTAATGTTTGATGTTGTGATGTTTTGTGGACCCAATCTCTGAATGTTTGATGTGTATGTTTTTGTGGACCCAATCTCTGAATTTTGATGTGGTGATTTTTGTGACCAATCTCTGAATGTTTGATGTTGTGATTTTTTGTGGACCCAATCTCTGAATGTTTGATGTTGTGATTTTTTGTGGACCCAATCTCTGAATGTTTGATGTTGTGATGTTGTTTTGTGGACCCAATCTCTGAATGTTTGATGTTGTGATTTTTTGTGGACCCAATCTCTGAATGTTTGAGGTTGTGATTCTTTTGTGGACCCAATCTCTGAATGTTTGATGTTGTGATTTTTTGTGGACCCAATCTCTGAATGTTTGAGGTTGTGATTTGTTTGGACCCAATCTCTGAATGTTTGAGGTTGTGAAATTTTTGTGGACCCAATCTCTGAATGTTTGATGTTGTGATTTTGTTGGGACCCAATCTCTGAATGTTTGATGTTGTGATTTTTTGTGGACCCAATCTCTGAATGTTTGAGGTTGTGATTCTTTTGTGGACCCAATCTCTGAATGTTTGATGTTGTGATTTTTTGTGGACCCAATCTCTGAATGTTTGATGTTGTGATTTTTTGTGGACCCAATCTCTGAATGTTTGAGGTTGTGATTTGTGGACCCAATCTCTGAATGTTGAGTTGTGATTTGTGGACCCAATCTCTGATGTTGAGGTTGTGATTTTTTTTGATTTTTTCTGGACCCAATCTCTGAATGTTTGATGTTGTGATTTTTTGTGGACCCAATCTCTGAATGTTTGATGTTGTGATTTTTTGTGGACCCAATCTCTGAATGTTTGAGGTTGTGATTTTTTGTGGACCCAATCTCTGAATGTTTGAGGTTGTGATTTTTTGTGGACCCAATCTCTGAATGTTTGAGGTTGTGATTTTTAGTGGACCCAATCTCTGAATGTTTGAGGTTGTGATTTTTAGTGGACCCAATCTCTGAATGTTTGAGGTTGTGATTTTTAGTGGACCCAATCTCTGAATGTTTGAGGTTGTGATTTTTTGTGGCAACAATCTCTGAATGTTTGATGTTGTGATTTTTAGAGGATCCAATCTCTGAATGTTTGAGGTTGTGATTTTTTGTGGAAACAATCTCTGAATGTTTGAGGTTGTGATTTTTTGTGGCAACAATCTCTGAATGTTTGATGTGGTGAATTTTTGTGAACCCAATCTCTGAATGTTTGATGCTGTGATTTTTGGTGGACCCAATCTCTGAATGTTTGATGTTGTGATTTTTTGTGGACCCAATCTCTGAATGGTTGATGTTGTGATTCTTTTGTGGACCCAATCTCTGAATGTTTGATGTTGTGATTTTTGTGGACCCAATCTCTGAATGTTTGAGGTTGTGATTTTTAGTGGACCCAATCTCTGAATGTTTGAGGTTGTGATTTTTAGTGGACCCAATCTCTGAATGTTTGAGGTTGTGATTTTTAGTGGACCCAATCTCTGAATGTTTGAGGTTGTGATTTTTTGTGGACCCAATCTCTGAATGTTTGATGTTGTGATTTTTGTGGACCCAATCTCTGAATGTTTGAGGTTGTGATTTTTAGTGGACCCAATCTCTGAATGTTTGATGTTGTGATTTGTGTGGACCCAATCTCTGACTGGTTGATGTTGTGATTTTTTGTGGACCCAGTCTCTGAATGTTTGATGTTGTGATTTTTGTGGACCCAATCTCTGAATGTTTGATGTTGTGATTTGTGTGGACCCAATCTCTGAATGTTTGATGTTGTGATTTTTTGTGGACCCAATCTCTGAATGTTTGATGTTGTGATTTGTGTGGACCCAATCTCTGACTGTTTGATGTTGTGATTTTTTGTGGACCCAATCTCTGAATGTTTGATGTTGTGATTTTTGTGGAAACAATCTCTGAATGTTTCAGGTTGTGATTTTTGTGGACCCAATCTCTGAATGTTTGAGGTTGTGATTTTTTGTGGACCCAATCTCTGAATGTTTGATGTTGTGATTTTTGTGGAAACAATCTCTGAATGTTTCAGGTTGTGATTTTTGTGGACCCAATCTCTGAATGTTTGAGGTTGTGATTTTTTGTGGACCCAATCTCTGAATGTTTGATGTTGTGATTTTTGGGGACCCAATCTCTGAATGTTTGATGTTGTGATTTTTTGTGCACCCAATCTCTGAATGTTTGATGTTGTGATTTTTTGTGGACCCAATCTCTGAATGTTTGAGGTTGTGATTTTTTGTGGACCCAATCTCTGAATGTTTGATGTTGTGATTCTTTTGTGGACCCAATCTCTGAATGTTTGATGTTGTGATTTTTTGTGGACCCAATCTCTGAATGTTTGATGTTGTGATTTTTTGTGGACCCAATCTCTGAATGTTTGATGTTGTGATTCTTTTGTGGACCCAATCTCTGAATGTTTGAGGTTGTGATTCTTTTGTGGACCCAATCTCTGAATGTTTGATGTTGTGATTTGTGTGGACCCAATCTCTGACTGTTTGATGTTGTGATTTTTTGTGGACCCAATCTCTGAATGTTTGATGTTGTGATTTTTGTGGAAACAATCTCTGAATGTTTGAGGTTGTGATTTTTGTGGACCCAATCTCTGAATGTTTGAGGTTGTGATTTTTTGTGGACCCAATCTCTGAATGTTTGATGTTGTGATTTTTGGGGACCCAATCTCTGAATGTTTGATGTTGTGATTTTTTGTGCACCCAATCTCTGAATGTTTGATGTTGTGATTTTTTGTGGACCCAATCTCTGAATGTTTGATGTTGTGATTTTTTGTGGACCCAATCTCTGAATGTTTGATGTTGTGATTCTTTTGTGGACCCAATCTCTGAATGTTTGATGTTGTGATTTTTTGTGGACCCAATCTCTGAATGTTTGATGTTGTGGACCCAATCTCTGAATGTTTGAGGTTGTGATTTTTTGTGGACCCAATCTCTGAATGTTTGATGTTGTGATTTTTTGTGGACCCAATCTCTGAATGTTTGATGTTGTGATTTTTTGTGCACCCAATCTCTGAATGTTTGATGTTGTGATTTTTTGTGGACCCAATCTCTGAATGTTTGATGTTGTGATTCTTTTGTGGACCCAATCTCTGAATGTTTGAGGTTGTGATTTTTAGTGGACCCAATCTCTGAATGTTTGAGGTTGTGATTTTTTGTGGACCCAATCTCTGAATGTTTGATGCTGTGATTTTTGGTGGACCCAATCTCTGAATGTTTGATGTTGTGATTTTTTGTGGACCCAATCTCTGAATGTTTGAGGTTGTGATTTTTTGTGGACCCAATCTCTGAATGTTTGATGTTGTGATTCTTTTGTGGACCCAATCTCTGAATGTTTGATGTTGTGATTTTTTGTGGACCCAATCTCTGAATGTTTGAGGTTGTGATTTTTTGTGGACCCAATCTCTGAATGTTTGATGTTGTGATTTTTAGAGGACCCACTCCCTTCTTGAAGGATTTCCAACATGTGATGTGGGCATTCACATGGCTGTAACCAGCCAAAAACCCTTGAAAACAATCTACAAAAAGGTCCAGTACGGGCTGCTCCCATGTGGTACTGTATGCTGAACTCATCTTATCTTTCCAGGGGGTAAATGCACCAATTTCCAGGAGTAAATGCACCAATTTTCATAGTCAATGGATTGGTTTAAGGGAAAATTTACAGGAAAACACCATATTTGATGGGAAATTCCATGGTTTCCTGTAGATTTTCCCTTAAACCAATCCATTGACATAGGGAAAACATTTTTTAAAGAGGGCTATTTCCAGGCAAACCCACATGTTCATTGGATGATCCAAGGTCTTATTCCGTGATTTGATGTGGTCTGTGACAAGAATATGTCCCACGGTGCTCTGCCACGTTTTCTGAAGAGAACTACCCTCTGGTAATTTAACCGTTTGCCATGGAAAATCACAATTTTTATTAGGTAAACCATCTATAAATGCGCTATTATAAATATTTTCCATGGCTATGTTAAATAACCATATGGTATTTTTCCCAGTTTGGGTAATGAGTGTCCCCAATTTTGGGTAATTAGTGTCCCTAAGTTTGGCCAATTGGTGTCACTAAGTTTGGTGATTAGTCCCGAAGATTGGGTATTTTTGTCCCTTAGTTTGGGTAATTTTTGCCCCTAAGATCTTAGGGACAAGAAATCAAAAAAAATGTGTATACAAGAATTCCAAAAACTTAGGGACACATATTACTCTTCAAGCTCATGAATTGTTGTCCCTAAGTTTTTGGAATTTGTCCCTGGTATTTTGGAATTTATGCCCTGAAGATCTTAGGAACAAAAACTCCAAATTGTTGGTTCCTTGGGGGTCAAATTGTTCCCAATCCTAGGGACAATAAATTCCCAAGAAGAAGGCCGAAATGCCCCAACCCTGGGGACAAACACATGGCAAAACAGCTTCATCCTAGAGATAGCCCAGTTCTATGTGGTAGATACCCTCTGGTAAACTAACATAACTATGGAAAATCACTATTTTCAATGGAAAATCCACTATAAATCGCCATTTTCAATAGCTATTTTGACATAACCAGAGGGTAGACATGAATCAAGTCATCTCGCAGGCGGCCTCCCACTGGCTCCAGTCGTTCCACACCGCATCGATACACGCACCCTTTGAGCACGGCTGCCTGAGCCAACTGGGGAAGCTCCAAAGCGGTGATAAAAATCTAGGACTCGAGTGACATAGGTGCGATCAAATGGTGACTAAATGGAGAACTCAAATGATTACACATGGTGTTTTTTTATGTGGTTCAATGACTATATAAAACTAGAATGAATTAGATAAATGATGATAATGTAAGATTAGACTGTAATTAGGTGTGAGTTGTGTTGATTCGACTTGGTTTCAAGAATGCGACAAAGAAGAGGGATATGAAATGATATGAGATGTACAACACCATATTTGCATCAAAATTGCCCCCAGCCCCAACCATGGTCTCCATTCGAAAAGGACAAGTTGTCCCAAAGCTCAACTGGGGCCCCAGACGTGTTGCAGGGCACTATCTCCTCCTTGTGCAATGCTTCACACGGCTCGCCTAGCAGTACACTGGGGAAATCACCTTTAATCCCATTGTGAGATGGATATTCCTGGTGTTTTCTGGTTCCAGAGGTGATGTTTGGTATATTGGACTGCCTGGTATCATGATGTCCCCAGAAACTCTGAACGCTGCCTAATTCTTGGTACAAATGTACTGCTAGTCATATTCATCCATCTTGTTCTGGGATCCAGATCCTCAGATAGTTCCAAGTTCATTAATTATATATGTATATAATATATTATATATATACACGGTATACGTTCCTTTGATTGGTTGGGTTATGTTTGATTGAGGCCCTTGTCTCTACTTTTCGCGCGTCCCGAACCATGCCTCTGGTTCAGACCTCAGACCTCCTGTCCGCTTGCTTCAGGTTGCCTGTGTTTGATTGATAAAACTCCCCTGTCTTGAACGTGTTCATTCCTCGTATCATGTCAAAGTTGTGTCAGCTGTTTCTTTAATTTGTTCGGGTAAAATATGACCATTCCTGCTGGTTACCCTCTGGTAATTTAACATAGCTATGGAAAATCACCATTTTTAATTGGAAAATCCACTATAAATGGCAATTTTCAATAGCTATTTGTATGTTTACCAGAGGGTAAAAACAAAAAACCTGTTTCTTGGGTCACTCCGTTTCTGTTTCCTGGCAAGTGTTCACCATTTTTCGGCACAAAATTCCGAGTCTCACGGGGCTTCTCTCGGTTGCATCCCGATTCATGCCTAAATCTTAGTGATCTTTCTCATACTACACACATCATGGAAAACAACACATGAAAATTATTCTTCCCAGCTATAAAATCGGCTCGCCCCTAATCGGCTTGCCATCCATCTTTGCCATTCCCATCAGCTTCCGATCGCCTCCGGGCGTCGGCATCTGCGCAATGCGGCGGTCGCGCGTCTTCTGACCTCCATCGCACCTTGGCTCAGCGATAATTCGTGAGAACTCGTCCCGAATGCGTCCCGACGTAGGGAAAGGAAAGTGGTAACCCCTGGTATGGGGTGGCGGTGGCATAGATTGTCTAATTATATATTATATGTGATGATTATATTATATATGTAGTGATGTATACTGATGTATACTGATGTATATATTGTGATTAAGTACGCAAGACGTAAGATTGTTTCTAGTTCGCAGATGCAAGATATGTGCGACTATCAATATACATCAATACTGTGCATACTATATACTACAATATACTATATAGTCACATATATATATATAATATATTTATATATTATTATTATTATTAAGTATTAATTATTATTATTATTAGTATCATTATTATATTGTGCAACTGTACTATATATATATATATCAATAACTATCAATAACTGTCAATAACTATGATAATGTAATAGTTTGCACATACTATATATATATTATATATATACATAATTATATAATATACATCAATAACTGCATAATGTTGTATATAGTTGTGTCGTACTGTATAGGTATGTACAAATAGAATCAGTGGATCTGACCCATTGACCCATGGAGGCTTCTTGGGGGCTGTCTTCGAGTTTAGGCATTGGAAGGAAAGCACCGGCAATTTATGGGGAGATCTGACCCCACATCTTGGGGATATTATATCCCATATCCCATATATATTAAAAATTATCAATTCCATTATATCTCATCATATCCCACATAAAATCCACCATTTATTATATGGACCATTTCTGGGCTGTTTCAGATGGGATTCAGAACTTCAACAGCACCCCCAGCGGCATATCCGTCGCATCAGTATCTCTTGTTCCGATCCAAGGCACGTGCAGGTGCACCTACTCCACTCGGACCAGAAGCCCCACATGCAGTTCTTCGGTCCGGGACAGGTTCCTGGTCCTACGGATCTGCCGCTGAGTTTACCCTCTGGTGAACTAACAAAAAACTATGGAAAATCACCATTTTTCATGGGAAAATCCACTATAAATGGCCATTTTCAATAGCTTTTTGTATGTTCACCAGAGGGTACCCAGTGGATCAGGATTTGTTGGTGCAAACTCTTCCCCCCACCTGAAAAAGTAAACCAAATCAAGGAATGAAGTTGGTGTGAATCATTTTAACTGCAAAAATGGAAGTCTCAAAAAAACAACAAACCAAACAAATAGTACCATTCTTTTCCTATGATGTCATATTATGTCATGTATGTGGCCACAAGCTTCTCATGTATGGGTTTGAGTGAAGATACCCGAAAAATGTTGATGGTTCATCATTATTTTCACTATCAAAATTATTAAATTGCCAATTGGGGTTGTGCCCCATTGTCGTCGCTCCTTGAAGTCGTCGCCCCTGTACAATCAATGAGCTCGGGAGTCCTCGCAACAAGCCAGGTACCAGGGGATCTGTCCGCCCCAGCTATCACGTACCAATGTGGTGTAGCTGACCCTGCCATCCTTTGACCTCCATATATGGCTTGGATTGATGGTGAGATGGTGATATGTATCCCTAAAATCTCTACAAAGGGCCTTTGGGAAGTCACTTCATGCGGGAGTCCCATGAATGCATCATCCAACATGCAAAGGCACTACATGGATTGAAGGATAAACATCTTATTCCCAGGTCACTAAGAGGTTTGGATGTGCTAAGCAAGAAATTGAAAATATGTAACGCTACTTGTCTGAAGGATATCAACATAGCTTATTCCATATATGGCTTGGATTGATGGTGAGATGGTGATATGTATCCCTTAAATCTCTACAGGCCGGGCCTTTGGGAAGTCACTTCATGCGGGAGTCCCATGAATGCATCATCCGACATGCAAATTGAAGGCGGGGGCACTACATGGATTGAAGGATAAACATCTTATTCCCGGGTCACTAAGAGGTTTGGATGTGCTAAGCAAGAAATTGAAATATGTAACGCTACTTGTCTGCCTATGTTGTTTCTGATGATTGTTTGAGAGTAACATAAACATATTATATATATATATATATTATATTATATTATATATATATATATTATATATATATTATTATATATATATATGTATTTATATATAATATATATAATATATGCTCCGGATGAAGTCCCGATAAATATGCCGTTCAGAACGTCCTCCTCCGCTGCTCCCAGTGTGACTGACGTGGGACACCGACATTCCTGGCCGCAGAGAGTGTGCAAAAATGATCCAGACTGCTCAAGACCTGATAGGCTAGTTGGCAACATCCAATGTTGCGCAGAAAACAAAATCAGCGATTTTGAAACCAGAATAAATCAGGATAGTCTAACATAGACTTCCAGCTGATTCACCAAGGAAACAGAACTTGATGAAATAGCTGAAGCACAAGCATCGTCCATGGCTTGACTCCCACAAGTTGCAAAGCCAGTATCTTCATCATTCTTCACCTATCTTCTCCAAATATGTTCCCCAAACTGATGGAAAAGGAGTTTCGCCAAAACTGCCAGCTTTCAGGGTGCTGATTTCTCTCGTCTTTTGAGGCACATGGCCGCACCAAACAGCAGAAGTCCTCCACTCTGGCCGCCATACATTCCTCGCCGCTGAAAGAAAGAATGTGTCAACTCATAAGATCTCATTTGTAAGTAGAAGGTCATTCTTCAACCTTTTCGCGGTTAGTCCAACCAGATTGCGGAGTTGATAGGTTTCAATACACAAGCAGTAGTGTGGTTGGATTTGCGTCAATTGTCCTGATGGTTTGACAGCTAAGAATTAAAGAACTTCAAAAGGACCCATTTATGTGCATAATGTACGCACTACATGATATATTTGTTTTTTTCAGTTTACATGTACTGTACGTGTTCTGTATGTGGATTATATATATATATATAATTATATAATATTAATAATTATATATATACAATATACACACTTGTGTTCCAAAGATGTGTGCTACCCTTGGTGCATAAGAAAAGCAAACACTCAAGCACATTTCAAACAAAAGAACGTCCTCCTCCGCTGCTCCCAGAGTGACTGACGTGGGACACCGACATTCCTGGCCGCAGGGAGTGTGCAAAAATGATCCAGACTGCGCAAGACCTGATAGGCTAGTTGGCAACATCCAATGTTGCGCAGAAAACAAAATCAGCGAACAAACCATAATAAATCAGGATAGTCTAACAAACATAGACTTCCAGCTGATTCACCACGGAAACAGAACTTGATGAAATAGCTGAAGCACAAGCGTCATCCATGTCTCGCTTGACTTCCACACAAGTTGCAAAGCCAGTATCTTCATCATTCTTCACCTATGTTCTCCAAATATGTTCCCCAAACTGCGCGTGATGGAAAAGGAGTTTCGCCAAAACTGCCAGAAGTCCTCCGCTGCCGCCATAGATTCCTGGCCGAAGCAATCGAGGTCATGTTGGGATGATTCACCTGAAACATTCACCATTTGGGGGGTTTCCTAAGTCATGGGGGTACCCCAACAGCTGGATGGTTTATTTCATGGAAACTCCAATCTATAAATGGTTGATTTGGGGGTACCCCTATTTTTGGAAACCTCCATTTACGGAGAGGTTGTGAAAAAATATATGTATAGAAAAATGTGCATTGATGAACAGTTAAACTCACCATCACCAACTAATATTAACTAGTATCAACCGTTATGAACCACTATTAGCCACTGTTAACCATGATTAAGCATTATTATTGGCCAGTGTTCATCATTATTAACAAGTATTTATTATATAACCATATTTATATATATGTATGTATGTATGTATGTATGTATGTATGTATGTATGTATGTATGTATGTATGTATGTATGTATGTATGTATGTATGTATGTATGTATGTATGTATGTATATATGTATGTATGTATGTATGCATGCATGCATGCATGCATGCATGTAATGTAATGTAATGTAATGTAATGTAATGTAATGTAATGTAATGTATGTATGTATGTGTATATATATATATGTATGTATGTAACGATTATTAACCACTATCAACCGCTGCTAACACACCATTAGTCCCTATTTCTGAATCGATCCTTCGTAGCTGACATTGCTATGGTAGGCTGTCCCAAAAATTTCAGTGTGTTTCAAGGGCTTTATAGACCGACAACAACCACGTTGTAACAAAGGTTTATGACATAAACAGATATGATGAATTCGCACCGGGGCTCACCGCTGGGGGGTTGGTTGACTGATGCTGACTCATGTTGTCCTCCCAAGAAGTTCAGAAGCCACGAACTTGGACAGACTGGTTGCTGGCAAAGGCTGCATGATTTTTGATCGTTCACCTTTGGGGAAACACTTTGGATGTTCCAAAGCCTGAAAAGACCTTCAATATATTCCCAGCGTCACAACATGGCATTAATTCCATGTGCTATGATCACCATCATCGGGGAATTCAAACATCATGATTTTTGGATGACTCCCTCCTAGAGGGGTCCCCAGAGTAGTCCACCTTGTGTTTGGCCAAAACGCATCCCCCTGATCACGAAGAGCCCCCTCCTCCTCCACTGCTGGTCATAGAGTGAGCGACGTGGGAGACTGACATTCCTGGCCGCTGGCCGGAACTGTTGGAAGCATTAAATCTTCTGGATATATAGAACAAGATGAGTGACTAAACTCGGGATACTGACGTGTTTCACAGAAGCAAAGCCCAGGAGTTTCCTCTAAACACAAATTTCTTTATATATCTTTCTATGAGTTGCAAATCCAGGTCCAACTGCGTTATGCAAACGTCTCAGTTTCTCAGTGTCCCTGAAAGAAAACTGGACACGCACGGCACGACACATCGCAAACTGCTGCTGTCCTCCTCCACTCTGGCCTCCGTATGTTCCTCACCGCAGGAACGCAAGAACTGACGGGAGCAGCCCCTGTGTATTTATCATTACTGTATATGTAATTATGGTGCTTATGATTATGTTGAATTATGTTGAATTACGTTGAATTATGTTGAATTATGTTGAATTATGAATTATGTTGAATTTTGTTGAATGGGGTGGCTTCAACATGTTTCAACCATCACTTTCCCGGCCGTTCCTGAGGGTTTTGGGGTCTGCAAAGGCAGTGCTTGGAATGGCAGAAATTCAGCGTTAGCACTCGCTGTTTGGGGATAGGAACCCCCAAAAAGGATAGAAGATTTCGGGATACTAGTGGAGTATATGTTTATATGTTCCGTTGACATTAAACATAGTATGATTGTAACTAACTACCAATACCACCACATCATATAGTATCATATATATATATGTATTATATATACATGTATAGTATAATATGTATATATATATGATATATATATATACTATATTGTTATATGTCACTCGTCCATCTTTTGGGGCATTGCTATATGTGTCAATCCATGACCGATCTCGTTTTTCTTCCGGGTGCACATCCAACAGCTGCTTGGCTGCGCGAAGCTCATGGCTCAAGCAGATTTTTCATGGGATAACCCCAGGTTTGGGGTTTTGGTTGGCCATTAAACTCCATTATACAAATATATATATATATGTATCAGTTACTAGCTGATCAACAATCCTCAATGTTGATTCATATCACCAGGGAAAACGTATAAATTCGTCTCACTTCCGACGTCGTGATGCCCTCCGGGTGCTGACCTCCACCTTGGATGTCGAGGCCTGGCAAAATCATCCCGGTGTTCGGTCGGGGATGGGTCAAGTTACCGACACCAAAAGACTGGGAGAATAACCAGGGGTAACCGATGGTAATTTAACATAGCTATTGAAAATGACCATTTATAGTGGATTTTCCCATTGAAAATGGTGATTTTCCATAGTTATGTTAGTTTACCAGAGGGTAACCTATGGTAACCTATGGTAACCTATGGTAACTGGGAGAATAACTGGGATAATAGAATACACATCCAGCATCCAGCTATAACCTCAGGATACCTCAGGTACTCAGACTGGGGTTTTTGATGAGACAGCAGAAATAGGGGGTAAAACCCATCAAGAATAGGGGTGAAACACCATCAAGCATTTGGTGATTTGAGACTAGCGTTGAAAAACTATATGAAAACTGGTGTTGGGAATAGAAATTTGGGTTGGAGTTTTACCCTGTATATATAATAAATGGCAATTGGAATTGGGAAAAGATAAGCTTCAAACTAGTGGACGTGAGCTATACTCCACCCATTGTTTGACAAATTCACATCCTCATGTGCTGGAGAACAAGGTTTCTCTCCGATTGCATTGCACTATATAATATATATTATATTATATATTATATATCTTATATCTTATATATTATATATTATATATTATATATATTATATATTATATATATTAAATATTATATATTATATATTATATTTTATATATTATATATTATATATTATATATTATATATTATATATTATATTATATGTTATATATTATATATCTTATATATTATATATTATATATTATATATTATATATTATATATTATATATTATAATTATATGTATATATATATGTATATGTATTGTATATATATATATATGTGTATATAAGTATGTATCTATATCATTCTATATCTATCTACGTACCATGGACAGTCAATAACTGTTGGCTTGGAAGATTGCAATTACCGCTACCAGGCTGTGACTTTCAGGGGGTCAGCCAGCAGGATCCATTAGATCTGAGAGTTCGCATCAGAGATTCAGACAAACTCATCCAGAAATTTATGGTTAATATATGGTCAATATATGGTCAATATATGGTCAATATATGGTTAATATATGGTTAATATATGGTTATTATATGGTTATTATCCAGAAATTTGGAGAAATCACCTGGTTGGTGGTTTCAAATCACCTGGTTGGCTTGCTGGAAAATTCCCAGCTATAAACCTCCATGAACCTCCATTTATAGTAAGCTAGTTGGTGGTATACCTACCCCCCTGAAAAATATGAGTTCGTCAATGGGAAGGATGACATCCCATATATTATGGAAATTAAAATAAACAATGTTCCAACCCACCAACCAGTCACCATTCTGAATCTCCTTTTTGTTGCAGTTTTGAAACATGGCACCCATTGACCAACTATTGATGACAGGGTACCGCAAAATATCATGGTATATCCTCATCTGGTTGGTGGTTTCGACCCCTAAAAAACGATGCAGTTGGGATTATCATTCTAAAATATTCTAAGAAATGGGTGACAATTAAAAAAATGTTTGAAACCACCAACATTGTTGGTCATATTCCATTCTATTCCACTATATCCCGATAGGCCCTTCTCATCGAGCCTCCAGAACCTTGCGCCTCTCCCCCAAAGTCCATGCCTGGCCACGGGAAGACCCCTCCAAGCTCGCTAGGTTTATGTCAACTGATCAAACATAGCTAGCTTGGACATCCCCTGGAAGTGGAAATTTATAGTTCGGAAAATCATCGAACTAAATGGCGGATGTTTGTTTTTGCATTTGCCACGTTTGCCATGGATTTGATACCCCTTCCTGGAGAGCCTGGCTACTGGGACGTCGGGATGTAAACAACTGTTAACTGACCAGTGGCCAAAACATCCCAGGAGTTTTGAAGGGAAAAACTGAAAACTTCCTCCGATCTCGCAATCAATAAATGATCTGCATTAGAAATGATGGGTTTGTCCAAAAATGGAGTATCGGTATACCCGAATCCACTCATCAATCATCATATTCACCCGTTAAAATTGCCGTAAATTGGACGCGTGCCCAATTTTTGGAAACACCCTAAAGTCATTGGATTCGATCGCTATTTTACATGGCATCTTTAAGATCCTTTCAGGGATATGTGAAATCGTCTGAAAATATGGGACTTCTGAATCCATTGATCAACCACCATTTTCCCTATTCAAATTGCCATGACATGCCATAACTGGATAGTATATCCTATCCCTAGACAAACTCAACTCCATGATTCATTGGTTATTGTTTTTAAGGATAAATCATGTTAAACCCCTATTTCGTCATATTCATGCTTAAACCCACCATTCCTTTGTTGACTACCAGTATTTATGATCCTTGTAGTTTTTACACCACCCAACCCAAAGAAAACACCCAGGTATTGCAGCGACCGCGGCCTTCGGTGCTGTCTAAGCCAGCAGTTTGTTGACCGAGATCGAGGCCTCCTTCGAGATTGGGGATGTGTTTTTCACCCAGGACTGCGGGTCCAAAAATGGAAATTTAACCATAAATTTCTGATGATGTAACCATCAAAATACATCGGCAAGAGGCCCCAAACAGTGTGGGGGGGTAGGAAGTCAATGTGCCAGAGACAAGCAACAGTAGCTATGGAACAGGGTTTGGCATTACCGGAGCGGGGGAGGAACTCGATTTAGGCGATGTCCTACTCATCAGGACCTCACACCAGAACCTCAGACCAGGAAATTTAAAAGAATTTCAACAGATCGTCGAAGAAGGTCCTTCTATATATAGAGGATCTCACAACATGTTCATACAAGAAATTCGTATGAACATCCCAGAAGAACTTGCATACAAGCACCAACGCACAGCATTTGCAAGATCTTCATGCAAAGAACTCGTGAGGATGATTTCAGCCGGATCTCCACAAGACCTTCCCAAAAGGACCTGTATGAGATCATGCAAGGACCTCTCAGAGGATTTCACCAGGATCTCCACAAGAGGGTCTAACAAGTAAGTGTAAAAGACCTTGACCAAGGGCTCTATGCCAGGATTTGTAAGAGAATCCCTTAAGATCGTTATAGAAGGACCTGCAGCTGCTGGAGAAGATCTTACTGTACAAAATCTTGATACAAGAAGCGCCCAAGAGCATCCAAGAAGAGATTCATACAAGCACCATCAAGCACCTCTAAGATATGGCATCTGCAAGATCTGCAGGAAAGGGCCTCTCAGAGAGGATCTTGCTAGGATCTCCACAAGATCTTACAAGGACCTGCACAAGATCATGCAAGGACCTCTTCTCACAAGGACCTCTACACTGCAGACACTGGCCAAGATTTTCTACGGAATGCTACGGACCTCTAAGACTGCACCGTGAAACGCTTGCAAGATCGTCATAGAAGGACCTTCCAGGGAACTCAGAAGATCTCTTGACCAGGATCTAAGAAATTCAACTAGAAGCAGCACCCACCGCGCCACAATGAGAGCGATCCGACACGCGCAAAGTCACAGTTGCGCGCGCCATGTCAAAGTTCGCACCGCGCCACAACGAGAGCGATCTGACACGCACAAAGTGACGAGATGGTTGCGGGTTTCAGCCACTTGCGTCGAGGTCTACAAAGTACTGCGCCTGCCACGAAAAATGAGCCCGAGGCAAACCGCGACAACCGTTTTGTGCGAGCCTGGGCAGTCGAAATGCACATGGACATCTCACAAGGGCACTTTTATTCGAGAATTCACAATAATATAAAAGCCAGGGCCCAGAGAGCGTACCCTGATCTAACCCCAGGGGCCCCGGCCTCTAACACCTACCGTAAGAACCCCTCATTGTGGACACACTTGGGGAAATAGTGGTACGATGGAGAGTAAAATGATGATACTCTCTGGGAATCCAGCATGGCAATGGAAAATCCTGCATTTATGGAGTTTTTACCATTTAACCTCTGGTAATTTGTTACATAGCTATTGAAAATGGTGATTTATAGTGGATTTACCCATTGAAAATGGTGATTTTCCATAGTGCTGTTAGTTTACCAGAGGGTAAACCTCCATCTATTGGGGATTCTTCAATTGCCATGTTTGACTACCGGAGGGTAAAACTCATCAGTGATATCCACAAAAAAATGATCCCAATTAACCCCATGATTCATTGATTGAATCCCTTATCATTAACCTTAGACATCACCAAGTAACAGTGTTGACCGCTATTGCCATCCGGTAATCAAATGTGGCGTGCTGGAAAAAATCCCCCAGCATCCAGCCTAACTGATAGTTGAATGATAAGATCCCAGCAGTTGAAACCTCCATACAGGACCCGGGCCTGAAACTGGCCAAAAAGTGCCTGAAGTTTCTTGGGAAACATATCTTATATATCCTTCTCCACGCTTAGAAAGTCACATTGACCTCCCCAGCTTTGGCTAGCCTTCTGGTTGAAGTGAAAGTAGGATTCATAAGTTCTATTCATAAAGACACATCATTTTATACATCAACCGTGTGCTGCTCAAAACATGGGGTTTTTGCTACCCCAATCCACAGGTTTCTCAGAAAATCTTCCTCCAATGATAAAGAAAATAATACCCCAGGTAAAGCCAGGAAAGCCTGGAAAACCACGGGATTTTTCATGGTGTTCAATCCCAGTCATTGGCTGGTTCGATGGCTGTTTTACAGGCATATCCTGATGTATAGAAAACATGAATTTGTCTGAAAATAGGGTACCCCTAAATCTTCCCTATTTACTATGTCCCTATGAAAATGGCTGTTTTCCAGACACCATACTTTGACTCACCCTTCCCCTTGCGTTTCTTTAGACAATGACCTTGACAGCAAACCCAGCCTCCAGTGCTGTCTAGGCCAGCACTATCTCCACCAAAGTCTAGGCCTTCTTGCGGGTGTTTTCACCATGGACCAATGGAGTTTGTCCAAACATGGACCTGGTATACCCCCAAACTTACTGTATATGTCGCTTTAGAGGGGAACATTTGAGGGTTTATCAAGTTGGTCAAATTCTGAGACAACCAAATCTTTATCCCGAAAGGTTTTTGACATGTTGTGACCAATGTCCATAATGCTTGTGCTTAATATCACAATGTCTCTTGATTGTGTGGGCGTGTCTGAAAATCGGCAGCCCGGAACCAGCCCGGAACCCGCACCCGAAGCCAGTCAAGGGCTGAGACTTACTAACGCTATTGGGGAAAAAATATGAGTACATATATACTCATGAGTATATATAGATGACTTGAGAATTTGTCATGGACCACCTGAAAGCTTTGCAAAGACTTGGTTTTTGCCACAAGCACTTCCAGAGCCTACTCTTCTGGGAAATTAACATAGTGACCAGTCGTCATTTTTGGATCGTTCCGCATGTCGCATTCGCAGGTACCATTTGGTGTCTGAAGTTGGGTAACATCATTCTTCCATGCTTAGAAAGGCCTCCCGAGGTTTACCCAGTACGCTTTGGCTGAGGTCATATTCAATTAAACTTCTTCAGTTCTGCTGATGTTTCTCAAAAAAAAATCATGTAACATCCCACATCATCGCACATCATGGTTGGGCAAAAATCCCCAGTGCCTCCACCTGTCAGCTCCAGTGCATCCTCATTTTCACCTACGCCATGGAACAGTTCCGAAAATGGGTCAAAGTTGCATGGCTTCATGGAGAAAACTGTACCCGGCCTGGTAAACATACTTAAAAAGCTATTGAACATGGTGATTTCTAGTGAGTTTTCCCATGAAAAATGGTGATCTTCCATAGTTTTTTGTAAACGTTTACCAGAGGTATATAGAGTGTGATGATTCCCAAAAAAAAACTGTTGGGCTGCCCTAGTTGCAAACCAACCCATATCATCAAATATCAGATCGAGTTGCTTACTGTGTATGATATATACAGTATATATTCCAATTCCCAATTCCCATTAAATCAAATTATATATATATATATATATTCCATAGAATCCTATTTAAAATCCCATTGCATCAATATTCATATCCCATTCATAGCCTAATGATCTCCCATTATCATATGAAATTCCCATACCCTCTGGTAAACTAACATAGCTATGGAAAATCACCATTTTGTATAGGAAAACTCACTATAAATGGCCATTTTCAATAGCTATTTTGACATAACCAGAGGGTAAACCTCCATTTTCCTATGGTTTTCCTATGGTTTTCCTATGGTTTTCCCATTAAAACCTCCATTTTCCTATGGTTTCCATGTCACCATGTCCGCCTGCCGCCACATCGATCTCGCCACACTCCCGCGCTTCGGCCAACAAGTTGTCGCAGCCACGGCCACCATTCGCCTGGTTCACGATGAAACCTTGGATCCCGGAAGATTCGGAAAATGCTTCGCTTGGATGTTGGGAAGATCTTGGGAAGATGTTGTTGAAAATTCTGGAAAACTTGTTCAAAGCTCATGTGGTTGGGACACTCAATTCATAGTTAACTTACTGTTTTTTTTTTAAGATAAATAATGATGATAATAATAGTAATAATAATAACATATTTTAACAAACAAAAAAACGTCCAATCCTGTTTATCTGTTATAATAAGGGATACCCCAAAAATCCACTGGTGTTGTATTTGATTATCCCGTTACATCCAATGAATCATCCCGTCATGATGGTCACACGACTATCAGTCATTCCACCAAAAAGAAAGTATCATGTGGCACTGTGTCAAAACCTTGTACCCCTGGTGAACATCAAAATAGCTGGTAAATGGATGTTCATTCCCCTAATAAACTGTATCTATAGGTATTGATCCATAGCCATGTGGTTGGGAAACTCAATTAGTAGCTCCTATTGTGGCTCTGCATGTACTAGGGATTTTGAATATGAATACCCAGAAAGCTCCTACACGCTCCACCACTGAATACTTTGAATCATAGTTATTATTGTCACTTCGTTGGTCCCAGTTAGCAAGTGAGTGGGCCCCAGTTACAAGTGGACTAAGCCTAAGCCTACTTCGCCCGTAACCAGTGATATCTTCTTCCGACTCAACAAGTGGGGGCTCATCCAGCAAGTATTTCCACATATAGGAAACATGTTTACCCTCTGGTGAACTAACATAGCAATGGAAAATCACCATTCTTAATGGGAAAATCCACTATAAATAGCCATTTTCCATTGCTATGTTAGTTCACCAGAGGGTATATCCAATCGGGTTTGTCTGAAAATAGGGGTATACCCCGAAAAATCCGCTGGACAATCATCATCGAATCATCCCCATTCAAATGGCCATGACTGGGAGCAAGAACCCCATAAAAAACACATCCCAAAAATCATCCTGCTGGTTATATCATGGTATATCCATCTGTATCCCAATATAATATATATATAATATATAATATATAATATATATAATATATACAATATATATATATAATATATATAATATATATATTATATATATTATATATAATATATAATATATATATAATATATAATATATATTATATATATAATATATAATATAATATATATATAATATATAATATATAATATATATAATATAATATATATATATATAATATAATATATATATAATATTATATATATAATATAATATATATATAATATATAATATATATATAATATAATATTATATATATATATATATTATATCCCATTAATTGCGATGATATCCCATCCAATGAAATCCATTTTTCGAGATTTCCTAGAATAGGGCTACGCCAAATCATCCAGAAAAATCAATGGATCCTAAACCATCCAGCGATTCATTCGGGTACCAGTGATGAAAACCTCCATTTTGCTCATGCGGTTGTTATATGAGCCATGGTCAATACTCACAAAAAATGGTTGATGGTCATCCCATCCATAATAAGGATCCAAAAATAATGGTTATGAAATAAATCCCGAGTGGAACCATTGGATGACTAGCCCCTATTAATGGTTATTAACCATGAGTATTGACCATAGCTCATATTTTGTTCTCGCAAACGGTGGTCCACTTCTCCAAGCAACGCTCTCTGATCTGCGTGCCACGTCCGCAGGTGTTGGAGCAAACACCCCACGCCTGCCATTCGCTCACCTGGCGACAAGTGAAAGCATGGACCGGGTGGAAATACCCCAAAAGGATGGGAAAATGGTGGATTTCAAGGGGGAAAATCAGCTACAAATGGTGGATTTTCTGCCATCATGATCATCATGATTTGAGCAAAACATACTCAGCGGTGCAGTTCGGGTTGATGGGTATAACATGGTATAACTATGGCAATAACTCCCAAAAGTTGGGAAAAATACCCAAGTGCCTTGTTGGACCCTTGGTACATGTTGCAAAGGTACGAGTTTGGATTTCGGGATTCCTGTCATGGACTATAGCAATTCCGAATTGTTAAGCCAAATGAGAGAACCTCTATTCGCTAAAGTGATATTTTGACAGGCTTTGGCCAGTGCTCAAATTGGTTTGTCTGATAGTGTGCCACCCCAAAAAAATTGATGGTCTGTCATCATTGTCTGCCAGAAGTTGGTATCGTTCACCCCCATCACCCTCCAAAGATCAAACATTGCAACACGGAATGGAGGTTTTGTCATGGGAAAACCGATGGTATCTGGCTAAATTATAATACTTCACTAATCTGAACTAAGGCCATTTGGGGATGATCTCAATTTCCCTTACCAACCATGATTCCAGTGAGGGAGAACAGTGAGGTCGTTATAATTTACCCAGATGTATCAATGGGAGACTTCCCATTGGCATGTTTTATTGCCAGAGGCACATCCAACCTCATCCCTATGGTAGTTAGTCAAACATATTAATCATACCACAATCTATATACCCTCTGGTAAACGTTTACATAGCTACGGAAAATCACTAGCTATAAAACTTTATAGCTGGGTAAATCCACTATTTCTATGGCCATTTTCAATAGCCTTTTGTATGTTTACCAGGCCGTGTCACTACAGATATCCATGGTGTTTGGGGCCCACTCAATTCGTAGCTCCCCATCGGATAGATGGACGGGACGTAAATGTTCAGGGTCAAACCAGTGGCTTGGAAAATAGTTAAATGAATCAATACCCAGTTATCCATTCAAAAGATATGTCGTTAATCTCCCATCATCCCAGTAATAGCCCATTGATAGCCCTCTTTTGTTGGTTGGGTTACTCTTGTTATACCCAAGTCCATTAATGGCATAATTCCACCAAATTATTGTTATTGTTATTATGGTATATTATGAATACAATACCAATAATACCAACAATAATGGGTATAGATGTATAAATAGCCCATTAATCTCCCATCAATCACCCTCTTAATATCACATTTGTTGGTTTAAATATCCCATGTGTTGGTGTACAAACAAACCCACTAATGGGTATAATGTAAAACAAAAAAACTATGAATATTTATCAGTTTGTTGGTAGAAAACTTATACTGTTGGTACTTCCACCATTTATTTGTTGTACAAACCGCTATAACATTTATACCCTGGTATATCAATAAATGATAGTTAGTATAAATGTTAGTATGTTAGTATACATATCATGTTAGCTATCATGAATGATATACCAACCATTTCACATTATAGTCGGTATAAATGATTATGAATGTTAGTACATATACTAATGGGGTATCATTATCCATATAGTCTATAATCTATAACTAACATTATAGCTATCATTATACCTATTATATAACCCATTATCGATATTATCATAGGTGAATTAGCTCCTGCCCCCAAAGTTCGTACCCCCAGATCTAAATGGAAAACCATGGGTTTTGTGCGCAAATATGTGTTGACCATGTTTGACTAAATAAGCACTATCAATGTTTGGAAAGCTTGGATAAGCATTGGTAAGGCTTAATAACCCTTGCTAAAAGAGGACAGGTTTTTTGAAAAAAGTGCAAAACGAATTGGTCCTTATTTTCCCCTTGGCAAGGCCTACATAAGGATTATTTCTTTTGCGCGCTTTTTTGTGGAGATGGAAATCTCTTATTAAGAGAGTTGTGGTCGTGTATGTGTTGCAACCACCCAAAGATGGAAAGTTGTGCCACGAGCGACTGAAGGCTGCCTTTTGTTGTAAAGGGTGTCAAATGCAGTGCTTAACGTGAGTAGTTTTTAAGCTTTGTGAACGCCCATGGGAAAAGATGTGCAGATTCAGTAAAGAGAACCTGTGGTAAGTGCACTTTGGAGTAAGGGGTATTAAGCCTTATTAAGCCTTATTAAGAACCAATCCGTTTGGCGCGATGTTCAAAACAATTGTTCTGTTGTAGTAAAGGGTATTAAGCCTTATTAAGCCTTACCAATCCCAATCCAATGCCTATCATTTTTTGGGCTTTAGCAAGCCCGCGTTTGGTGGAATTTCCCAACATCAACCCCTGGATGTTTATTAAGGCTTCCCAAGAGCAATGCCTTTTGCAGGTGATGAAGAACCCCATATCATTTGGGTTTGATCCATTTGAAGTCTTGCTAGCGCCCACAGGCTCATTCATGGAACCTTTATTAATAAGCCTTATTAAACAAACATCCATTTCCCAGAGTAAACCTTCTCAGTTTTGACAAGGTTGGAAAACATAGGGTCATTACAGGATCAGTTTTCCATTTAGATCTGGGGGTACGAACTTTGGGGGCAGGAGCTAATTCACCCTTGATATTATACCTAATATCCATATCTATAACTAACATTAAAGCTATCATTGTACCATAATATACCTATTATAACCCATTACTCATATTATACCTATGTCAATGTCTATAACTAACCTTACGGCAAGACCCTGAGGCTTGCCCGAACTCGCAACAAGCGTCCGGGCAAGCCATGATGATGATGATGACGATGATGATGATCATGATGATAACTATTATTATTATTGAATATTCTTAATATTATTAATTATTATTATTATTATTATTATTATTTTGGTATCTTCTTGAAACCCTATAAGAAACCCTAGTGACTGTGTGGTTAATTGTTCCATGGGGCCCGGAGACTTTGATATCTTCTTGAAACCCTATTTAAAAAAAAAAAACCTGCTGACTGTACGTGTGGTTAATTCCATATGATATGTACCAGCGACATGTTCTGGTTATATGATATGTAGAAGCAACATGTTCTGGTTAACACCCTAGCAACATAATGGAATATAAAATCCTTCCCGTTGTTTACCGTCGTTCAGAATTCACTGGTATTTACGCTATTCTGGGCTTGGGAAACCTCGGGGTCTGTGTGTAACATTATAGCTATCATTATACCATATTATACCTATATCCACATCTATAACTAACATTATAGCTATCATTATACCATACTATACCTATTATAACCCATTATCCATATGATACCTATATCCATATCTATAACTAACAACCCCTTATGCCCATTAATACCATTTACAGCTATACCAATGGGGTATCATTATCCCTTTTTGATCTATAACTATTCCATTTCTAGCTATCATCAAAAACCATATTATACCTATTATAGCTAACCCATTATCCCCATAATCATGATATACCATTATCATTAACCGATTAACCCATCGTGGGGATTATAGCATCATTAACCCACTATCATTATCATAGCCATAATCATTATCCCCATAATCCCAGGAGCTATCATTTATACCTATATCCATATAACATTCTATAACTAACAACCCATCATGCCCATTAATACCATTTATAGCTATACCATATGCTATACCAATGGGGTATCATCCCCATAATCCCACTATGATAACATGCAGAGCTCCGCCGCTTCGCCTCGCAGTGCTTGCCCCCGCAGGGGGACTCGTTGCATCCGCGCAGTTCTTCCAGGTCTTGCGGGCAGGCCTGGAAAGCTGGTAGGGAGCTGGACAACTTGGAGGAAAACCATGGGAAATCCATAAGAAATCCATAGAAAAACCCTGGGAAACGTCAGAAAAATATGGGAAATCCATGGAAAATATGCGAAAACTATGGGAAATCCACGGAAAATACGGAGAAACAAACAAACAGGAACAGATGAGAAATCCAGGTTAAATATGGGAAAAATATAGAAACATATCATTGGAAATGTGCGCAAACTATGGGAAATCCATGGAAAATGTGAGAAACATATGGTAAATAATGGTAAATATACCGGAAATCTGTGGAAATCCCCGAACTCAACGGAGGTTTTTTTCGCTGGGAAAATCATTGAACCATGCTGCTGGTTTCTTTTTTAGCAAGCCAGGTTTGCCTACAAAAGGTTGATCTCGCCAGAAAATATATACCAATTCCAGCGAAATCGGTTAGTGGTCCATTCTGTGTTAGTGCAGCCCAGGGTAAATTGTGGAAGAAAAAAATCACCAAATTGGAATGTGAACGACTTTGACCAAAAAGGGCAACTTCACCAACAAATTACAGCTATGACGACGAACAAATAGGTAACAACAGACCCGCGATAGGCCGATGATGTCGGGTATTAGCCACAGCCATTTCACCTGGGTACCCCAGTAAAAATAGCCAGAATATCTGGGTGCTATAGGCGATCTATAGCTGACTGTAGCGGAATTACTTTGGGATTTTGACGATCGATAGGGGTGGAGTTCAGAGTTGATCACCCAACATGTTTTTGGGGTAACGTGTAAACAGTTTCAAGTAAATTAACAATGTTGGGGTGAGAAGTACAGCGCATATCAAACTAGCAGTAAACCCAGCAAAGCATGGGGAAGAAAACAAACCAACAAGTATCTGTGCAATTACATTAAATCTTCGGCTGATACCCAGCTCAGAATATGTCACGGCTTATTTCACCCATTTGTTCAGCCCATCTATATACCGTATATACCCTCTTGTAAACAAACATAGCTATTGAAAATGGCAATTTATAGTGGATTTTCCCATTAAACATGGTGATGTTTCATAGTTTTTTGTATGTTTACCAGAGGGTAAGTGTACCTGACCCCTGGCGAGGGTGGACATCATGACTTCCATCCCCGGCCTTTCCACCGTTCTTGGGTGTAACTGTGATGTGGCGCCCACGCATGGATTGCCCCCCACCGCAGCTGCGATCACAGGGGCCTTGGAATCTCCAAACGGTTGGAAAATCTTTGAAACCCATAACCTCCCATGACTAAAAACGGATGTTTCCCTATATCAAACTGGCACCCTTGGGTCATTTTATGTTTATGTTGTTGTTGTTGTTGTTGTTGTTGCTGTTGTTGTCGTCGTCGTCGTCGTTGTCGTCGTCGTCGTCGTTGTTGTTGTTAACCACGGATGCCAGGTTTTTACAGATGCAGGGATGCACCCCCTCATCAACCACCACGGTCTCTGTGAAAATCCCATGGTTTATCACCATTGATTGAATGGAATGTGGATGGTTTTGACATGTTTTAGCCATCTTGAAAAATATTACTGTAGTCAATGGGCAGAATTATCCCATATATTATTGAAACTAAAAAATGTTTTGAAACCACCAACCAGAATGGGATGTGGATAGTTAATGATGGTTAATGATGGTTAATGATGGTTAATGATGGTTAATGATGGTTAATGATGGTTAATGATTGTTAATGATGGTTAATGATGGTTAATGATGGCTAATAATGGTTAATGATGGTTAATGATGGTTAATGATGGTTAATGATGGTTAATGATGGCTAATAATGGTTAATGATGGTTAATGATGGTTAATGATGGCCAATAATGGTTAATGTAGATGGCGGCAATTTGCAGATACACCCCATGTTCAGACACTCCCATCTGGTCGCTGCTATTTTGAACATCTGGAAATCTCAAGACTCAACAGGATCCAATCTGATGATCTTCGAGAGGCTACGGATCATGATTGGAACCTCGACAGAAAGAGCATTTCTCTTGGGAGAATTGCTTGTGTTGCTCACACGATCTCACCAACTCTACATAACACAATCAAACACAATCTAACTATATGTTTGACCAGAAAATCAAAGGAAAACCATAAAACCCCATAAAACCCATAAAACCCTTAGTTTTCCCATGGTTTCCAGTGGTTTTTCCTGTTTGTTAGACATCAAAATCCCATCAAATCAGACATCGCGACCCAATTTTTTCGCTACCGGATTCCCGCGGATTCGCGACGGCCAGGCCAGCCAGGCCAGCCAGGCCACTCCAAACGCTCCACTCGGAGATTTCGCAATCCACCACGGAGAGGCACATTCGCACTTCCTGCTGATTTGAGAGATGTCACTGTGGGAAAAAAGGGACGATTCATGACTTAGAAAAACTGGGTAAGTCATAAACCAATATGTTTAGCAACTATCCCAATTTTTTTTCTAAGTTGATGAATATTGATTTATATTACCAAATTATTATCAGTTGATTTGATCAACTACCCTGGGTTGATGAACCATTCAACCTGGGTTATGAAGTTATAAACCAACTCCATCAAAGCAGAGATGATGTCACCATGTCACCGTAAAAATTCAGGTGGATTGAACTCACGATGTCCATAGGGACATCAAGATATGGTGTTAAACATCAAATAATTGGGATATAAATGGATTTAAACACCAAAAAATCCAGGACTTACTTAACAATCTTAACCCTTACAATGAGGTGTTGGCCAAAGATAAGGAAATTACCCAGCGAAAAAAATGGGTGTTGCCTGTTTGGATCATCCAAGATAACACCAACCAAGTTGGTATGTTGCCAACGAGTCGTCCAGGTTACGTTTTTCCCAACTCCTGAACCATTTTGGTGTAATGTTTCCCCTAAAAAAAAAGCACTTGTGTGTGCATATAGATCATTATAGATCTATCCAGCCATATTTTTCTGAAATGCTGATGGCTTAAAGCCTATGATTCACCTTATTTAAGGGGGGAATGAACATAATGAACATCAACAAATCCCTGCTATTTTGGTGCAAATCATCCCAGATCCCCGCGGCTCGTTCCAAAACAGTCATTGATCATGGTTTAAAAAAAATGAGTTTAAGAAGATTCATCATATGGGGATCCAAGAAAATAACGCGTCCAATATCTATGTACATATATATATATATTATACATATATATATATATACATATAAATATATATACATATAAATATATATATAGGGATATATATATATATATGTTTTTCTTATGAAATAATACATAACATAATATTGATCAGATTTCATCATGTTCTTCGCAGGAAAATCCGCTACTGCGCCCTTTTGCCGCCTGCATGGGACCTTCACAGGGCAAGCCCTCACCTCACGCTGGGATCATGTGGGATCCCACAATCAATGCATTGGTTTAAGGGAAAATCTACAGGAAACCATGGTTTTTACCATCAATTATAGGGGTTTCCTGTAAATTTTCCCATCATCCAATTCTGTGACACAAAGGATTTGGTGGTTGTTTTAACACCAAAACAAGGCGATTGATGTGATTGTTTGGTAAAAAGAATGCATTTGTTACTGGAAAATTCATGAAAAATCATGCTACTGTTGTGTATTGTTACTTATATTTGTTTATATAGTTGGAAAATGATGAGCACCCACCAGAATTTGGGACTTTTGCATATTGGGAGGATAGGATTATAGAGATAGTACAACATATATATATAATCATATACATATAATATCTACTTTATAATCGCTCATAAAACAGATACACTATCAGATAGACAAAAAAAAGATCGGAAATCGATATGAATTGCAGACTGTAAACCATCACTTGGCGTTTTTTGGTCGCGTCAGCTTGCGACAACTTACAAATGACAAATGACAATCACATACAATCACAGTGTCAGAGGCCGATTTGCCTCGGTGACAGTAACTCCAAATTGATAATCCTGGAAAATCGCAAAGTGTCACCCTCTCGAAATCCACAGGAAGAATCAGGAAAATCCCAATATATCTTATATAATATATATATATAATTATTTATATGTATATAGTTATATGTATATGTACAATGTTCGACATGTCATGACATGTCAAGAATTGAAAATGGGATGTTCCAATGATGTCCCATAGATTTTTGGGATTTTGCCCTTGGAATTTGGCCAACCCACGCGGCCTGTGGCTTCGATGTAGATCTTTCGACTCCGCGAGCACATGCCTCAGGGCGATCAGAACCATGAAGAAATTGGGGAAAATGATGAGTTAATCATGAAAAATGGTGGAAAAATGTATTTAGCCATGAAAAATGGTGGAAAAACATGATTGAACCATGAAACATGGTGGAACGTGATGAGTTCATCACTCCAGACACAGTCCTGGCGGCGGAAAAATGATGGAAAATGATGATTCAGCCATGAAAAAATGGTGGCAAATGGTACTTTAACCATTCAAAATAGGGATTTAACCATCAAAACTGGTGGTAGAAAATGGTGGTTCCAAGGCAAATGACCAATGATGCTTGTTCTAAAGTGGCGGATTTGAGCAAAATTCAACGTCTGTGGGGATAAACGCCTATACGTATATGTAATGTATTTATATATATATATATGTACGTATGTATATTACGCATACACACATACGATTTCAATTGATTTCATGTATGTATTGTTCAATTTTGTTTTATATGTCTTGACTGGGTATGTTCTACACATCTTCCCCGTTGCTCGTCTATCTCATGTTTTTTTTCGGGATCTATTTGTGTCCATCTCTGCCTATCTCTACCTCTACCCCTTTTTCCTTGGAATCATGGCCTCCTATCTTCACTCATTTATCGTCAAATTCCTAAATTTATCTCTACCTACTTCCGATATTTATCTTTCTATCCCGAACTCTGTCCCTTGCTCTATCCATCTCAAACCATTGCTCAATCTAGTTCTGCCCCTGTGTCCAGGCTCTGGAATGAAGTGTTCTAACAAGGTTTGGCAACAAATACTGTTTTGTTCAGAAAATTAGTTACCCTCCAGTAAATTAACATAGACCCTGGCAGATAGGGGTTGGAAGACTGGTTTCCACTAAAAACGGCTTATTTTCAGGGTCTATGTTAATTTACCAGAGGGTTTTATTTATTGATATGATTGAAAACAAACCGTGCACCCTCTGTCAACATTGCCATTGAAATTGACAATTGTTAACAGGTAAATATCATCCTACATGGGCCATCAAAAACCATAGCTATGCAACAAATTACCGGAGGGTATGTTGTCGGCCGTGGCCACCTAGTGGACCTACCCTGGATTCAGAAATTGCTGGTTGATTTTGCATGGTATCCCCCAAGACACTAAGTTCATCTGCTACTGAAATGGTAAGCCCCCTGGGGATCAACAGTTTAGGGGTTCATTCATCCATTGTTCAGTTGTTAAATTACTTAATTCCCTATGATTAAATGGCGATTTAACTATCAATCAGTTGAATCATCACCAAGAATTGATAGCCATCAACTACAGTAGGGTTTCCGTTCATCCATTGTGAACTGATGGTTAAAGATGGTTAACTGATAGTTGGTCATAAGAATAGTTAAATTGGACAATTCATCCGAATGGCTAAAGATAGTTCATCCATTAAATCAACAGTCGTTCATCGTAAAAATGGAAGTTTCCTAAGTCATGGGGGGGTACCCCCAAATCATCCAAGTCATTCGACCATGGCTTAGTATACCCATGGGTGCCTTTGGGATCCCCCATTTTAAGAACCCCCCAAGTGGGTATATATATATATATCCCATTTATAATTCGTAAGAACTCACCATGATTGGTGATATAGATTGGTATAGATTGATTTTCATAATGACCACTATAATCTGACTAGTGAAAAAATTGTTGGTTAATTAAAAATCATTAAAAAAAAAAACTATTCTGGTTGATGGTATACCTACCCCTCTGAAAAATATGACTTCGTCAGTTGGGGTTACGAACTTCCCACTATGATGGGAAAGTCATAAAATTCAATGGTTCCAAACCACCAACCAGTATTTCAATCATAAAAAATCGTCAAAATCACTCGTTGTTGCTGACGGGAAAGTTCCGTGGTTCCCTCCTTGGTGGTGACGCTGCCGCCCAGGAGCCATCTTCCCCTGGTGACTTCCATTCGGTCCAATCACTCCAAACACAGTTCTGGCGCCGGAAAAAACATGAGAAAAACCATGAAAACTGCTGGGAAACATGGTATTTTAACCAGTCAGAGTAGGGATTTAACCATCAAACTGCTGGTAGAATGGAAATATATATATATATATAATGATATATATATATATATATGAAATATATATATATATATCATTATATATATATGTGAAAATGATGATATCCTCTGCTGTCAAAAATCACACGTTTTCATGGTAAAACATCTATCAATAGGTCAGTGTCCATAGCTATGTAAAACTACCAAATGGTGAGCATCAAAATAAATATCTACATTGGCCATGTTGGTTTATACCATCAAACATGAGAAGTTAACAATCAAACATGAGGGATGTGACTAATGAAGAACGGTTCAAAGAAAGGGGGTCCACTGTGTTCTTTTCCCTTCAATTCCGGTCAAGCGGGGTGTTGCCATATTCGTTCCCTTTGTCAGAAGCATGTCTGGTGGTATACCTACCCCTCTGAAAAATGATGGAGTTCGTCAGTTGGGATGATTTTCCATTCCCAATATGATGGGAAAGTCATAAAATTCCATGGTTCCAAACCACCAATCAGTGATTATAAGCCATTTATATGTGGGGATAACCGTAAATAACTCATTCATTTTTTGGGGACTTATTAATAAAGGTTTAAAAAAACACCCATCAGATGTAACATCCATTGGAAAATCATCTCACCACGAAGCCCACGGCATCCACCGCCGGACCGGAATCCACCGCTCCTGGGACGGGCACTTCTTCATACGACAATCCTCGGTTGTGAAACAGAAAGCCGGTCACCGACTCGCTGAAATGCCCAGCTTTTGTGTTCTGTATAAACCCATTGACATCCATGACCATGAACTATAAATATATAAATACATATATATATTATATATATATTATATATATATAAATAACCACAAAACCATATGGGGATGGGTCAAAACCCTGGTACCTAGTGAACCCCAAAATAGCTGGTAAATGGATGTTCATCCCACAAAAAATGTATCTATAGGTATTGACCCATACCCATATAAAACCTTAGTTAACCATAGTTAACCAGTTAACCTAGTTACCCCAGCCCCAATGATTAAACAGCCGGGCTATGAATCCATCCCCACAGATGAGCGTCGTCAACCATGGACAGTGGCCCTTCGCAGGGATTGCCAAAACCTGATGGCGCCATGGCACAGCCGTTAGTGAGGCATACTCTCCAGCAAATTCACATTCCTGGTTGATAAATGGACAAATTGACATGAAAAAAACAGTTATAACGCTTGTAGTTTTTTGCGGTTGATAATATTCTTGTGTTAAACAATGGTAACCAGATACCCTCTGGTAATTTAACATAGCTATTGAAAATCACCATTTTTAATGGGAAAATCCACTATTAATGGTAATTTTCAATAGCTACGTTAAATTACCAGAGGGTATAATGGTCAACAGCTTCAATTAATGCTTGTCCATCTCCTCCAGTCCCCTGGGGAAATGCCCAGCCGGAACCCAGATCCAGCCGTCCAGCCGTCATGCGCCTTGTTTGGCCGTCTGGATCCCGCGCTCACGACTGTGAAAGCCCAGGCCGCAGGTCACGCTGCATTCGGTCCAGGCCTGGTGAAGAGGGAGATTTCTTTGATCTTGTGGGAAAGTGTTAACTAACCATAGTTAACTATATAATATAACCATTGTAAAACTGAAAATAGTGTTACTAACCATTGTAAATTTCTTTGATTGTCTTACTAACCATTGTAAATTGAAGATAGTGTTATTTCTTTTCTACAGTGGTATTACAGTGATATGAAAATAGTGTTAAATTCTTGTAAAATTGTGGTGTTTCAGGAAAATCCCAATCTAAACTATAGTGACGGACAATCACTTAGAACGTAAAATTTTTTCCAATTTTTTTTTTCGTACTTAGAACGTAGCAAAATTTCATCACTTAGAACGTAGGGAAAATTCATCACTTAGAACGTCAAAATATCACTTAGGCCCATTTATCACTTAGAACGTAAACCAACACTTAGAACGTGCTAAGTGATTGTCCGCCACTATAATTATGAACAATTACCATATGATATGTATATATACTTGTATATATATAAATACATACATTATAAATGTATATAATATAAATACTTCTACAATCCAAAACCTTCGAGAAAATCGATGAGGTACCCACCGTTTCAAATCAACTGTGATGGTTCCCTTTCAAAATATTGCCAAAAATTGGATTTCGAAGCGGATCCTAATAATAAATTTAAACCCTTAATAAAAAAAAACAAGTTTTTTCGATTCAAAATCAATTAAATTTCCTTTTATAACGCAATTAGACTATTGCCAAAAATTAGATTTCGAAGCGGACCCTAATAAATTTAAACCTTTAATAAAACAAAACTATTTTTTTCAATTCAAAATCAATCAAATTTCCTTGTATAACGCAATTGAAATATTGCCACAAATTGGATTTCGATGCGGGCCTAAATAATAAATTTAAACCCTTAATAAGAAAAACAATTTTTTTCGATTTCAATTTAAATATTGCCAAAAATTGGATTCCGAAGCGGACCCTAATAATAAATTTAAAACCTTAATTTTTAAAACTATTGTTTTCACTTTCGAAATCAATTGAATTTCCTTTTAAAAAACGCACTTAAGATATTGCAGAAAATTGGAATTCGCAGTGGAATCGAAATTATGTCTATGTTTCCTACGGAATTCGCTGCTGAATCCAACACTTAGAACGTCAGAACCCCCAAAAAGCACCAAAAGGTATACCGTTCCAGAGATAAAAGATCGCCAATGTTTGCAAATCATATGGGAGGGAAAAGCCAAATGGTACGAAATTATGTCTATGTTTCCTACGGCATTAGCTGCTGAATCCAACACTTAGAACGTCAGAAACCCGCAAAAAACACCAAAAGGATCCAAAAGGTATAGTGTTCCAGAGATAAAAGATCGCCAATGTTTGCAAATCATATGGGAGGGAAAAGCTAAATGGTACGAAATTATGTCTATGTTTCCTACGGAATTAGCTGCTGAATCCAACACTTAAAATCAGGAACCCTCAAAAAAGCACCAAAAGGTATAGTGTTCCAGAGGTAAAGACCGCCAAGATTGGGCAAATCATATGGGATGGAAAAGCCAAATGGTACGAAATTATGTCTATGTTTCCTACGGAAGTAGCTGCTGAATCCAACACTTAGAACGTCAGAACCCCCAAAAAGCACCAAAAGGATCCAAAAGGTATAGTGTTCCAGAGATAAAAGATCGCCAATGTTTGCAAATCATTTGTGAGGGAAAAGCCAAATGGTACGAAATTATGTCTATGTTTCCTACGGAACTAGCTCCTGAATCCAACACTTAGAACGTCAGAACCCCCAAAAAGCACCAAAAGGTATAGTGTTCCAGAGATAAAAGATCGCCAATGTTTGCAAATCATATGGGAGGGCAAAGCCAAATGGTACGAAATTATGTCTATGTTTCCTACGGCATTAGCTGCCGAATCCAACACTTAGAACGTCAGAACCCCCAAAAAGCACCAAAAGGCATAGTGTCCCAGAGATAGAGAACGCCAATATTTGCAAAACATATGGAAGGGAAAAGCCAAATGGTACGAAATTATGTCGATCTATGTTTCCTACGGAATTAGCTTCTGAATCCAACACTTAGAACGTCAGAACTACCAAAAAGCACCAAAACATATAGCGTTCCAGAGATAAAAGATCGCCAATATTTGCAAATCATATGGGATGGAAAAGCCAAATGGTACGAAATTATGTCTATGCTTCCTACGGAATTAGCTGCTGAATCCAACACTTAGAACGTCAGAACCTCCAAAAAGCACCAAAAGAATCCAAAAGGCATAGTGTTCCAGAGATAAAAGATCGCCAATGTTTGCAAATCATATAGGAGGGAAAAGCTAAATGGTACGAAATTATGTCTATGTTTCCTATACGGAATTAGCTGCTGAATCCAACACTTAGAACGTCAGAACCCCCAAAAAGCACCAAAAAGTATAGTGTTCCAGAAGTAAAGACCGCCAAGATTGGCAAATCATATGGGAGGGAAAAGCCAAATGGTACGAAATTATGTCTATGTTTCCTACAGCTTAGAACGTCAGAATCCCCAAAAAGCACCAAAAGGTATAGTGTTCCAGAGATAAAAGACCGCCAAGATTTGCAAATCATATGGGAGGGAAAAGCCAAATGGTACGAAATTATGTCTATGTTTCCTACGGAATTAGCTGCTGAATCCAACACTTAGAACGTCAGAACCCCCAAAAAGCACCAAAAGGTATAATGTTCCAGAGATGAAAGATCGCCAATATTTGCAAATCATATGGGAGGGAAAAGCCAAATGGTACGAAATTATGTCTATGTTTCCTACGGAATTAGCTGCTGAATCCAACACTTAGAACGTCAGAACCCCCAAAAAGCACCAAAAAGTATAGTGTTCCAGAAGTAAAGACCGCCAAGATTGGCAAATCATATGGGAGGGAAAAGCCAAATGGTACGAAATTATGTCTATGTTTCCTATACGGAATTCGCTGCTGAATCCAACACTTAGAACGTCAGAACCCCCAAAAAGGATCCAAAAGGTATAGTGTTCCAGAGATAAAAGATCGCCATTGTTTGCAAATCATATGGGAGGGAAAAGCTAAATGGTACGAAATTATGCCTATGTTTCCTACGGAATTAGCTGCTGAATCCAACACTTAGAACGTCAGAACCCTCAAAAAAGCACCAAAAGGTATAGTGTTCCAGAGGTAAAGACCGCCAAGATTGGCAAATCATATGAGAGGGAAAAGCCAAATGGTACGAAATTATGTCTATGTTTCCTACGGAAGTAGCTGCTGAATCCAACACTTCGAACATCAGAACTCAGAACCCCCAAAAAGCACCAAAAGGATCCAAAAGGTATAGTGTTCCAGAGATAAAAGATCGCCAATGTTTGCAAATCATATTGGAGGGAAAAGCTAAATGGTACGAAATTATGTCTATGTTTCCTACGGAATTAGCTTCTGAATCCAACACTTAGAACGTCAGAACCCCAAAAAAGCACCAAAAAGTATAGTGTTCCAGAAGTAAAGACCGCCAAGATTTGCAAATCATATGGGAGGGAAAAGCCAAATGGTACGAAATTATGTCTATGTTTCCTATACGGAATTAGCTGCTGAATCCAACACTTAGAACGTCAGAACCACCAAAAAGCACCAAAAAGTATAGTGTTCCAGAAGTAAAGACCGCCAAGATTTGCAAATCATATGGGAGGGAAAAGCCAAATGGTACGAAATTATGTCCATGTTTCCTATACGGAATTAGCTGCTGAATCCAACACTTAGAACGTCAGAACCCCCAAAAAGCACCAAAAGGTATAGTGTTCCAGAAATAAAAGATCGCCAATGTTTGCAAATCATTTGTGAGGGAAAAGCCAAATGGTACGAAATTATGCCTATGTTTCCTATACAGAATTAGCTGCTGAATCCAACACTTAGAACGTCAGAACCCGCAAAAAAAGCACCCAAAAGTATAGTGTTCCAGAAGTAAAGACAGCCAAGATTGGCAAATCATATGGGAGGGAAAAGCCAAATGGTACGAAAGTATGTCTATGTTTCCTATACAGAATTAGCTGCTGAATCCAACACTTAGAACGTCAGAACCCCCAAAAAGCACCAAAAGGATCCAAAAGGTATAGTGTTCCAGAGATAAAAGATCGCCAATGTTTGCAAATCATATGGGAGGGAAAAGCTAAATGGTACGAAATTATGTCTATGTTTCCTACGGAATTAGCTTCTGAATCCAACACTTAGAAGGTCAGAACCCCCAAAAAGCACCAAAAGGTATAGTGTTCCAGAGGTAAAGACCGCCAAGATTGGCAAATCATATGGGAGGGAAAAGCCAAATGGTACGAATTTCCTACGGAATTAGCTGCTGAATCCAACACTTAGAACGTCAGAACCCCCAAAAAGCACCAAAAGGTATAGTGTTCCAGAGGTAAAGACCGCCAAGATTGGCAAATCATATGGGAGGGAAAAGCCAAATGGTACGAAATTATGTCTATGTTTCCTACGGAAGTAGCTGCTGAATCCAACACTTAGAACGTCAGAACCCCCAAAAAGCACCAAAAGGATCCAAAAGGCATAGTGTCCCAGAGATAAAGAACGCCAATATTTGCAAAACATATGGAAGGGAAAAGCCAAATGGTACGAAATTATGTCGATCTATGTTTCCTACGGAATTAGCTTCTGAATCCAACACTTAGAACGTCAGAACTACCAAAAAGCACCAAAACATATAGCGTTCCAGAGATAAAAGATCGCCAATATTTGCAAATCATATGGGATGGAAAAGCCAAATGGTACGAAATTATGTCTATGTTTCCTACGGAATTAGCTGCTGAATCCAACACTTAGAACGTCAGAACCTCCAAAAAGCACCAAAAGAATCCAAAAGGCATAGTGTTCCAGAGATAAAAGATCGCGAATGTTTGCAAATCATATAGGAGGGAAAAGCTAAATGGTACGAAATTATGTCTATGTTTCCTATACGGAATTAGCTGCTGAATCCAACACTTAGAACGTCAGAACCCCCAAAAAGCACCAAAAAGTATAGTGTTCCAGACGTAAAGACCGCCAAGTTTGGCAAATCATATGGGAGGGAAAAGCCAAATGGTACGAAATTATGTCTATGTTTCCTACAGCTTAGAACGTCAGAATCCCCGAAAAGCACCAAAAGGTATAGTGTTCCAGAGATAAAAGATCGCCAAGATTTGCAAATCATATGGGAGGGAAAAGCCAAATGGTACGAAATTATGTCTATGTTTCCTACGGAATTAGCTGCTGAATCCAACACTTAGAACGTCAGAACCCCCAAAAAGCACCAAAAGGTATAGTGTTCCAGAAATAAAAGATCGCCAATGTTTGCAAATCATTTGTGAGGGAAAAGCCAAATGGTACGAAATTATGTCTATGTTTCCTACGGAATTAGCTGCTGAATCCAACACTTAGAACGTCAGAACCCCCAAAAAGCACCAAAAGGTATAGTGTTCCAGAGATAAAAGACCGCCAAGATTTGCAAATCATATGGGAGGGAAAAGCTAAATGGTACGAAATTATGTCTATGTTTCCTATACGGAATTCGCTGCTGAATTTTACACTTAGAACGTCAGAACCCCCAAAAAGGATCCAAAAGGTATAGTGTTCCAGAGATAAAAGATCGCCAATGTTTGCAAATCATATGGGAGGGAAAAGCTAAATGGTACGAAATTATGTCTATGTTTCCTACGGAATTAGCTGCTGAATCCAACACTTAGAACGTCAGAACCCTCAAAAAAGCACCAAAAGGTATAGTGTTCCAGAGGTAAAGACCGCCAAGATTGGCAAATCATATGGGAGGGAAAAGCCAAATGGTACGAAATTATGTCTATGTTCCCTACGGAAGTAGCTGCTGAATCGAACACTTCGAACATCAGAACTCAGAACCCCCAAACAGCACCAAAGGGTATACTGCTCCAGAGATAAAAGATCGCCAATGTTTGCAAATCATATGGGAGGGAAAAGCTAAATGGTACGAAATTATGTCTATGTTTCCTACGGAATTAGCTTTGAATCCAACACTTAGAACGTCAGAACCCCCAAAAAGCATCAAAAAGTATAGTGTTCCAGAAGTAAAGACCGCCAAGATTTGCAAATCATATGGGAGGGAAAAGCCAAATGGTACGAAATTATGTCTATGTTTCCTATACGGAATTAGCTGCTGAATCCAACACTTAGAACGTCAGAACCCCCAAAAAGCACCAAAAGGTATAGTGTTCCAGAAATAAAAGATCGCCAATGTTTGCAAATCATTTGTGAGGGAAAAGCCAAATGGTACGAAATTATGCCTATGTTTCCTAAGGAATTAGCTGCTGAATCCAACACTTAGAACGTCAGAACCCGCAAAAAAAGCACCCAAAAGTATAGTGTTCCAGAAGTAAAGACCGCCAAGATTGGCAAATCATATGGGAGGGAAAAGCCAAATGGTACGAAATTATGTCTATGTTTCCTACGGAACTAGCTGCTGAATCCAACACTTCGAACATCAGAACTCAGAACCCCCAAACAGCACCAAAGGGTATACTGCTCCAGAGATAAAAGATCGCCAATGTTTGCAAATCATATGGAAGGGAAAAGCCAAATGGTACGAAATTATGTCTATGTTTCCTACGGAATTAGCTTCTGAATCCAACACTTAGAACGTCAGAACCCCCAAAAAGCACCAAAAGGTATAGTGTTCCAAAGATAAAAGATCGCCAAGATTTGCAAATCATTTGTGAGGGAAAAGCCAAATGGTACGAAATTATGCCTATGTTTCCTATACGGAATTAGCTGCTGAATCCAACACTTAGAACGTCAGAACCCTCAAAAAAACACCAAAAGGTATAGTGTTCCAGAGGTAAAGACCGCCAAGATTGGCAAATCATATGGGAGGGAAAAGCCAAATGGTACGAAATTATGTCTATGTTTCCTATACAGAATTAGCTGCTGAATCCAACACTTAGAACGTCAGAACCCCCAAAAAGCACCAAAAGGATCCAAAAGGTATAGTGTTCCAGAGATAAAAGATCGCCAATATTTGCAAATTATATGGGAGGGAAAAGCTAAATGGTACGAAATTATGCCTATGTCTCCTATACGGAATTAGCTGCTGAATCCAACACTTCGAGCATCAGAACTCAGAACCCCCAAAAAGCACCAAAGGGTATACCGTTCCAGAGATAAAAGATCGCCAATTTTTGCAAATCATATGGGAGGGAAAAACCAAATGGTACGAAATTATGTCTATGTTTCCTACGGAATTAGCTGCTGAATCCAACACTTAGAGATAAAAGATTTCACAAGCCTTTCCACTATCATCAGTGACCTAGACACGTTCTAAGTGTTAAATCCCCGGTACGTTCTAAGTGATGAATCTTGATATTTGGACGTTCTAAGTGTATGGTTTTCGACGTTCTAAGTGCAAGGCTTAGAACGTAAAAAAAGCAGTAATATTCAGAATTTTTTTTCCAAAATACGTTCTAAGTGATTGTCCGTCACTATATAGTGGCAAATTGTGGCAAAATACTGTTCCAATCTGTTCTATCTTTTTTGGGGGCTGACTTTTTTGAGGATGGATAACAGGAGATGTTTGCCAACAAGTCGGAAAACCACTCGTTGGTGACGGCAACAAAACCCCAACAAAATCCAATGTTTTTATTGAACGGAAATTGGGATGATCATCCTGCCGAATGAAGAAACCAACCCCCGGCAACCCCATCCAGCTATAGATATATCCACCATCAATTCAAGTTACATACTAGCTATAAACATCTATAAACCAACTTAACGATTGGGCCCTTCCTGTAGGAAAAACGAGACCTGAAAAAAAAAAAAACATGCTGGAAAAACATGCAAATATATGTCCCCTGCAAAATTGTCATCTGCTTAGAGCTTTGCTGCAGTGCATGGTTGGCAAATGGTTGCCATTCAAAAAGAGTTTTGACATGTATCATTCAAAAAGAGGTTTGACAGTGGTCCAAAAAGAACTGATAAGGAGAAAAAACTATGCGAGGTCATATATAATCGGCCGTCCTTTACGATCCTTCGAGTAATTGGATTAAATGTGTGCTTCAAACAGACCTTGAATCGCTGTGTCGCGGATCTTCCGACTACTTGAATCGCTTTGTTGGGATGTGTATACCCGACCTGCTTTAAAATGACCGTCTGGACGCATCACTCACAATATTTCCAGAACCTGAAAGATCCCGCCTTCCAAGTTGGGAAGTCTTGATCTTGAAATCTCCCAAACCAAACCATCCAAAAATAGTTCCCCAAAAATCCAATGCTTTTTGGCCATATTTTGGGGTTCATCTGCCACAAACAGACCGGGCACCTCCCATTCAGACAGCTCGCAGTCGATGTCTTGGATTGGTTCATCACAAGGTCCCGTCTCTTGTGTAGGGCCCACACAGGGCTGACCTCTTGCGAGAAAATGGACAAGTGTGAAATTGCAAAGTCACTGAGCATTGTTGAGATTTCCTGAGGGATACCAATGAGAAGTTGAGATGTTATGTCTTATCTGGTTCACGTCTTATTTTGGGTCATACTGTCGGACCTATATCATACGAGCCACAAGTGAACAAATCTTGTCACAAGTACTCATGCAAGAGGCATCTGACACTGCTTCATTTCCAGGAATACTGAATAAAGAAGCCAAAAAAAAACTCTGCAAGAACAAGAATATTGCTCCTGACATGGTGTGTGTGTGTGTTTTTTTTCCAAGTATCGGGGCACCCAGCCTCATCCTCCCGGTACTCCATAAACACCAGCTCTGTTGGTGTGAACTACAGCAACTTTTCCACGGCTTTTATACCAAATTCGATAGTTGATTGGTAATATCATGTTATATCTCATATTCCATTATCCTCATCAACTACAATTACCCTCTTGTAATTTAAAATAGCTATTTACCTCGTAAAAATGGTGGCATTCCATAGCAAACTGTTCAAATACCAGAATTGTCCCGAAGGTATCATCATTTTCCCAGTTACATCTCATTATATTCTCTATACCACTAGTTTTGATGCCCATTTACATCATTTACCAAAGGCTATATCTCGAGCTTAAAGATCCACCCTTTGCATGGCACCTCCGTTCACAGCGGCTTGCTTCACGTTCCGACTTCGCATCTTCTGTCCACGGCCACCTGATGAACCCCACACTTGGTGCTTTGTTGGGGTGGAAAAAGTGGGTAGAAAAATGGTATCCTGCTTTATTTCCCATATCCCATAATGTGGTTTTTAGATGTTTTTCGCCAATGATATGCCATAAACCATGGGTCGACTATGGAATAACAATGGTTTAACCATGGAATAACAATGGTTTTATTATAAATAGTCACCCAATCATGGGAATGTAATCCCTTGCCCCAATAGTATTAAACAACCACCCAAAAACCAATGTAAAAAGTAGGAGATGAGACAACAGATTTGGAAACATTTGCGGGGATGCACAGTGTTCGGGGTCTGGTTACGGTACCTGTGCTTTGTCTGTTTTGGGGAACCCGTAAAAAAATCTGAAAAAGGTATCATTTGCCATTCTTTTAGCAAGAGTTTACCGGAGTCTATCTTTTTTGAAGTTGCCACAGTATATTATACGTACATATATGTACAGTGTATGTATATATATATGTATATCTATATGTATATATATTATACATATATATATATAGCAACTTCTTGATGTACAAATCGACTACAATTAACAAGGTCTTACATCTCCATTTTGGGCTACACCATTGTGCACTTGGAGATTGCTTATCACTCTGAGTAATCCCAATCCTATTGCTGGGTATGTTATTAATCCCATATGAATCTCCCATTGATATTTATATAATATAATTTATTATGGTATATCACGAATCCCATGAATATTTAACATTATATTATGGTCTATGAATATATTATATATATATATATATATTACATTATCTTACCATAGGCTAAAACGCTTACGTAGCTGTGGAAAATCGATGGTTTCGGAAAATCCTCTAGTTTTATGGTTGATTTTCCACATCTCCATGTTTTTTTAAAATATACCCTCTGGTAATTTAACATAGCTACTGAAAATGGCCATAGAAATAGTTGATTTTCCTATTAAAAATGGTGATTTTCATAGTTATGTTAGTTTACCAGAGGATAAACCTCCATTTTCCTATGGTTTTCCTATGGTTTTCCCATTAAAACCTCCATTTTCCCCTATGGTTTCCCTATGGTTTCCACATGTTATGAACAGCGGGGAATCTCCAACCGCTCGCCTTCGCAGGTGGAGGCATCCCAGCTGGTCCATTCATCGAAGAGACAATCGACAGGGTCCTCGCAGTCCTGAATGATGATGTCACCAGGGGTTTTAATAGGCTGTTGATAGGCTTTTTATAGGGTTATATTGGTTTTTATATTGGTAACCTGGTATATATAATTATATATATATATATATGATTGTATATGTATTTGGTTTATATGATTATATATGTATTTGATATATATATATATGATTTAATAGGCTTTTTATAGGGTTATATTGGTTTATATATATATGATTATATATATATATATGTATTTATTTATACATATATAGGGTTAAACACTAGTTCATGGAATTTCATGGAAGTGGAATCTAACTGGAACGCTGAAACATTGGGATTTAACCAAAAAAAAACATTTGACAAACTCTAGCCAAACGGACATGGAATATAATTGGGAGGAGATTGATAACCAGCAATGAACTTATTGTCATCTAAATAAATCTAATGAGGAAAATATGGAAAATGATGAGCAACCATCAAATTTGATTGTACTGATTGAAGAGATTCCAACTGGGCCCCAAGGGGATTCTGCTCCGGATCATGTGGCTCAAAATTGAGCCAAGAAATGGACCCTGTTGCCAACAAGCCAGTATTTACCTAATTATCCTATATTCTGGTTGGTGGTTGACCTACCCCTCTGAAAAATATGAGTTCGTCAGTTGGGATGATGACATTCCAAATTTCCCAATATATGGAAAATAAAAAATGTTCCAAACCACCAACCAGCTATATTCCTCCAGATCCAAAAATTGTTCAAGTGCAAAATCTGAGCACTTCAAGCATGGTTTCCTACAAAAACACCATGCCACTAGCTGCTGCGGTGATGAGCTCCGCAGGATTAGCGCCAGTGGTTTTTGGAAAGGCTCTCTTGGAGCGACTGTCGTGATGTAACCCATGTAAGTACTACATAAGTATAACCGAATATATGATTGGGAATATTATATATATACTGGATTGCTGGATTATACATCCCCAGCATCTAGTCAATCTAGTCTAAGGCACTGCTACCCATCCGCGCCCCGTTCCTTGCGGCAATGCATGGTGCTGATCAACGGCCCATTACAGGGATCTCCACCGCAATGGTTCATCCTGTGGATCCCCCAGTCCCAAACGTGACGGAAAGAGACGTGGAAAACTCATGGTCCAATGGTACGTTAGTACCATATAAGGCGATATTTTCTGGGGGTATTCCCTGAAATTTAGGCCGAAAAAATAGGCCTTATATAACTTATATATGGTAGGTATCTCCAATAAATCGGTTCCTGAAATGACCATTGAAATGGTTTCCCGTTTGGAAAAAGATCTACAAATGGTGTGTGTTTTCACCCCAGCCGAGCCTGGAGATCACTCGGTGCCGTTCGCCTGAGAAATCGATGTGGAAGAAACCCTACGTACGTTCTAACGTGGCTGGGAGAAACCCATGGAAAAAGCATGGAGTTTGGCCCATCCCCGTAGAGTAGCATGTTTCAGCCAGCCGTCCATTAAAAATAACATAAAATGTCTATCAAAATACATCAAAATATCACAATCCCATAGTACCAAAGGCCTTTCTTTAAAAGACTATTTGAATCGAGCTATATTTAAAAACCATTTACATCCATTGAATCTCAAACAACATTCAAAATATATCAAACAATCAATATTATATATCATAGAGCCCGTCCCGACCCCCCACACCCCCCCCCCGTGGCAGGGAATAATTGGTATAATGTGATTCTCCTGTTTTGGCACTTGTAGCAAGCTGTTGTACTTGTAACAAACAGTGTCAACTGGTCAACATGTCCTATCTTGATGTTTTGTTGCTGCCATCACTTCTAGTACACTGATAAATCTTATACAACTAATGTTGGCTATCCACTAGTGCGATGGACCTCTATTGTGGAAAGTTTTTCAATAATAATTCCATATCCTGAAGATGGTGGGGGTGGGGTTCTTTTGTGGAAAGATTTTTCAGATCATTTTTCATTTTCATTTTTTTTTCAGATTTTTACTTTTGTTTTTTTCAGATGTTTTCAGATTTTTTACTTTTTTTCAAGATTTGTTTCAGATTGTTTTACTTTTTTCTGTTTTTTTCAAACAATTAGGTGCCTTATTAAATCCTTATTAAAAAACAGCACCCAAATAATTTTTGAAGGGGGTACCCCATGAGTGGCCCAGATCCTCAATAATATAATTGCTTGCATGGTACCCTGTTGTGCACAACAGCTTTTGGGGTGAAAAAAGCACTGTTCAAGTAAAAAATGCCATTCCCAACCCAATCACATCCAACCCCTGTGCTCCACTTTTGTTAACCACAGAAATTATATAATTATATGGTTTAAAAAACACTGAGCTTTGCTCAGCACAACTGTACAATGCTAAAAGGCACTCACTTTGTCTCAGATGAGCTCAGTTTGGCTCAGTAGGTGAGGTCAATCATGGTGCAGCTGGGCTTGACGAGATAGCAGGTGCAGCTGAGCTTGTCTTCAGCAGCTGCTCCAGGTCCTCAGGGCCTATGCTGAGATAAGGTAGTTTCTGAGTCTTTAGCAGACTCTGAGTGCAAGTGATGCCTGAGGCACTTACATGCATCACACTCTAGGCAGCCTGACTGCCACCTGCAAACTTCACTGGGCGCATTTGCCTGAGCCAGCTTAGGCACAGCAGTGGCCAAACTAGGTTTCCAATTTTTCCAGCCATGCTCAGGCCAGACTGAAGGCCACTCACCCCTGAAAAGCCTCAGCCCTTGCTCCATGTAATGGAGCACATAGCAGCCACAAGCATTGCTGCCCACAGGCTGAGTGGCAATGTTGCTGAGGGGTGAAGCGTGAAATCAAGGTCAAGCAACCGGCCAATGAGGATCTGCTGAGGTTGCTCAGGGAGTCATAGTTGCCCAGGCCCTGCCCCCTGAGCTGCCAGCAAGGTCCAGTGAAACTGAGAATACACTGGAACCAAAAGAAGCTTGCAGTGCCCAGACCAGCTTTCTTGATGCCTTCCTTGAAGCACTCAAGCTGCTCAGGATGGCCCTCCACTTTCAAGGATCAACTTGCTGAGGATTGGGCCCACACAGTTAACACCTAAAACTTCTGGGAGAGCAACATTAGCCTTGTTAAAGCACCATCTGAGAAGGGCCCAGCCAAGCCAAAGGTGCTGATCCTCCACCTCAGGGATTTCTTTAGGGCATGGGAGCACTGTGTGGATACTCCACTCCTTTGGGCCCAAGCCAACCTCAGCTTCAGGGTTGCAGCTCAGCTGGCTGAGCATGAGGTTGAGATCTCTCTTGCTGAGCTGGCTCCACTTGGGCCACTTCACCATCAGAAGTGCAGCCTTAGAGCTCTTGAGCTCCACCCACCAAAGTCAGTGACACAGGTGTACATACCTGAGGTGCTGCCATGAGTGGTCCTGCCTGCTTGCCAAAGCTGAGCTTGCCTGCTGCTTCTGAGACAACAATAGCTTCCTGCATGAGAAGTCAGGTGGAGGCAATGGTGGATCCTCAGAAAGGTGCTGCTTGGAGCCAGCCTTGGCTGAAGCTTTAACTAATACTGTTTTCTCAGAATGTTTCTTCTTGCTCTTGAGCTTGGCTGAGGGCTTGGTCTTGAGGGAAGCTTTGTTCTTGGTGGAAGCTTTGAAAGCTAAGCTGGGTTTGTTCTTTGCTTTGCCTTTCTCCTGCCTGACCTCATCCTGCAGCTCGGCCAAAGCTTCCTCTCTGCTCATGCCCTGCACTTTCTGAGCAAGTTTTTTGCACAAGTTTGTTCTTATGCTTCCTGAGCAGCTTTCTGAGGTTCCTCTGCCTGGCCCTCTTAGCTTTACTTTTCTCATTCATGCTGTGATACTCAGCAGCCTCCAGTCTTCTGATTTGGGCTCTTCTGAGGGATGAAGCCTCAGGGACAAGGAGTTTTGAAGCTCTAGCTCCAAGTCCTCAGCAACGGCATATAAGATCTCTGGCTGGAGCTCTTCCTCTGTGCAGCCCTTCTCATCCTCGAGATGGAAATAGTCCCAGACTTGGAGATCTGAGATGTGCTTCCAATCTGCCGTTGTAGGCACTCCCTCGGCATCTCTCCACTTGAGCCTGTCTCTGAGCCAGGATGGTACCTCTTGGTGCCAATGCCAAGATTCATTTTCTTGGCCCAGGGCTGAGGCAGCAGCTCCACAAGCTTTCCCGAGGCTGGGTCTGGTCTATAGACCAGGATGCCATTCCTGACTGCTGCTTTGAGGACCCACTCATCTTTGAGATTCTTCTCAGCCATTGCTTCCCGAGCTGACACAACTGTGGGCCTGCCACTGATTTCTCAGCTCAATGAGCTTGTTTCTCGCTAAAGCCTTGAATTGCTTTGCAAAATCAGTGTCAGTGATTTGCAACTTATTCTCAGCCACAAGGCAGCTTAGCTGATTTGCTAAGGCCATGGACTCAGTGGCTGAATCACTGGACACTGAAGAGAAGCAATCCGTCATCCAAATGGATGCTTGAGCCTGGATGCTCCAACTGAAGACAATTGAGTCCACATTTGATTCTCCCAGCTGAGCTTCCCCGAGTCCTGGTGATGAGCTTCTCACCCACTTTGAAGCTTTCATCACTGAGCCAGGTGCCACTCTCTGAGATGTTGCTCAGCCTGGCCCATCCACCTGGCACAACTAACAGCCCTTTGCCCACTGAGCCAATGACCTCCTGAGACTCATCAGCATAAACTGGGTGCAGGCGCTGCCTTGGCCTCATAGGTGATTCTGGACCCTGGCTGAGGCAAAGCTGGCTTGGCTGCTGGTGGTGAAGGGTGACTTGAGCTTGCTGCCTCTTGCTGAGGGCTGGCTTCTGCTTCTTGCTGAAGGCTGGCTGGGACCATTTGCTCAGCATTTTCTGGAGCAGCGCTGGCTGAGCCAAAGAAGCATTGCTCAGATTGGCTGGGCGGAGCTGGGTCAAAGCTGGCCTTCTTCACCAGAGAATCTTGCTCAGGTTGGCTGGCTGCAGGGCTGCTGGCTGATGCAAAGCTGAGCTGCCTCACTACTGGGGGATGTCTCAAAGCTCAGCTTTCTTTGAGGCTGAGGTGTGGCTGGTACAAGGGGCCCTATCATCATGTCAGGCCCAGCTGGGGCATGCAGCTCCTCCTCAGCAAAGACAGCTCTTCTCCCTGTAGCCTTAGCCCACAAAGGCACTTGATCAGAGAACCCAATGACCAAATTGGACCTTGCTGAGATGAACTGAGCTGGTGCTGAGCCTGTTGCTCTCAGCTAATGACTGCTGAGATGCACATGTTGCTAGCCACAGTGTGTGGTCAAACTCTTGCCAAGTCAGCTTAGTTCTGGTGTGGGCTTCTGTCTGAGAAATGCTTGCAACTAACTCAGTGGACATGTGCTTAGCATCGAGCCATTCGACTAGCTGAAGCTTAGATTTTTCCTGTAATGCTCAGTCTTGCAGATCTTCATTTTCCTGTCTTCCCATTCCTTAGCATCTCTCAGAAGCTCAGCTCTCTCCAGTGCAGATACCTCAGACTGCTGAGCTTTGCTTCTAAGCTCATTGGTTGTCAGCTGCAGCCTACCAAGAAACTCGGCAAGCAAATCCTGCTTAGATATTCTGTTGCCACATGCCCTTTCAATGCTGAGCCATTGCTTCATGGCTGAGGTGATGTCTTGAAAGGGAACCTTTCTGCCAGCTCCTGAGGCTCGCTTCCTCTTGCTCTTCTCTTTTTTCTCTTGCTTTTGAGATCTTTCTGAGCCACAAGCTCTTTCCAGTGCTCTTCCTTAGACAAGATGTTCTGAAGACTCTTCTTTTGGAGGCCATACTTTTCAACCTGAGCTTTCCAGAAATCCTTCAGATGGTTGAAAGAATTTTTGGCTGGCTTCATCTCTTCAATATATTTCAACTTAGTAGCAGCTGGGGTTTCAGTTCTTGTCACTTGTGAGCCTGGCTTTTTTCTGTTTGAAGATTGAGGGCTTGCTTTGGAAATCTCGCAGGCTCCTGCCTCAATGAGCTGAAGTTCAGTTGTGGCTAACTCAGCTTCTATCTCAGCTCTCTCTCTCTCTCTCTGTCTCTCTGTCTCTGATTGCTTCATTCCTTTCCCTGAGAGCATCTTGCTGAAATCTACTGAGCCTTTGCCTTTTGTAAGGCTGAACTTGCAGATGCAATGGCACTGCCCCAGCTTCTTTCTTCTGGCTTGCTGAGCCAAAAAACTTGCTCAAGCCATACTGGACCTTTCCTGATCTGGGTGGTGAAGACTCAGGGCTGCCAGTGGCACCCTTCTGGGGTGTAGATTCAGCTCCTCCACCTCTGGCTCCGACTTACTGAGCCACCTCAGTCAGCAAGGGTTTCAAATAATTAGATGCCTTATTAAACCCATATTTGAAAGCAGAACCCAAACGATTTTTAAAGGATGTACCCCATGAGTGGCCCAGATCCCCAATAATATAATTGCTTGGATGGCACCCTATTGTGCACAACAGCTTTTGGGGGTTGAAAAAAAATCAAAAACACTGTCTCCACCTTTCTTTGGGTAAAGCTGACCCTTTTACTTTAGAAAGCCATATCCATGCCAAAGCCTTCAAACGCAAGGTTTTCCAAATAATTAGATGCCTTATTAATCCCTTATTTAAAAGCAGCACCCAGACAATTTTTCAAGGATGTACCCCATGAGTGGCTCAGACCCTCAATAATATAATTGTTTGGGTGGTACCCTATTGTGCACAGCAACATTTGCTTTTTTCAAAAAAAAGCAAAAACCCTTTCTCCACCTTGCTTTGGGTAACGCTGGTCCCTTTACTCTAGAAAGCCATATCCATGTCAAAGCCTTAAAATGCAAGGTTTTCCAAATAACTAGATGCCTTATTAAATTTTTATTTAGAAACAGCACCCATACAATTTTTCAATCATGTACCCCATGAGTGGCCCAGATCCTCAATAATATAATTGTCTGGGTGGTACCCTATTGTGCACACTAACTTTTGGGAGTGAAAAAAAGCAAACCACTTTGATTACCAACCTTCCTTTGGGAAAAGCTCAGGTCCATTTTAATTAAAAGCTTTGCTAACTCAGCTGGTCACAGAGCTGCTCAGATCCAGGATGTCTGAGAGGTCCAAGCTCTGATGGACATTGAATTCCTCAGCCTTGTGGTGGAGAGCCCCTTAGCGAACTGCTGGGCTGAAGTGGGTTCTGCAGTTCTGAGCCATGGCATCAAGCTTGTCCTCAAAGGATTTGCTGAGCTCCTTCACCTCCTAGCTGGTTCAATGAAAGATCCCAAAAAGACACAATACAAAGCCGACTAATTAATTGTACAATGGGTCTACCTCAAGCAACTAATTTTTGCACATAATTTTGCTTGAGCAGCAAGTTTCACCCTTGAGCAGCTGCATCTCATTGACCAGGGTACTCAAGCTACTGAGTGGCTTCAAAAGGGTGCTGAGGAAAGAAGTGAGTGCACGCCATCCCTGAGTTTTGCAACATGGCATTCATGAAAAAATGCACCTTTACCTCCAGTGGAAAAACTTGTTGATAAAATAGAAACTTGGAAAAAGAAAATAGTCAACACTAAGCTGTGCCTAAGGTCAAGCTCAGCTGTGGGAAAAATGGGCTGAGGTCCTTGATCCTCACTGCCAGGCCAATAGCATTGCAACCTGAAATGCAGGCTTTGAGCAAAAGAAAAGCACACTTAGAAAACAGCTACCTGCCTAATTAGTTACATCAAATGCTAACTAATTAATTAATAAGTTAAGTCATTAATTAATTACTAATGCTGGATACTGAGGCAGGCTCTTTTTTCAAAAACGCTGCTCAGGTAAGCTGAGCTCTTTTCTGGTTTCAGCGATCCCTGTGAAGCTGTAGATTCAGATTCAGTGTTCCACTGAGAAAGTGCAGCAGGCTCAGCCACATCTGAGAGGTCTAGGCTACCAAGCACATTGAGCCTCTGAGCCTTGGCCCTGGGTCCTGCTTCCCTGCTAGAAGCACTGAGCCAGTGGTGCTTAGCACAACTGAAGACATGTGCTGATTCCAGCAGCTCATGGATGCCTCTCTCAGGGTGGGCCCAAATGTGGAGCTCAGGTCTCTGAGCGTTCTCCAGCACCAAGGTCTCCTGCATGAGCTCTTCCTCTGAGGCAGTCATGTTGTAGGTTGCCTGAGCTGGCTGGAAAGGTTTCAAGAAACCAACAGAACTCATCTAAAAAAATCCAACCGCATATTCCTTTTCCCAAAAGGAGGAAACCAAATTAATTAATTCAAGTACCCTGAGGAATCGGTTGTGCATGACACCCTCCCTGGTGGCTAAGATTGCAGTGCTGAGCAGCAAGTCCCACTGCTTCTAGGTCCCAGTGGGAGACAGGTCCCCTGAGAAGTGCCCAGCGCTTTTTCATTAATAATTCTGTGAACAAGGCTGAGCCACCTGCCTGGGGATCAAAATCCCCCAAAATGCTGCTTGAGGTGCCTGGGGGTGTCCCAGGTGCTTCCACCAGTCAAGTCCATTCTGGGTTCCATGGATGCGGCCTTGTCTGAGATGAAGTCAAGCCTCTGCTGAGTATGCTCAGCATGCCAAAGGTCATCTCTGAGGTTCTGCCAAACCCGCACCAAGGTGCTGAGGTCATTCTTGAGGCTCAGGAGGAAGATGAAGAAGAGAGCCACCAAGGTGGCAGCTGAGAGCCAAGCCTGGTGTTGTTTTATATTGTTTTATGCTTCCAGGCAAAAAAAACGAGCTTTTACTATTGGCCTAAGCAATTTTTGAAAGCTGATCCAAGTATGGTACTGCTTGCTGCCAAGAAGCAAGCTGAGATGCATGAATGACATCTGATAGCTGACTGAGCCTAGCCTGTAGGTCCACTGAGGTACCACCTAGGGCTGCCATGATGAATGAAAAAAACATGTTGAACCATGCAACCCAAGGGCCCAAAAACAAGCTATTATGTAGCTGAGATGCTAGCCAGGCTGAGGCCTGAGCTGCAAGCAAGAGCCATGATGCACACCATCTCTAGCTGAGGGCCCATGGCTCCAAGAGAAGGGCTGGTGCTGATGAACGTGGCTGATGTGCTGATGTCAAAAAAGCTGCTGAGGCACATGGTGCTCAAGAGACTGAGTTGCTGAAGACAGACTAGCTCAGAGGCTGACATATTGTTGAGGGGTAGGTTCCTCACACTAGTCAGGACACAACATTAAGGTGCAAGCTCCGGAACTTGAGGGGCTCAGCCCAGATGAAGCCACCAAGCTGAGGATCACAAAGGCCTTCAGCTGAAGATTCATGGCTGTAGCCTTGGCTGCCATGGAAGCACATGAAAAAATAAGTCCTTCTTAATTATACTGAATGTGGCTGCACGCCGCCATGGAACTTTTCCGTGCCTGGATGGAAGCCATATGGCTTCGGGGTCGGAACATGATTCCTGCAAGGTCATGGCTGGAAGTGTACGTTTCAACACAAACCCCCTTTGGTGCCATGATCCTTCTGTACTTTCAAGGCCCTTTTGCGATCGGCCACCTTTCGCCTGATTCTGGCGGCCAGCTCCGTATCGCACAAAGACCAAACTCCAAAAATCAAAACCCGCGCCAGGGCTCCGTTGTCGTTCCATTTCGTGAGACCGTCGCCCGGCATCTCTTGGCCTGGCACCCAACGAAGAAAGCTGTTGCCCTTCTCATCCTCAAGCGTCTCGCGAAGGATGGCAATGTCCACGATCAACTTGCGATCCGTAGGCGCCATCTCCGACACGATCGCATCGAATGCCACCTTCGCATCGAGCACCATGATGTGCTTCCACCAACTGGCGCTCATCTTCCATGCCTTGAGGTTGAAGCGCAGGAACATGATCTCGGCTAACACGGCACGTATGTAATCGCCGTGTTCAAAAGCCGCGGCGGCCATTGTCAATTCGGCCGCCATACTGCAGCGCACCACTCGCTGCAAGCGAGTGCTCTGGGCCTCCCGTTGAACGTCAAGGTGAGCCATCGCCACAATGAGGCCACCCTGACTGCCGCCTTTCGGTTGAGCTCCGTAGGCCGCATCGCTGATTGACAGCACCACCAACTCCTCAATGGGGCAGCCCAGGTACGCAATCTTCATGATGAAGTCCTGGTGTGATCGCCGAATCAATTTGTTCAGCCATACCAAAGCTTGAGGATCACCAGCACCTGCAAGCTGTTGAACATGGGATGCTCCAAAGCTGAGGTCATACCTGCATTGTCGAGCAGCCCAATTCACTTGTCCCACGGCCGAACTGATCACCTTTTTCTCATACTCCGTGAGGGGACGTTGCCAGTCGTCCTCCTTGCGCTCCTCCACTAGCTTGATGCTCTCACAGTAGTCCTCCATGGAGTAGTGGATCTCGTAGGTGTTGGGGTCTTGACGTTCATATCTGCCACAGAATTTCTGCCAGCCCTCCACACCTGTTCTGCGCTTGCCGAAGTTGAGCTTCTCGTGTCAATCCTTCCAGATTTGAGGAGATGTAGCATCACCGGCATAGCGCGTGTCATCCACATGACTGCATGCCATTGCCCGAAGCCCACCTCGCTCATTGTAGAAGACGAAGAAGCCGGGCAGCAAGCGAAGCTCCACGCCACCCAGAGATACCAAGGCCTTCTTGTACTCAAGATACCAAAGCCGCAGGGACTCTGGCAGTCCAAATCCACCCTTGGTCAATTTGACCAGTTCATCACGGCACTCAGCACCAAAGACCTCTCGAATGATGTGCACAGCTTCCTCAGGTAGGGAATCTTCACATAGATCTCGCGACCCTCTGGAAGTTGCCCACCTTGGAGAAAAGCTGCTGATACATCCTCGTAGAAGATTTCCCAGCGTTTCTGCACCGCGATGAAGTTCAGCAGATTGTGCTGGAACTGGAACCCAGTCAAGGGACACCCAGTGAAGGGAAAACCCAGTTAAGGGACACCCCAGTGAAGGGAAAACCCAGTCAAGGGACACCCAGTGAAGGGAAAACCCAGTCAAGGGAAAGTGCTGGAACCCAGTCAAGGGACACTCCACTGAAAGGAAAACCCAGTCAAGGGAAAGTGCTGGAACTGGAACCCAGTCAAGGGACAACCAGTGAAGGGAAAACCCAGTCAAGGGAAAGTGCTGGAACCCAGTCAAGGGACACTCCAGTGAAAGGAAAACCCAGTCAAGGGAAAGTGTTGGAACTGGAACCCAGTCAAGGGAACCCAGTGAAGGGAAAACCCAGTCAAGGGTAAGTGCTGGAACCCAGTCAAGGGATACCCAGTGAAGGGAAATCACAGTCAAAGGCAAATGTGGGCGAGAGGAAAAGCAATGTTTTAAAAGTTTAAAAAGTTTAATATATCGAATAGGAGAAATATTAAAATGTTTTAACTTTTAAAACTTCCCAATCCCTTTCCTAGACTCCGAATTTGGGAAACAGTTTAATATTAAACTTTTCAAACTTTTGAAACTTTTAAAACTACCCAGAGGAGTTTTAAACGTTTAAAAAGTTTAATATTTCGAAAAGGAAACACATTAAAGTTTTTAAACTTTTAAAACTCCCCAATCCCTTTCCTAGACCCCAAATTTGGGAAACAGTTTAATATTAAACTTTTTAAACTTTTTAATCTTTTAAAACTTCGAAACTCCTGGGGAAGGTTTTGAAAGTTTAAAAAGTTTAATATTTTTCCTATTCGAAAAATTAAACTTTTGAAACTTTTAAAACCACCCCAGAAGTTTTAAAAGTTTAATATTTTCCTATTCGAAATTATTAAACTTTTTAAACTTTTAAAACTCCCCAATCCCTTTCCTAGACCCCAAATTTGGGAAACAGTTCAATACTAAACTTGTCAAACTTTTGAAACTTTTGAAACTTTTAAAACTGCCCAGAGGTGTTTTAAGAGTTTAAAAAGTTTAAAATTCCGAATAGGAAAAATATTAACCTTTTTAAACTTTTAAAACTCCCCAATCCCTTTCCTAGACCCCAAATTTGGGAAATAGTTTAAGATTAAACTTTTTAAACTTTTTTAACTTTTAAAACTTTTGAAACTCCTGGGGAAGGTTTTAAAAGTTTAAAAAGTTTAATATTTCGAATAGGAAAAATATTAAACTTTTTAAACTTTTAAAACTCCCCAATCCCTGTCCTAGACCCCAAATTTGGGAAACAGTTTAATATTAAACTTTTGAAACTTTTAAAACTTTTAAAACTACCCAGAGGAGTTTTATCAGTTTAAAAAGTTTCAAGTTTCGAATAGGAAAAAAATAAAAACTTTTTAAGCGTTTAAAACTCCCCAATCCCTTTCCTAGACCCCAAATTTGGGAAGCAGTTTAATATTAAACTTTTTAAACTTTCAAAACTTTTGAAACTACCCAGAGGAGTTTTATCAGTTTAAAAAGTTTGAAATTTCGAATAGGAAAAATATTAAACTTTTGAAACTTTTAAAACTCCCCAATCCCTTTCCTAGACCCCAAATTTGGGAAACAGTTTAATATTAAACTTTTCAATCTTTTGAAACTTTTGAAACTTAAAACTTTTTAGAAGAGTTTTAAAAGTTTAAAAAGTTTAATATTTCGAATAGGAAAAATATTGAACTTTTTAAACTTTTAAAACTCCCCAATCCCTTTCCTAGACCCCAAATTTGGGAAACAGTTTAATATTAAACTTTTTCAACTTTTGAAACTTTTAAAACTTTGCAACTCCTGGGGAAGGTTTTGAAAGTTGAAAAAGTTTTATTTTTTTCCTATTGGAAAAATAAAACTTTTGAAACTTTGAAAACCACCCTCAGAAGTTTAGAAAGTTTAAAAAGTTTAATATTTCGAATAGGAAAAAAATAAAAACTTTTTAAGCGTTTAAAACTCCCCAATCCCTTTCCTAGACCCCAAATTTGGGAAACAGTTTAATATTAAACTTTTTAAACTTTTTAAACTTTTAAAACTTTTGAAACTCCTGGGGAAGGTTTTAAAAGTTTAAAAAGTTTAATATTTCGAATAGGGAAAATATAAAACTTTTTAAACTTTTAAAACTACCCAGAGGAGTTTTAAAAGTTTAAAAAGTTTTATATTTCGAATAGGAAAAATATTGAACTTTTTAAACTTTTAAAACTCCCCAATCCCTTTCCTAGACCCCAAATTTGGGAAACAGTTTAATATTAAACTTTAAACAACTTTTGAAACTCCTGGAGAAGGTTTTGAAAGTTTAAAAAGTTTTATTTTTTTTCCTATTCGAAAAATTAAACTTTTGAAAATTTTGAAACCACCCCCAGAAGTTTTTAAAGTTTAAACAGTTTAATATTTTTCCTATTCGAAAAATTAAACTTTTTAAACAAAAGTTTAATTTTTCGAAAAGGAAAAATATTAAACTTTTTAAACTTTTAAAACCTTCCCCAGGAGTTTCAAAAGTTTTAAAAGTTTCAAAAGTTGAAAAAGTTTAATATTAAACTGTTTCCCAAATTTGGGGTCTAGAAAAGGGATTGGGGAGTTTTAAAAGTTTAAAAAGTTCAATATTTTTCCTATTCGAAATATAAAACTTTTTAAACTTTTAAAACTCCTCTGGGTAGTTTTAAAAGTTTAAAAAGTTTTATTTTTTCCTATTCGAAATATTAAACTTTTTAAACTTTTAAAACCTTCCCCAGGAGTTTCAAAAGTTTTAAAAGTTTAAAAAGTTTAATATTAAACTGTTTCCCAAATTTGGGGTCTAGGAAAGGGATTGGGGAGTTTTAAAAGTTTAAAAAGTTTAATATTTTTCCCATTCGAAATATTAAACTTTTTAAACTTTACAAGCCACCCCCAGGAGTTTTAAAAGTTTAAAAAGTTTTATATTTTTCCGATGCGAAATATTAAACTTTTTAAACTTTTAAAACCTTCCCCAGGAGTTTCAAAACTTTTAAAAGTTTAAAAAGTTTAAAAAGTTTAATATTAAACTGTTTCCCAAATTTGGGGTCTAGGAAAGGGATTGGGGAGTTTTAAAAGTTTAAAAAGTTTAATATTTTTCCTATTCGAAATATAAAACTTTTTAAACTTTTAAAACTCCTCTGGGTAGTTTTAAAAGTTTCAAAAGTTTAATATTTTTCCTATTCGAAATTTTAAACTTTTTAAACTTTTAAAACCTTCCCCAGGAGTTTCAAAAGTTTTGAAAGTTTAAAAAGTTTCAAAAGTTTAATATTAAACTATTTCCCAAATTTGGGGTCTAGGAAAGGGATTGGGGAGTTTTAAAAGTTTAAAAAGTTTAATTGTTTCCTATTCGAAATATAAAACTTTTTAAACTTTTAAAACCACCCCCAGGAGTTTCAAAAGTTTTAAAAGTTCAAAAAGTTTAATATTGAACTGTTTCCCAAATTTGGGGTCTAGGAAAGGGATTGAGGAGTTTTAAACGCTTCAAAAGTTTAATATTTTTCCTATTCGAAATATTAAACTTTTTAAACTTTTAAATCCACCCCCCGGAGTTTTAAAAGTTTAAACAATTTAATATTAAACTGTTTCCCAAATTTGAAGATTAGGAAAAGTTTAAGAGTTCAATACTAAACTTTCCCAATCTGGGTGCCCAGAGCTCAAAATCACATAGACCCTATTATTCCCTCGTACACCCCCCCCCCCCCCCCCCCCCCAATGGTATCCCCCCCCCCACTCCTAACCCCCCCCACCCCCCCAAAACCTAGTATTTGCATGTTATTTGCACATATACATACACATATACACATATATACTCCCCTTTCCACCCCTCCAACCTCGCATCTCTACGTTATTTGCAGCACTTGAGAGCCACGACCTCGTCAACGGACCTTGTCTACCTGTATATTTCTATCATAACCTTTTTTTCGAACCGCCTATAGCGTGCCTCGCACATGGTTTACAACATATTTGCTACCTATGGATTACGCAAAGCTTACCTATGCAAACCTAGACATATGTACAGTAGAAAAACAATAAATACATATATATATATATGTATATATATATGTATATATATATGTATATATATATATATATGTATATATATATATATGTATATATATATATATGTATATATATGTATATATATATATATATGTATATATATATATATATGTATATATATATATGCACATTCTAGATACTACAGATTGATATCTTGATCTTGTATCTATCACATATTTCGTTTACATTGTACATACTGTACACGTATATATTTATATATACATGTATATATATATATATGCATATATATATATACATATATATATACATAAATTCTAGATATACAGCGTGTATTGCTGTCGATATTCAATATACCACATATACTATGTAAAATTTATTCAACGAACATATTTACCTATATTGTATATATTACATCTACTGTGGATACAGTACATGTGGCATATACTATCTATATTCTATCAAAAAACACATATACGATGTGTATATATATATATGTGTGTGTTCAATATATATATATGTCAAATATATATATATTACAAATATATATATATATGTATAGATTGCATATATTCTATTTATATCTTACATATTATATATATGTTTATATATATATATACACTACACATACACTCTATATTACATATAGTATATCCATTCTAATTATCGATACATATGCATTATATGCACTATAAAGACTACATACACCATGGCTTGGCTGCTGAGAAAACCCCCCCTCCCCTGCCACAGGGGGGGAACCATCTGGCTGGGTGGGGGGGGGGTGTGGGGGTCCCTGCTCATATATATATATATGATATTATATTTATGTGTATGTATATATATATATATGATATGATATTTATGATATATGCGTGTGTGTGTGTGTGTTTTCTTTAATATCAAACCATATCAAACCCCTTCGACCCCGCCCCATTTTGTCGGAACTCGCGACCACTCCACCCTTCGGCGTCCAAGATGCAGAGCTGCGTGCAGCTGGCTTCGCTCCACGCCGACCACGCACCGAAGATGCAAGCGGTGGGGGTACAAGTCTCGCAGCTCTTGTAAGGGCACTCCTGGTGGGAAGGATACCCTCTGGTAATTTAACATAGCTATAGAAAATCACCATTTTTAATAGGAAAATCCACTATTAATGGTCATTTTCAATAGCTATGTTAAATTACCAGAGGGTAGCCCTACATCCAGAGGAAAACCCTTGGTTTTAAGCATAAGAAAATGATGATTCAACCCAGATTCGTGTTCCAAGATATGGGGAATGTTGGGATGCCAAACCACCACCCCAAACGACTAACCCTGATGATACTTATATATTATATAATATATATATATATATGTCTAATCCCAATGATATTGGGATATATTGGGATATACAGATCTGAATAAAAATCGATCATTAATTCACTCATTTGAACAGTTCGGCTAAAATGGAATGGCTACCCACATCTACACCATCATTCCAGTGACGTTGTGACGTGAGGTCTTCTGCAATTTATCCACGGCAACGGGAAATTCTTCCGTTGCGGAAAAGTATGGAAGATTTTCCACTGGCTTTTCCACTCAAGTGTTATACAATCATGATGTCTCTGTTCCCCATAATTTTGAGACACACCCAAACCAATGTTTATTGGATAAATCTCTTTCTGATGGTCAAATCCCTATTTTGGATGACTAAACCCACCATTCCTTTGTTCCATATCACTTGAATACTGTCTATTGCTGGTTAAAATCCCCATGTTTCATAGCTGAACCACTATTTTCATGGTCAATCCCTATGATAAAAGCCACCATTCATGTGTTATCAACAAATATCAGTGTTCCGCCCCATAGGTACGCCATGGCACGTCTTTTTCCACCGTGGCTGTGATATCGGCGATACCTGAAAGTATGGCCAAGCATGGCCCAACTCAGGTGACTCTAAAGTTCATTTCGCTCATTGTGGCTGCAACTACTGCATCTGTAGATTTGGCTGGAGCCAGCTGATTTCTTCAACATCGTGTGATGTTCAGATTTGAATTGCTGTGTCAAAGATGTCCTTCAGGTCGTGCTCAGCTGCCAAATCTGAGATGTATCACCGCAGGTTCTGAGTTCGTCCGGCTTTGGGACTCACATGAAGCATCTTCGCTTACAATGACACGAAGCTGCAGCCATTGCCTCCCACCTCGAAAGACACCAATGGGAAACAACGGAAAGAAAAGGATCCGACCAAAGAAAACTTACATCAACTGACCAACTCCGAACCAAAGCGATCAACTGATGGCCTTCAGAAACCAGGCAAACGCTTCGGCGAAAGTGCCAGGCACTGTTTCGGAAGCTGGAAGCTGTGTGGGTTCTTCGATGACCGGATCAACCGGTGCGGAGTGTGCCAAGAGCTTTGTGTGCTCCAGCAAGTCTGGATACCTGGGCGGATCGTTGGAGGTTTGCCCACTGAGAGCCCTTGGAAAACAAGTCGAAATACGTCGAAATTATTGCGTGAAAAACAAATGAACCACAGGCAAGCCCAACATCTTTTGCGAGCAAATACTTCATAGATCTTCATAGCAAGACTTCGCTACTGATTTAAGCTTGTATCATAGTAGAGAGCTGCATGATCATCAACAACCGCAAGCAAGGCAGTGGGCAATCACCCCTAGCTCTGGTGAGAGACACACGCAAACAGCTACACCTGATATAAGATCTTATCAAGGTCGGTTGCTTGGTGGTTGGGGGTTGCTGGTTTTCAGTGCTAGGATTTAGGACACCACATGTCGTGATGAAGGGTTTCTGGAATCCCACACAGCAACACCAGTTCATCAGACATGCAGGTCTGAAACATAAAAAGTAATGAGCACACAGGTCCCTATCTCTGATAGCTGGATTATAGTTTGACCCCATTTATCCGGTACTTCATACTTAGAAGTAGTTGAAATCACGTTAACCCTTTGTACAACTGGCAGACTCCCTTTGCAGTTTTGATCCATGATACGCCCGCTCCAACTCCATGATCGCAAGAGTGGCAGCTGTTTTGTCATCCAGCAGAGACTGGAAAGAAAACGTGTTGCAATTCGCACCTGACAACTCTCAGCAGGACAACAAAACACTGCAAGTAACAAACACGTCACGTACCAAGCTGGGAAAAACATATTATCTTAATTTTGCCAGGTGACGAAGGGGGAGCTGTGCAGGCAGAATACCATCTCTGCTAAAGCCCATCTTTGCCAGAATTGCGGCCCGAAAAGGATTGGGCACCGTGTCTCGCCCTGGCACCATCGAATGTGCACCATGCAGCATCCCTTGCCAGTACCTTGGGCAAGCAACTCACAAGATTTTGAAATGTGGTCTACAGGCGCAAAAAAGAAACACTCCAATCTGAATCAATGACAGCTATCGATACTTGTATGCAAGACACGTATCGAAAAGGATGTGAAAATGAGTCAAGTGCTAAAGTGATGCTACATGTGCATACATGTGCCAAGTGAGTGATTTGCATGATGCGAGACTGACTTGTAAAAAAAAGGTACTCCACGCGGTTTTTCTTCATTGCTTCCTCCTCTTCGTGCGTTGGCGGTGTGCCATCTTCATGGTTCCTGGCAACAAATTTGGAATCTTCCATGGCACCAGCAACAAAGTGCTCAGTCAGGGCGAGCAAGTCCTGCCACACTGTGGTTGCAGGTCGGGTATCCACCTGGATCTACTTGGATCCCAAGGAAAACATAGGAAAACACATATCAGTAAAAGGTAGTATAAGTATGTATAAGTACAATTAAGTATAATGGCGAAGAGTGAGAGTACAAACAACCGAGGATCTTCTCTAGTTTGAATCAGTTTGCACTCCAGCTGCTGATGCAGAATGCATTTGTAGCTGCACGGTTTTGCAAGAGATGATCGCATCAAGTCTTGAGTGAAGATGTAGCAATGAAATGTAAAAGCGTTCTGGAAAGGCTGCTTACCGCTTACCTGCAAACTAACGCGTGCATCCTGGACCTCTTCAGTGTCAGGCAAACAAGTTCAACCCTGCATTTTCTACCTGTGTTCGGTTCTGAACCGCTAGGCATTTCTGAGTATCGCAAATATTAAGTTGAGACACCTCTCGCGCATGGTATCAAGTCTTTCCAAACCTGCCTCAGTGATGCAGCCCGCATCGAGGTCTGCCATGGCACGAATCGAGCCCGAAGGAATCGATGGCAAAAGGATTAGCCTGAGCTCTTCTGGATGGAAGGAAACAAGCAAACAATCAACGATTTGAACAGTGCAGCATACATCTGTGGGCTCCTGACTCATTCTTGGTACCCTAGTCTACCAAAAAAAAATGTATGGTGAGGAATTTCAGCCAACATCAAACGCTACTCAACAAGAGGGAAAAAAACTGTACGGCTTTAGTGTTTCCAGACCAGCAAAGCGATAACCTTCAAGCTCGCTGATAAATCCAAAAGACTCCACAAGTGGCATGAGCGCACAAGCAATGCCTGCGTGTCGAAGAGTTCCCGCGTAGGTTGCCAGGGTTCTCAGAGCCATGGCGGCGCAATGCTCACTGGATGCCATATCTATGGCGAACGTCTCCGCAACCTTCATGGCGGTTCCAAGCCCACAGGCGGTAAAGCTTGCACACTCCTCCAGCGAAGACTGGTCCGCCGACAGCGAGGCCGTTGATTCTGTGTGGGACTTCGGCGACAGATTCAACGCCCCTGGAGGCGGAACGGCCATCATCGGCTCTGAGTCGAAATCGTCGCTGTTCCTGGACTGGTTTTGCGAAGTTTCAAGTGACCCTGCACTTATGCATCAACACAATCGGAAGAACGCCCCCAGTCCACAGACATTCCTTGTTCTGTTGAAACCCAAAATAGATATAATGCGCATATGGTATTCTTATCGGAATACTGCATAACAATATGAGTACATGTATAGACTAGATATGTCCACATACAATATCTCTACTTGGACCCACAACACTGTATATATATATATATATACTAGAGAGAGAGAGAGAGATTGCGTTGTGTATTCACATTCATTCCTCAATCTTCCTCAAGAATACCGTCCCACAGAATTATTGCTGGATCTTTTGAAAAGCTTCACAAAGGCGCTCCAGTGGTTCACTCCCACATCTGTGGGAGTCAGGGATCCTAGTTTCCAGACCAGACTTCCCACTATAACACCACAGACCATCTGTGTGAGGTCTGTGATGTCAAGCTTGATCAGTTCAGCCAGATGGTCCCAAAGGTCCTGCAGCTATCCGAGCTATCCGGACCATGGACACCCGACACCCTTGCCAGGGAATAGGCCACTATTGGATTGATCGCATTGACGGTCTGCTTCACAAAAGCCTAGGCCAATTACATCTCTTTGGTACACATAGATTTGGGGATACAAAACCGTGCAACCTGCTCGAGGTACGGCGTTGCTTCTGCTTAAAGAGAATTTGAGAATTCAGATTTTGCAAAAGCCTTGTTCTTCGCTTTTCAGAAGGTCGTGTCCCATATTGCCCCCCAACTCTCACTCCTTTGTGGGGTACCGGGAATACAGTCCTCTTCACGGAATGCCCATTTTTGCAAAGCCGGAGCATTCCTGTTTTTGGCTGCTTGTGCCATGTTTGCCCAATTCTCCCACAGCAAAGTGCACAAAGGGGTCGGCAACCTTGAAAATCTGGGATGCAATCGAATGTGCTCAATGACATCTGACTTCATGAATGTTTCAACAAGTGAAGTATGAAACATCTGAGGGAGCATGAGCAATGTGCCAATCTCCTGACTGGAAACAAATGGACCAGAAATTCAAGCGTGACAACGCATAAATCTTCCAGCATGACGCCTTTCCTAATCCAGTACAGGGGCATGACATGTCATGTCAAATGTCATGACTTGCCGATAACTCAACCAAGCTTCCTGGACTTTGCCATTTCCAAGGCAGTCCGCAACAGCTGTTCCTCGCTCATCTTCATCTTTGAAAAAAGTGCTAGCATGGCGTTGCGCGCCTGGGTGCGGAGCAGGGCCTCTTCATGGGCCGTGTAGGCCATCGCCACTCTGAGGATCGGGATGTCGCTGTCTGTCATGAGGAACGGCAGCGTCTCCACGTCTATTCGCATGCTGACTGTTTTGAGACAAGAAACGAAGTTCATCCGATTCTCCTGACGCTGAAATACAGATGAATCAAAAAGAAAGAATTGAGTTTGCGAATAGAGCTCTATTGCGGGTCAGATTGATTGAGCCATTGTAACAGAGCTTGCTTCGCGCCGCAAGGGGCACAACTTGCACAACTTCCCAGCTCCTCAATTCGAAGATCTGGCTCACCAGACCACAACACATCCAGCTCACGCCCAATGATCAACCGTTGGAAGACATCCTCCTGCGGTCTTTGTCATTCCAGGGATTCCAGAGCAACATCGAACATGTATTGGATGTGGGCATGCGAATTGGTCATTTTGGCGCCAAGCTCCAATCATGAACATCTTTGAAATCATGATGGGAGAAGCAATAGGCGACTTTGCATGTCAATACAGTAGGCATATGATCTCATTTTTCTGCATGTGTGTGAATGTGTGCCCCTGTGTCTCACAAAGCTGTCCTCCACATTCAGCAGGATTAGGCACAGCGACTGCCACGCCTGTGCGCGTATGATCTCGGGAGTTGAGCTCGCTAGCAGTGCTTCTACTAGAATACTCAACCCCTTCTTCTCCAAAAAAGATGCCACGACTGCATCATCCTCCCTGGCTCCAAACAATGCACGCGCCAGGTCATGCAGGCTTTGGATCACTAGGTTGGCTTCATGGGGCGTGTGGGGCCAATGTTCCTTGAACTCCTGATGTCCATACGACAACGGAAACTTCAAGGAGGACAGCAGTCCCTCCATGCCCTCTTTGGTCAATGTCTCTTGCGACTGCAAAGGCTCATTTGGCTCTTGCAATGACGGCACAGACTCCGCGACGTAGGTGAGCCAGCCGCTAATTGTCTCTAACATAGGCTCGAACATTACAACGTAGAGAGACAGGTGTTCTGTCGCAACGCAGTTTATTTGAAACCTGCTTGAGCCCAAGCACTTGGGTTTCAGCCTGACCAGAAAAGCTCAGAGGCTCAGGCCACGTGAGGTGAAGCCCCGTGGCAACAAAGTCAGAATTTGGAGTTGGATGACATGATTTTCTTGATCCGCTTCCTTTGATGAAGGGCCGTTGCCGGCTATAAATCTGAAAGCCCTGAACTAGGGATACTTATATAGTATCTACCACTCAAGCTACACGCGCATTTATCTATGACTGGTTGGGGCAAATAATAACGCCAGAAAAGGACTGGCTGACAGGATCCCCTTCCAGCTGTCAAACTCAATCAAGCAATCGCTAGATTTCCGAGATTAGGATCATTTCATATCACTTCTCACCAACGGCCAAGCGAACAGGTCCATCATGGCCATTCGCCCGAATTGAATTGCCAAACCCCACTGTCATCCACTGCCTGGTTCCGCCCCATAGGTACGCCATGGTTGGCTCTCCATGCCAAATGGCTGGCTAAATTCATTTTTTGTCCAGTTCTCCTTCACATCCACCTGCCACGCCGAGCACGTGGCTGTCTTGACTGCCTTGAAGAAATATCCAGGGACCCTGGCGCGAGGCCAGTTGGATGGGTGTGGGGATCAAATGGGATATACCCACTACCAATTACCAGTGATCTGGATTTTTGAGTGGCTAAACTGACAAAGATCTGGGGGGCTTATACTCTCTGGTACTCTCACAGGTTGGCCAAGTCAGGAAAATAATTCATTTCTAGATGATTTGCCTATTAGAATACATATTTTCTGATTCCATAGCCATGTTGGAACAAATGTCGCCAGAACTTTCCCCACCTCTTCCAGCACTTCCACCCTTCAGTTTCGTCCCCACCGAAGATCGCGCCTTAGGAGACACCGCGGCCGGCTTTTTGCGCCATGAAAATCATCTCGAGTTTCAACCACATGAAATCAGGATGTTGACACGAAAAGCACGACAACATATCTGATACTCAAAATGATGAACACATCCATCACCTTGAAAAAACATCTACAATCATCATCTTATGTCATCAACATTCATCGTCCACCAAGATTGCCCACGGATCCACTGGGGCGTCCCGGCCGCTGGCCGGGTCAGCACCCTCCTGCGCGTTCAGCTTTAGGGCGATGGGCCGACTGAACATGTAGGGCTCGATCTTGTCGCCCCCGGAGACCTGGCTATGATGTATAGTGGATAAAGTACACCAAGCTGCATGGTATCATGATCACTCATCATCAATCATTATATATACATTATATATATATATATCTGTTTTCGGGGTGAGAATGATATGATTGTCATTTTATCATGGTTTATCGAATATATGAAGTGTCATTCCGAGTCTATCTGTTTTTTGTCACGATATTTATATATAATTAATCAAATGTATAATATATATATATATATTATTATTATTATTATTATTGATAATAATAATAATAACAATAATAATAATAATATATATACCATAACAGTAATGTTTATGATGGCTTCGGAAGAGCATTACAACAACGTTTTAAGCGGGGAAGTTTTATACCGCAACAAGAAATCGGTCTTCGATGATCCAACGTTCGCGGACTAAAGAAACGCCACAAATGGCGTAAATGCCATGCTTTCGGGAGGCCACCAGGCTAGAGCAATGTATGGGAAAAACCCTGGAAAAACCCTGGAAAATTTGAGGGAAAAACCCTGGAAAACACCTTGAACATCACTGAATTTCCATCATTTTCACCAGTAAAATGGTCCTGAATGGGGATGTCCCCCAGTTTCAAACACGTCGATGTTGTGTTTCAGAGCAAAAGTGTTCCATGGATTTCCTGGTGAAACTTGGGAATTCCTTTCTACAGCCTCATAATCGACGGCTTTCTTGATGCAAGGGATAAACCTACTTGTAGATTGGGCACAAGAAGGAGCCCCAATCACTTTTCCCATGATTCAACAAACCCGTTCACACACCATTTTATGTCTGGTGAGGGCCCATCATTGTATGCTAAATGGCTATGTTGGCACTTGTTATTAAACTTCCACAAGAAATCAGCCTCATTGCCCCGCAGTCTGAGCTTGGCACCAGGATGTCGCAAGCTTGGGAAGGCTTGTGGAACCTTAGATTGAACAACCCAGCACTGGAAGTCATCGTTTCAACATCCACACATTGAGTACGGCGCTCTCAGACACGGAGGGTGAGACTCATGGAAGTGCGGCGATTTCCAGCATCAGCAAAGTCAATTCAAACAATCCTTCACACAAACCCACGCAAACGGCTGAAAAACATGTACAAAAACTGATCAAAACTGATAGATGCAACACATTGCAACACATTGCCACACTACCCTCTGGTAATTTAACAGTTTGCTATTGAAAATGGCCATTTATAGTGATTTTTCCCATGAAAAATGGTGATTTTCCATAGTTATGTGACAGTTTACCAGAGGGTAACTCTTGGGAAGATCGTTCCCCCCAGATCCCCAAGATCGCCGGAGAACTCCACCCCCAGCACTTTGGAGGTGGCGCTGGCGGAGGCGTCCAACATACTGAGACATTCGTATTCCGAGGCGGCACTCTCCACCCGGTAACTCTTGTAGTATTGCCCTCCAGCCTGGGTGTTGTAGCCGGGCACCAAGTTGGGAATGGCGGAAGACGGGGGATGGTTAAGATGGAAACTCAGGATGCCGTAAAATAATGTAAAATACATGTATATACATCGATTCGTGGATTCAGTTGCCCTGGTTTAGAGGTCCATGTTGGAAGCTAAGATGGAAACTATGAGAAAAACGAGCGGTCCTAGGAGCACAACGGGTAAGTTACCAGGGATGATCTGGAAAGGCATCACACCCCAACAAGATCCATCCCCATCAAGCCCTACCTATTGAAGGATCATTGGTCAAAGTGGCACTTGTGCACATTCCAACTCCCACCAATTGGTTTTCGCCATCGGCCTCCTGGTATGGCGCTGCTGAGATGTCGGCACTTAAATCTCAAGTGTGTCGGACACATTTTTTTGAGGTAGGGAAAGGTCATACATTCTATATGCGATAGTATATAATCCGTGTGTATGTGCATATCTATATCTATATATATAGATATATAGACAATGTGTGTATACATATAATATCATATAATTATATATAGAGCATTGATAATTTGAGCATTTTGGAATGTTGATGAATTTTGCATGACATGGAAAAAGAGAGTTCCTGTCACCTGCAGTGAAAAACCCGCGGCCTTCTGGTGGAAATTTAGAGATCGCTGTCTCATTTGCACCTCGTCAAGCCGTGGGGGTATCTCGCTCTGGACCCACAAACTACCCTACAAAAAACTATGGAAAATGGCCATTTATAGTTGATTTACCTATGAAACATGGTGATTTTCCAGTTCGCTATGTAAAGTCATTTCGTGTCACATTTACAATTTCAAAGCCATCCGGTGGCTGGATCGTTTTGACTCATGCCAATGTAGATGAAAACATATGAACACCTATGCTATCTTTGTCATGTTGTTTCAGACTATGGCTTTGTCTGAAAATTTGGTGCCCAAAAAAATCTCCTGGTGCATCCCGAAATTTCAGACACACCCAACTATCATAGTGTTCCCCGGTAGAGTTTGTGTTCTTTGTTATCCCCAGTTTAGCTTGTGAAACCTATTCTGCCTTCAATTCATGTGGTTAAATACTTTCAAATATCTGTGTAAATATTCCATCACCTACCCATATCATAATCGTATACCCCCACTTTTTTGTTGATTATATCCCAAGTAGCATCATTCTTCACTTAATTTTCCCATATGGATCTTTATAATCTAATATTCCACTAAATCCCCAGTAGACCCCCATATATGATCCCAAACAACCGCATTATTCATTGATTGACTCCTTCCAAGTAACCATTACTCACCAAGAACCACTATTAACCACTATTTTTACATCTATGAATGTGGTAAACTCAATCATAAACCATCCCCAATTAATATGTCGAGGTTTTCCTGGCGGCAGGGGTAGTCACCAATATGACTGGGATGATATAACATTACCCCCAGTCATTGCTTGAATAATAGATAGATGGTTTAAAAAAAAAGAAATGTCAATCGATAGATGGTTAATAAACTTTAATAGATAAATAGGTGGTTGATAGGTGGTTGATAGGTGGTTGACAGGTGGATCATGTATCTTAAACATCACCCCAGCAACACGATTAATCATCCACTAACCATCTATGAACCATCACTCTTAACATTTGTTAACGGGATGGTTTGTGGCATTGGGTCTACCATGGTCTACCTCATTAACCACAACATTGACCATCTATTGACATCTCTATTAACCATCTGTTAACCATCTATTAACATCCCTTAAGCCCCTATTAAACATCTATTAAAATCTAGTGACCACCTATTAACCATCTATGAACCACCTATTAACCATCTATGAACATCTATATCATCTATTAATCAGGAACTAATCCCCATCGTTTTGGACTCATTTGGAGCCAAGTTGCCGCGGTGCCGCAGCTGGAGCTGCACTCGCCCAGCTCACTCCATTGAGTCCAACTGCAGAAGCCCTGGTCCTGCGGGCACGGTGTCCAGCCGCTTTTTTGGGATGAAAAAATGGCGGAAAATGTCGGAAAAATGTGGAAATCCAGCGAAAATTGATTAAAATTGGGGAATTCATGGAAATCGAAGCTGACAATTTGAGGACCAGCCACAATTGGAAATTGACTGACAAAACATGGAAGTTAAAACGGACAAAAGATGGGGAGTCAACCAACCACAGCTCGGAATTGATCAACAAAATCGAGGTCTGAACCAACGAAAGGTGAAAGTCTAAACGGGGAAGAAAAGATAAAACATGAATTCATCAAGTGCAACCAGGAAAAAATAGCAAGAGTGGGGCAATATATTAGTACGTATATGAGATTATGAGTATAAGATTGTACAAGTATGTTGACCTAAAGTGGGATACGGATACAAACCCACGAGTAGCGTTAACTGTTCAAGTTTGGAGTGGATGTGCAACACGGCTCGCGAAATCGAAGCAGCCACTCTAATAGTTTGGAGCGGTCCGCAGATGAACACAGATGACCAAGGATGAGGAAGTAATCCTTTCCCGCTAATATTGAATACATCCTAAAAAGACGAGGTTTAGTATTGGAATCATTCATGCAATGAATGGTATTATTCGTGGTGGTATCTATACAAAATATTAGCTATACATCCGCATTTCAGGATGGTTAAACCATGTTATATAAACATATATATCATATATATATATATTATAATATATATAAACCCCTATTCTTGATGGTGTTTCACCTCTAGTTTTTGATGGTACAACCTCCCATTCTCCATGCTTCAATCAGCTCAATCCCTCTTTGAACCCCCCAAGTTTTAGGGCTCGGGATGACAACAAGCGCCATCCGCGGGCTCCACGTCACCTCGCAGTGACTGGTGCAATCGCCCACTTCTTTGGCCACTGAGGGATCACACAACTTCCCGCACTCCTCGCTGTCAGCTTTTGCTGCCCAAATCAGTTGTGATACTGTGAGATGGCAGTGGGTCAAAACCTTGTACCCCTGTAGTTCACATCAAAATAGCTGGTAAATGGATGTTCATTCCCCTAAAAAAATGGTATTAATAGGTATTAATCCATACCCAGATAGAGCAAACCACAAATACATAAAGTCTATGGGAATTTCAGGATCCTAAATTGCAGGTACCTACCTTATATAAGGCCTATGTAAGGCCTTTTTTTGAGGGAATATACCCACAACATATGGCCTTATATGGTACAGTACCTCCATTTTAGGTTCCTGAAATGACCATTGATAAAGCTCGAAAGACAATGAAAAACATGGTTAAAAACTATGGCACTATCACATCCCAAAAACAAGCGAAACAACAGAGCTTGCCAGCTCTCCCCATCTGCGTGCTGCCAGGTGGCGTTGGGCATCTTGACGACTGCCCGCTGACGGTAGCGTTGCCCGCCGCACTTGGAGCAGTCGCCCCAATCCGACCAAGGGCCCCAAACGCAGTCCTCGTCGTGCCCAGAAAGCTGGGTGGCTTGGGGGTTTTGGTCCCTTGGGGTGAGACATTTGGCCCATTGGATGTTGTTTTCGTATCTGCAAATGATTGTATTAATATTATCAAATCATATCATCAATCAGCCATTATTGATTACGATTAACACAAGTTATGGGGGAATCCACAAATTTTCATCAATCATTTTTCCCCTCTTGTTGGCGATACGAGTATTTACGGGTAGATACCAGTATTAATATATTGATATAATATTGATGTATTATAATCCCCCCCCCTTTAAGGGGGGGGTGGGGGGGGGTAAAAACTGAAATATTTCACTTTAGGGGGGGGTCTCCCCCCCCCACACACCTAGAAATATTTCACCTCCCTAAAGTGAAATATTTCAGCTAAAAAAATCTGGTCTATAATGGCTTTGGGCGTGGTTGAATTCAAGGCTGAACGTCATGTTCTGAAGGCTGTTTGGCAAGTTCACTCTCTTATTTACTTTCTTGGAAACCGGCAGTTCCCATTTACCTAGTTGTCAGTGTTTGCGCATGGGCCCTACCCGCGTGAGGACTAAAAAGGTCCAAAAAGGAACAGCGTCCGGAGGAACCCCCCCCCCCACGTCTTTTAGAAGCCCAAAAAAATACGTGGGGGGGGGGTATATTTCACGTGGTCAGGTGAAATATTTCTCAGAAATTTCTTGCCTTACCCCCCCCCAAATATTCCAGGGTTAAAGGGGGGGGGATGTATTATATTATAGGCGATATTTACAGGTAGATATTCATATATTAATATATTGATATATTATATCGCCATTAGATGAGGATTTCTAAAAATTCTGGGTCCCCACGGGATGCCCATGGGTTTCCATTGGTTAAGTCATGACCCGTCCTTACAAATCCTCTGCTCACATGCAACTTCGCCGCAGCCTCGCCCAGGTGGCGCGGCTGGCGCGGTTGAAGCGTGTGCACCGAAAAAAGGATGGTTTTGACGGGAATTTCATGGAAATTCATGGGGTTTTCATGGGGTTTTCATCGGATTTAATGGTGCGAGATATATGTTTGATTGGGTTTTCGAATGGGATATGAATGGGAAATTGATGGGAATACATGACATATCATGACATCATGACGTGACTTTTTTTGTGGGACGAGATCCATCCATTTCTCCATGCCGATGCTCCCGCCTTGAATCTGTTCCACTGGACCCTCGCAGGGAGCCTGGCACACCAAGTTCCACAAGCGGATCATCCCAGCGATGGCTTTCTGCATCTAAGAAATTCTAAGAATCTAAAATAGTCCAAAAATGTCCGAAAGGATTTAGTGTTGTAAGAATCTAAAATAGTCCGAAATGAATTAGTGTTGCATCTTTTTGGGGGTTGCTATAAATGAGATAAAACCCAGGGGATAAGTGGCTCGTCGACAATGATGATGCAGTAAGTGAGCCATGATTTTTCTTTGGATGGCAACTTGGCAACTCACCCATCTCCATTGTGATTGCTGTATATACCCTCTGGTTATGTAACATAGCCATGGTATAGATGGCCCATAGAAATAGATGGTTTACCTATTAAAAATTGTGATTTTCCATGGCTATGTTAAATAACCAGATGGTAATCATCCAAAACAAGTAAGTAAGGAATTGTCATTCAAGATTAGCACTGAGAAGGAACAGCCATCTATCCGTATCCATCAATAAAACCCATTGAGAAGTGACTGCTCCATCCGAGTGAGTCATCCAATGGTAGAGTTCTCAAAGGAGAGAACGGATTGAAACTACAGGAACTAGTAGTGCTACTGTGTACCATTGTAGTAATCGGATCTGGTTGTTTTTTTTGCTCCATAGAATGACAGAAATTGACAGAATGTGTCTAGATCCTCTTGCCGAGAATCGGGGATGAAGAAATCATGAATAAAAATCAAATGTCTCAATGATCTCAATTTGACGTTCCCTCTTTGTGATAACCTGTAAATCCGGGAGTATGACCCTATGACCCTATGACCTATACCTGATATGAGATTATTGATTCATATTGATTCGTGATGATAGACAGAAAAACACTTGGAAAGCCCCGAAAACCGTCCCCGCTCTCCGCCCCCGATCCGCGCGCCCCGTCGTTGCTGTTGGGTGTCTTGATGTGCCGCGAGCGCTCGCGCATGCCGCCATCGCAGGTGGCGGAGCATTCACCCCACTCGCCCCAGGGGGCAAAGTCGCATTTGCGCTTGGGCAGGGGCCCACAGTGTGGAGGGGTCAGGCCTGAGGCAAACTCTGAAGGGATAGAATGCTATGAAGATCTATGAAGTACTTTAAAGGTTGGCATTCTATGGCATTCTACATGCATTCTCCTCCATAAACTGATACTTCAACACCACAAATGACACTAAGTTCTCCTTTTATTCTCCTCTTAAAAACCACCAACAAAACCTTCCCCCCTCCCCAACCCCTCAGCCTCCCGCCTCCCGGCAACGGATTGCAGGCCGACACCTCTTCCAGCGAGGCGAAGCCGTCGGCTGCCCCGGTGATGCGCTGCGAAGTGCCGTAGCTGTCGTAGCCCTCGTAGCCGTGTTCCTCGCGTTGCGCCACGGCCACTTGGCCGCAGGACTTGCCGTTGCCCTGGCAGGTGCAAGGGGGTGAGGTGATGGGGATGAAGCAGAGCCATGGATTTGAAACCAGTTCCAGGACTTGGGAAAAATCAGGGAGAACTGCGAGTTTCTTTGGAAGATTTCAAGACAGCCACCTGTGCTACCTTTTGGAAATTGCGGGGGCTGAAAAATTATTCAGGGCCTGCAAGCGGTGACGCAAGGGTCTACAAGAAATGGTTGTGTCTCAATCAGGAGTTTTCATGGTTTTGCGGTCCATCATATTTACTGTATATCATCTGCCCCCATCCCCTTAAAGAGACACCCACAACCCCATCCCGCCTTGGCGAACTGTTCGATGCGGCGGTGCCGCTCCTTCACGCCATAGCAACTGCAGGAACAGTCTGACCATTCGTCCCACTCCGCCAGCAGACAGTCTGCATCTTCGGTGCATGGGACCAAGTGCGAGCAGATCTCGTACTCGTCTTCCAATCCTCGTAAGCGCTGTGTCAACAGCGGGTCCAGCAACTGGATGCGGCTTCCAGATTTTGGGACGGATCAAATACCAATCAACGTCCCCAAATCCTACCATGAGGCCAACCAACCTATGAACCCTGGAGGCAAATTGACTCAGACTTCGGGGGAAGTCCAAGGTCGCCAAATGTTCGACCGTCCCACCTGGGGGTGTATAAACCTAACTTATCCAATTTTTGTCTATGGATTCTATGGTGAAAGAAAAAAAAACTCACAATAATCCCACGTTCATCCATCATATTCCCCGATATTATCATTATTTCTATCTGTGTTTGTGTGTGTGTCAATCGTTATTGCATTGTCTCATCCTCATCATCATCATCATCATCATCATCACCATCACCATCACCATCACCACCACCACCACCACCACTATCACCATCACCATGGTGCTTACTATGACTCCCCCATGTATCCCCAACCATCCCAGTTTCCCCCCACAGAAAAAACGCCCAGTGTCCCAGCGCCGGCTTCCCGCAGCTGTTGGGCCGCTGCATCACGTCGCGGTGCCGCACGCGGAAGCCCACGTCGCAGGTGGCAGTGCACTTGGACCAGTCGTTCCAGGCGCCCCAGGCGCCGTCGATGCAGACGTCGCAGCTCTGGGTGTTGCAGGGAGCAACCTGGTGCGACTGCTGGGCTGCTGGGCCAGGTAAGGAATCAGAGTTTTTGGGGCAATTCAAGAGGGAAAGTGATACACATGGAGCATGGATTTGATCGAACATAGGGAAATTGAAACCAGGGGAGTTTCGCCACAGGAGCATGCTTTGGTTCAACATGTTGACCCAGTTCAAGGTGGATGTCTCGTGAGAGATACCTCAAGGTCCAGGAAAGTTCCTTTAAACTGTATATACGGAAATGACATGAAATGACAATGACATACTGCTAGCTGCGATTCATGCTCGACCCCTTGGATGCCCTTGGGCTTTCGGATCCTAAAAGTCACCCAATGCTTGCGGACACCCACCCAATTCATCGCCGCTGACCTCCGACTTGTCCACAGGGTCGCACATCTCTCCCCCATGTCGCGGCGCCTGTTTTTAGGGGCCATGGTCCTTGAGGAATATAGTGTAGCCATATGTAGCCCTACCTTTCTTGACATTGCCAACCATTGTAAAACATCATAAATTGGGGTGTGGGTCAAAACCCTGGTACCCTTCTGTTTACATCAAAATATCTGGGATTTATGGAGTTATGAATGTTTATTCCCAAAGTGTATATATATATATGGAACTTGAATGTCAAGGTATAATTTCTTGTAGCGTAGCCTCTTTTTCGGCACTGAACTGGGGGCTTCAGTTGCACTAATAAGTGGTTATATATATATAACCAATATAATCACAATTGTAGGGGTTATATCCCAACCAATGGGCCTTAAAATACCATTCTTATATCCCAGACATTCCCAGACTTTCCCACCCCAACTGCCCCATTGCGGTACCCCGTTGGATCGTCGTGCCCGCCTGAACGATGACGCGATTGCGTCGTTTGGTGCCGCCGGCACAGCTGCAGGTACAGGCACTCCAAGAGTCCCATTGGCCCCACCTGTTTCAGGTGGCGCGATTGCGTCTGTTCCTATGAACCCGGATGTTATGATATAAATTCAGGTGGCTTTCCATAGGAAAATGGAGGTTTTAATGGGAAAACCATAGGAAAACCATAGGAAAATGGAGGTTTACCCTCTGGTTATGATTAACATAGCCATGGTATAGATGGCCCATCTATAGATGGTTTACCTAACTTAAAAATGGGTTGATTTTCCATGGCTATGTTAAATAACCAGATGGTAATTCAGGTGGCTTTCCAAAATTAAGTATATACCTAATATACTTTAGAATTAAATTTATGTAAATTCCCCATGATACCCAATATGTTCCATGGTGTATTCTGGTGTTTCCAGATGATGACGTCTAAATTTGGTTCACTTGCCTAACATGTGAGTCCCAAAAAGATCAACATGTTGCTATCGAGCCACTTGCAGTCTGTCTCACCACATTCGGTCATGCATCCTTTCACCTGAAGCGCGATAGATTTAAATGTAAATCTACAGGGAAACTCAGAAACTCGGTGGATTTTACACCAGATATGGGGCTTTCCTGCAAATGTTCGATTCAACCAATTCTAGGACCCTAGGACTTTTGCAAAAAGGCCGGAAGTTGGCGGTTGGCGTAGTACCAACCCCCTTCAAAATACGCTCATCAATTGGGATCATTGTCTGGGGTAGGATTGAGACTTTTTAAAAGTGCAACCACCAACGAGTTTTTTTCATTGGTGGCATAAGGCAACGGCAACCAAAAATAAACAACATAAATATATATATATACAGATATGTTATATATATTAATATATATATATATACAGTATATATATATACATAGAGTAAAATGCTATAATAATGAGAATAATAAAAGATTGCGGTAGGAAACCACAGTGACAGTAGCTTTTTGACATATATTCTGGAGCTCAAGGGCTCAAAAAATTTTGAACGATCACAGGCGCACCATGGCGCACCCGCTAAGGGCGCAAATGAGAAACGCTGTTTCCTAGGAAAACCATAGGGAAAATGGAGGTTTTAATGGGAAAACCATAGGAAAACCATAGGAAAATGGAGGTTTACCCTCTGGTTATGTCAAAATAGCTATGGAAAGATCCACCATTTTTAATGGGTAAATCCACTATTTCAATGGCAATTTTCAATAGTTATGTTAAATTACCAGAGGGTATTTGCCTTCCTCTTTTCTGGGCTTTGCATGTGCGTATCCACAATTTCCGGTGGTCAAAGCCATCTCCGAGTCCCCATTAGTCCTTACTTGTCAATCACCAACATTTTACTTCAAAGACAAAGTTTAGAATAGAAATCAGTTGTGAATCACCAAACAAAATTGCTTCCACAACGCCCATACTTTCGAATATTACCAAAATTGCGCTTCCAAAAAAACCCACAGCTTCAGACATGTTCAAAAAAAACATAATACTTTAGAAAATACTTTAGAAAATACTTTAGAATATTATATATATATGCAGATGCATATAAAGAGTAAAACATACTGTTACTATGTATACATATCATCGGTAATATACATCATACACATACATTGAACACATACTATACCCTCTGGTAATTTAACGTAGCTATTGAAAATGGCCATAGAAATAGTTTTTTCCCATTCAAAATGCTGGATCTTTCCATAGTTAAACGTTTACCAGAGGGTATATGGCCCATCCCCCCATCCCCCCATCCGCCCCTCTGGTAAACGTTTACATAACTATGGAAAGATCCACCATTTTCAATGGGAAAATCCACTATTTCAATGGTCATTTTCAATAGCTATGTTGACACAACCATAACGTTTACCAGAGAGTAAACCTCCATTTTCCTATGGTTTTCCTATGGTTTTCCCATTAAAACCTCCATTTTCCCATCCGCCCCATCCCCCATCCGCCCCCATCCCATCCCATCCCCACCTCCTTCAAAGCCAGGCCAGCACCCAACCCCCCGGAGCCCTCTCTGACGATCTCCCGGGACCGCTCCGTGGTGCCCAGCTCGCACTTCCGCGAGCAGCTGGTCCACTCGGACCACTCCGATAACCTCAACGAAAAACACCAAGGGGGTGGTGGTTTTTCTGAGGAAAACCTGGTTTTTCTGAGGAAAACCTGGTTTTTCTGAGGAAAAACATGGAAAAACCTCGGGAATTTCTGGGGTGAAGCCGGTGAAGCCTCAAAAATTCAGGAATTCTACCATGAAAACCTCAGGAAATATGGGAAAAACCATCAATGATAGGGGGTTCAACTTATGAAAAATAGATAAAAATAGGTGGTGATCCATGAATTAGTGGATTTGGGTCTGGAAACAAACATTTAAAACATATAGACAAAATGTGACACAAAATTGACACAAATTGAGATTTAGCCAGTAGTCAAAAATATAGTGGTTTGATTGATTTAATCACTGAGTAATGGATTTTGGTGCCCCAGTCACTTAGCTCAGCCAGCCAACGCAACTAGGTTAACGGGTTGACGGGTGGGTTGATGACGGAGACATCTATCTACAGTAGTTGTACGGGTGAAACAAGACCAACTTATAACCGGGAGAGGCCCCCACCTGGCGGGAAGTGAACTGGTCATTCTCCAATTTTATCCAATTCTGGGGGCGCCCAGACATGCAGAGATGGCTGTAGAACCCTCGAAGCAACAGAGAGTGCACCAGTCGATGATGAGCGGGAGATAACCCACTCTGTACAAACAATTGTGGCACCGGACGAATCCACCAGTTTGCAATTACTCACTTGATCTCACTCGTAAATGATTTGCCTTTTGAGAATGGGATTTCTCATGATTTCTCCATAAAAGTTCCGCAGGAGCATTCCACTCAGTCCCAGTGCGATCAGCGATACTCGGAATCCACCACATCCATACAATGCTGCTGGCCGCACGGTCGAACCTCCTGGCGATAGGGATCACCCGAGTAGCCTTGCTGCTTTCGGATGTGGCTTGGGGAGCCATGGTAAGTGGCTGCTTCAAGACCCACAGCAACTGGGATATCATGCTGTGGTTTTTCCCAGTTGCTGACCCTCTGGCCAACTCAGGGGACAGAGATTCGTCGTCAAGTTGTCAAGGTTTACAAACACCTTGCAAAAACGCAAGAACCCAACCAGCCATCTACAATGCGGTGCCCAACAGTTAGCCCAGTTGGTTTATAAGATTTTACAGGTAGGCTCACTAGGTTTGTGGTTTTTCTAAATTGTATGATAGAAATTATAGTCAATGGGGATACTATAAACCAACCAACTTAACTCAAAAGCACCACCTTGTGCCTGGCCAAAGATACCTTCTGGTAATTTAACATAGCTATTGAAAATTTTCCCATCAAAAATGGTGGATTTTCCATAGTTTTTTGTTAACGTTTACCAGAGGGTAGTTCCCCAGTCCTTCAGATAGTTCCTAAGCTCATCTTGCGCCTCGCCCTCCAGTTTGCTCAAGTCCAACTTGCACGCGAGCGGCGACTTTTCGATGTCGATATCCCGGTTCCTCCCAGGACGGTGAGACCCAAACGTCGGAGACGGTGACAGACCCATTTTTTCATGTGATGATCTTGGGTCCTTCACCTGTACCCTCTGGTAAACATAGAAAAAACGATGGGAAAACACCATTTTTGGGGGGTAAATCAACTATTTCGACTGGACCATGTTCAATAGCTTTTTGTATGTTTACCAGAGGGTATATTTGATCTGATCAGGAAGAAGAGACAAATGGTCACACAGATGTACCAGTGCCCACAATCCGCCATCCAAGCTCATACTGGGCTGCAACTCACTTGCCAGTTGCAAGGGATTGGAATGAATAATTGGAGGCCACTTGCTCAGCATTTGCTCAGCATTTGCTCAGTTGCTACGGGCCAACAACAAATTGCCCTCCATTAAAGTATCAGTCCAGTGCCAGTGTTTTGTTGACTGTTTTGCCCTCAAAGACATGGCAGTTGAAAAGAACTCGAACGTTCATGAGAAAATCATCTATACATGGGTCTTACGAATGAAACCGAATAAATCGGCTATCATTGTTAAGGTTTGTGTGCAAATAATGTACTTTAAATCGTGTGTGAAAAAAAATATATATAAATGCAAAATAATGTGTTTTACTGTATATAGATGGTCATAAATAATCCCATATTACCATATGTTCCATCAAAATCGCCATAAATAATGATCAGTATAAATCCCCGATGTCTTAGTCATGCAGACAACCACATGAGACCGTCAGCGGCACGTCCCCTTCAGTCCTTGCAGACTGCCCTCCACAGGTTGCGGTGCATGGCGTCCATACCGTCCACGTGGACATGATGCACTCTGTAGGCGGCTTCTGGCAGGGCCCCGATTTTTTTGGCACAGCACAACTTCGAAAAAAAGTGAGGGGTTCTACAACGGTTATACAACGGTTTTGGCCTGTATTGATCTGTGTTGTATAGTGTCAATCCCGAATACTCAACCCTAGGTTGCTGAATTAGAGGGTGCTTAGCCACGAAAAGCGCTAAATCATCTGCTACTCAAATGGCACCCAATGAGCAACAGCCCAGGGGTTTTGCAAAAGTCCATGGTTGACATTGTAACAGTGGGTATCAAAACCTGGTGATCAGGATATGATTCATTCATATTCCCCATTTATATCCATTTGCACCCTCTGGTAATCAAACACGGCAATGGAAAATCAGCCATTAGTTGATTTTTCCCACTAAAACCTCCATTTACCATTTGGTTATGTAACAGTTCGCCATGGTTAAAATCACCATGCTATTAAGAACGGTAGTCACCATCTATTTCGATTAGGGCCATCGAAAAACCATGGCTAGCCCTGTTAGTCATAACCAGAGGGTATACCTAGATATAATATTATACCATATTATATCATATAATACCATAATATAATACCATATATATATATGTGTGTGTGTTTTCCCATGTTTTCCCATGTTTTCCCACTAAAACCTCCATTTAGTTCTGGGTTTTTCCATATCTCAAGCCCATTCCCTCCTTGTCGCAGAGGCTGGTTTCCATCATCGTCATGGGTTCCATGGGGAAGTCGCCCTTGGGTGGCTCCACTACTTTCCGCGCACGGAAGCGCTGCATAGGATACCTCAGGGCAGGCTAGCGAAGCTGGTGGATGGCTGCGAAAACCATCCAAAACCAGGCTTTCTATTGGGATTTCACGGATTTAGCCATGCAAAACTGGGGAGGTAAGTGATTCAAAAACTGAATGGTTTGAGTTTGGTATCTGAAAGTTGGGAAGTTCCTTCAGTGTTACGATACTTTGTGGCCATGATGCCGTCGTGAAAATGATGATGATTTATTGGTGGAATTAGGGGTACACAAAGCCATGTTGCAATCCAAAAATGACGACTTGTGAGTTTGGGATTACCGCAAGGCTCAATATCCCAACAATCCTGCTTACTAATATTATGATATATTTGGTACGATGTGGATTTAGAACGACTCTCATATACTTGGAACGTGAGCGGGAAGTGATCGCTGTATGTTTGACTGTGTGGTCAAAACAGGAACCCATCTGTGGTTTCTGACTAACACTTTAGTCTTGTACACAAAGGGATTCCGCCCGGAAAAATCAGGGACGGAGAGAATCAATGGTTGGGAACCACGGATTTTTGCCCCGAGTGTATCCAAGTGTAGTGTTGTGCTACAGATTTTCCATGCTTTTCCCGCCAATTCTAGGAAGGAACCAAGGCACTCCCCAGAACAGCCTTCCCACTCTGTCCATTCGCCAATGATCGGTGGGGAAGGCTCCCCGCAACTACCCCTTGGTGGCATGGTCACCCTGGAAAGTTTCTTTGCAATGTGCTCACAAATTGGAGAATTGAAACGTTCTACCGATCTTCTTCAGCATAGTTCTACCGTTCTACCCACAGAAATTGATCTTCTGAAGCAGCATGGTCACGATGCAAGTTTGAACGTTGCACGTGTTTTTGTGTGTGTGTGTGTGCGTGTGCGAGTCACCATGCCAATGGGGGTGCACGACTTATTTCGCAGGAGACCATTCTGAACTGGTGGTTCTTTCCATGACCAACTCTTGCAATCAATGCAGGGAGCAACAGAAAACAAGAGGTTGCAGTACAGTACAGGGCGTAAAGTCAACGACATGTTTTTGCACGTATTGGCCATTGTTCACCTTTGTTAGCAACCACCATCTCCATTCTCAGGTTATTCCAAATACTGCTCAGTTGCGATGCTGGACGTACTCCACTATTCCATCTTTAAATAATGTTTCAATCCAAACACTACTTGGGATATTGGATAACTACACATCCCCATGGCTTTCCCCCCATTATTAATCATTACCCTCTGGTAAACAGCCACATAACTATGGAAAATCACCATTTTTATTGGGAAAATCCACTATTTCTATGGCCATTTTCAATAGCTATTTTGACATAACCAGGGGGTAAACCTCCATTTTCCTATGGTTTTCCTATGGTTTTCCCATTAAAACCTCCATTTTCCTATGGTTTTCATCAACCACCAGGCACTGCTCCTTCAACCGGCCCCCCAGGTCCCCCCCAGGTCATCGCCAGGTCACATGCCGCAGGGCTCGGTGCTCCTCAGCGGCCCTTCGCAGGCGATGCCGTTCAACGCGTGCGTCTCGACGCGCCGATGCCGCGAGCGGGTGCCGCCACCGCAGGTCACGGTGCAGACGGTCCACTCGGACCACCTCGAGGTGGTTTGAAGGGCTGGGTGGCTGGGATGGAAAATGTATGAAAATGTGGGATATATGGCAAAGATCTGCGATTTATGTGAATTTACCATAATTTAAATTGGGGAACATCATCAAGAATGGGGATGTTGGGGACTTTAGAAACAAAAAGAGTGGAATCCAAAGGGGGTTCGGCTATCTATCTATATGTATATTGATTCTTAAAATGTCAAAATGTTTCAACCAAAAAAGATCCAAGCCAGTAGCCTGGCAGATATTTATGCCGGATACCGGCCTTGAAACAGCCAACCGTGATGGGATCGTTACCAGCATTCAGAAAGTTTTCGAGGCTGTCGCTTGGTGGGATCACAACCGAAGAAAGTAATTTGGTGTTTTTCGTCCTGAATTCCTCGTTATATCCATTTATATCTTAATAATATCAACTATATATATATATATATAGAATTATCCATGTAGATACATTATAATCTCTATAATGTATATATATATATATAATTATCCATTTATATCCATTTATATCCATTTATATCCATTTATATCCATTTATATCCATTTATATCCCATGTTTTCCACACAGCTCTGGATTTGAAAAGAAGAGGTTCGATTGGGCGATCCACCATTGCACCAAGGCCTTTTTTATCATAGGAAGTTGCTGATTCCCATTAGCCTCTGGGTATGACTAACAGTTCGCCATGGGATTTCGATGGCCCATAGAAATAGATGGTTTACCTGGGTTTACCGTTCTTAATAGCATGGTGGATCTTTCCATGGCTATGTTAGTCATAACCAGATGGTAAATCCCAAGAATTCCAGTACTTCCAGCATCCATCTCTGTCCCACCATGCTGAGGCATGTCAGGTCATGCTCAGTTCTTGGTGGCCCAATACGTCCACGGAATTCACCGAAACAAAAACACCCCCATGTTTTTCGTAGCAACAACCCAAAATCGCGATTTGTAAGCGGAAAAAACGCATCTTTCAACCCAGTTCTTGATGTTCTTTGAAGATTCACCTTTGCTCATGGGTTTCCATAGTTTTCTACCATTTTCTATCTAGGAACCTCCCATTTTGGCAGCCTGCGGCATCTTCAGGGTTAGATATTGCTGTAGATGTCACCAAAACAGTATGGCATCCATTCAGGGTGATGTTCAATATCTCAAACAGGACAAAATCGGTGTGTATGTGTCTTTGTTGCATAGCGCGCTATCAATGCAGACGGATACAGCATGTGTACATATATATATATATAACATATATATATATACTGGTTGTGTGCCCGTTCACAGAGGTGCAAGCGTGGCAACTTCAAACAATCTGCCTGGGTGGCCATCGCTTTGACTTTGGAATGATCAGCGCATTGGGAATCCCCCCGTACTCTATACACCTACGGATGCATAGAAAGATAGCTTTCCCATATGGGTTTTGTAACTTGCCTCTTGCAACTCCCAAACCCAATGGTTCAAATCATCGTATACTTGGTTAAATGATGTTAAATGGAGGTGTCCTAAGTCATGGGCGTAACCCAAATCATCCAAGTCATTCGACCATTTTAGCAAACCCATGATGACTTGGGGATCCCCCATTTTAAGAATCATATGGAGGTTTCCTGAAATGGGGGTACCCCTAAATCATCCATTTTAATAGGATTTTCCATTATAAACCATCCAGCTATTGGGGTACCCCCATTTCAGGAAACCCCCATATCTACCCTCTGGTAATTTAACGTAGCTATTGAAAATGGCCATTAATAGTGGATTTTCCCATTAAAAATGGTGATTTTCCATAGCTATGTTAGTTTACCAGAGGGTATGTCTCCTCCATTGTTTAGACCAGGCCATGAAAGAAAAATCTCCACAGATTTCTTCAAGCGTCCCTTCGAGCACGCAGTCGACTTCACCCGGCTCCGCGTTCGGCTTCGTCTCATTCCAGTAGCCCAAACAGGGCCTGCCATTGTCCTGGACAAAATGACCAAAATCCCATGGGGATTTCCATCATTTCCATCATCCAACATGGCTGGGAAATCCCAGCACAATAAGGACAAATCATATGGAAAATATGGGAAAATCCCACATCAATGCATGTGTTTTCCAGCTGGCCATGTTTGAGTACCAGAGGCTTTTCCCGAGATTCCCCATTTTTTACTGGGCATCCATAGCATGCACTGACTGTCAAACCTAATGCTGGAATGCTTGGCGACCCAATCCAAGGGTGCTGATCCAGTCGAGACCAAAAATCCAGGTGCCACCGAACTGGACACCAAACTCTCTGGAAGAAAAACGATGTTTACCCATCATTTTTTGGTAGGCCTATGATTTTGACCTCTACTGATACATCCAAATGGATCAAATATGGGTCCAGAATTGTTTTGCTTTTTTTCCGTGTTGTTTTTTTTTGGGGGGGGATCTATTTTTCTGCCCGTTTTCCTGGCTATTTGCAGCATTTTGCGACTGGAAACTGCCATTTCAACTCTCTTTGCAACATTTTGGAGTTGGAACCTCTCATTTTCCATAGCATTTGCAGAATTTTGGTGGAATTTGTAACATTTTGGAGCTGGAAGCTGCCGTTTCAACGGTATTTGCAGCATTTTTGAGTTCGAACCTTTCATTTTCGATGGAATTTGCAACTTTTTGTTGCTCGAACAGTTCATGTAACATGGTAGTGTGCAAATAGGGTTCATTTAGGGTTGGTTTTAGGGTTAGTCTAGGTGTTTTGTTTGGTTTTAAGTTTTTAAAGGGTTGGTTTTAGAGTTAGTGAGGGTTTATTTAGGTTCTTGTAAGGCTAGCCAGGATCTTTTTAGGGTGTGTTTTAGGTTTTATTTAGGCTCGGTTTAAGATCTATTTATGGTTGGTTTGGGACCTATTTAGGGTTGGTTTATGTTGGTTTGAAGTTTGTTGAGGGTTGGTTTAGGATCTATTTTGGCCTGGTTAAAATCTATTTATATACGGTTGGTGTACGGTGTACGGTTTATTTATGTTTACTTAGGCTTGGGTGAGCATCTATTTGGGGCTGGTTTAGGGTGTGTTTAGGGTTTATCCAGGTTTGGTTTAGGATTTATCTAGAGTTGATGTAGGACCTATTCAGGATTGGTTTAAGGTGTGTTTAGCGTTGGGTAATATTTATTTAGGTCTGGTTTAAGATCTATTTAGGGCTGGTGCAAGGTTTATTTAGGATTAATTTCAAATTCATTTAGGGAGTGTTTAAAATTGCTTAGCGTTGTTTTAGTGGTTCTTTGATGTTCTTTGGTTGGTTTGGGGTTTATATGGTTGATTTAGGGTTTATTTATATTATGTTTCTCAAGATTTATCTGCAGTATGAGAAACAAAAAAAGAGGGAAATGCATGGAAATGCAAAGAAGCAGAAAAGCTAAGCTGGAAAAGCAGAAAAGCAGGGAAAAGCGGAGAAGCAGAGAAGCAGAGAGGCGGCACAGTGAAGCAGAGAAGCGAAGAAGCAAAGAAGCAGAAAACTGGAGAAGCAGAGATGCAAAGAACAATAAAAGCAGAGCAGGGAAAAGCAGAAAAGCGGAAAAGCAAAGAAACAGGGAAACAAAAAAAACGGAAGAAACAAAATAATTCCCATCAAATATTGTGGGTCTGCCTGAAAATGAGGAATGCAAAATCACGTCGTTGTTGATAATTCAAAAACCGTGAACCTTCGAGATTGACTCTTTGAGGCATCCCACTGTTGGTAAACCTTTATTACGAATGAAGTTAAGGACGGTAAACGCAAACAATCATTCAGAATTTCATCATTTTTGACGAATCATATCTGCTCTGGACATAGTTTGACTATCCCCACAACGGGGCAACATCGACTAGTTGTTCATGGAACACACCTAAAATACAGTATACTAAAATCATCTTTGGGAACGACCAGGGCCTGCAACATGGTTGAAACCAGGCTGGAAATGTTGATCCGAAAATTTGACCCAACAATTCCCACAACTTCACAGGACTCCTTAGCTGCTTCCACCACACGCCGGAAACGCAGCATTTGGCCCAGGACGTTGCTTGCCTGAAGTCGTCAGCAATGGTGCGGAAAAGCAGGTTGACGGTTGGGTGGATTTTGTATATCACCAAAATTGCCCATTCAAATACCCTCTGGTAAACTAACATAACTATGGAAAATCACCATGTTTAATGGGAAAACTCACTATAAATTGCCATTTTCAATAGCTACGTTAAATTACCAGAGTGTACAGCAACAAAATGGTCAAAATTGATGTGTTCTATCCCCACGGTGTTAAGTGAATTTGCAAAAATTGTAAGTTAAATGAGTTTACACTTTAAACGATGGACATGGTTCATCTATAGAAACCAAAACATGTTTTGAACATGCACACGTACACATGAAAAAGGATGTTTCCTATTGGTGCAAACCACCACATCATGAATTGAGAAGTTTTCAAGCAAAGGATCAGCTAGAGCGCCTGTTGGTATTGCAAGCGCCCTGTAGGCACACCATGAAGCAAAGTTACAAAAGCAAACCTGTTGAAATTACAACAACAAACCGGTTAAAGTCATACGGGTATGGGTCCAAATTAGGTACCCCAATAATTGGATGGTTAATACTAAACCAGACATTTCCATCTGTGGTCCCACATCGGTCTTCCATTTTGACCCACATCCATACGTTCATTTTGATCAACGCTGACTTAAGGCCTCAGTTACCTGGTTTGCTCGGCCACCAGACAAGCCATGAACAATGCTTGGCAAACAATTTGATACCTAGTGTTTGACAGGAAAAACATGTTCAATACTTGGTGGCTCATCCCACTTAGTAAGTGGGTTAGTTCACCCCAGTCATAAGTGGATTAACCTTACAAAAATCCCATTTATAACTGGGGTTATAACCCACTTACTAAGTGGGATGAGCCACCAAGTAGAGACCAACCTCATTAAAAAAAAAAAAACTTTTAATCAAAAGACACAAGTTAGGCCAAAACTCAAAAAAAACAACCAATATAATTTTCGATCAGAAGTCCAATAAGTCCATAACGCTAATTCAAAATCCGAATTCAAGAGCGAAATAAAACCTTGTCATCACACTCCAACCAAAACAGCAATGGACGCATGTGCGATCGGCAAATGTCACAGTTCTGCTGAGTTCCATCATCTCAGCAGACTGATCTGCTACAGATCAGCGGCTAGTAGATTAGTAGGTTGGGGTTGGGAATGATTTTCTTAGAAATACATAAGTTAGCAAGGCCTATTTTAATGTTGCTTGACTTTCAATGACATGTGTTTGATTTTTGTGTTTTGTGACGTGTCATTATTTTTGCTGCCTCTTAATGCCGTGTTTGGCCTTTAACGGCATGGCGGCATGTTTATTTTGACATTAAATGCATTTTGTGGTTGGGTTGATTTTTTTTACTATAATTATGCTACGTTGTACTTTTGGTTAGTTTATTCCTGAATAATTAACTATTATGGTTTGTTTTGTGTTCTAACTTCTTCCGTGCTTGTGTATTCAAGTTTGGGACATATTTAAACACTTGTATAACTCCATCAAATTTGTCGTTACTTTTTTACAAACAAATACGTATAGGTTAGCCGCACTCCCACCAAAACTGTCAGTTATTCAATACAGAATCATATTCACACCTTCATGTCATCATTTATATAGGGATGGGGTCAAAACCCTGGTTGGCACCATGGTAGATATTTGGCAAATGGATGTTGAACACCCCATTCCTATTGAAGATGATACGGTTTGAACCACCAAAACCTTCACCGCGAGACTTGGTAATGTTCATTCCCCGACCCATTCGAGCTTCAGCACAAGCTAAGTCTTGTTGGTTCTTGATCCCAATCCTCCTGAAGTTACGGTGCAATTAAACTCTTCAACTTGGACTCATCTGAGGTATCCACTTGACACTTTTGTTGCGAGGCTCCCTCAACAAGATCGAAGTTCTTTAACGGCTGGACGTAGCAAAAAGCAAGCTCAATAGAGCCAGATACTTGTACATACACATAAGTGAAGTTGATTCAGATCAGATGAGACAGGTAGAGATTAGTTCAGATGGAAATAAGTTGATAGAGAAAAGCACATTGTAGAGAGAAATGGAGATAGGTTCCTGCCAAATTGAGTCTGCAGAGACGAGTCGTCGATATCCCCAATGTTGCGATAGGTGTAGAAAAGCAAAGGCTGACAGAGCAAAGTTACATCAGATGCGCTGACAGAGAGAGAGAGAGAGACGAGGTGCATAGATACTTAGTAGACATACATACAGCTTGGGGCTGGTTCAGTTGGAGATACGTTCGATGAGGGTCAATGGTGCGTGGTGCTGCGCTTGCCAGGCGGAATTGTCAAGAAATGGATTGTTTCTTAACCAGCAAATGAAAGTCACATGTAAATCTGGACGACAACAAATCAGAAAGACACAGAAAACAAAACAACAACTCGAGGAAACCATGATGGTTTAAGGGCAACACCAAAATGTTGGATCTACACTGGAGAAAAGGACGTGCTCGTTGCTAAATGATGCCCGGGATATGGTAGGCCAATCCAATCCAGTACATGCATTCACGCGCCAACATACCCTTCATTTTGCTGCCACTTGCCCTTGCACTTTATAGACTGTAGTTATTTTGCACCAGCGTGAATGAGTAAAAGCAAATCATCTGCCAAATCCCATCCCGGAAAAGGTTAGTCCAGTGGCAAACAGGTTGACATCAACGGTTGACGTCCTCAAATGTAATTTTCAAGAGCGATGGACGAACAAAAAAACTTAACTGGTCAGAAATTTGGGGACATCTTGGTTTCCTTCAAGGTTGCTGAGAAAACAGCAAGTTATAAACAACCTGTCTCGAATTATGTGGTGTGTTACGTGTTGACAGCATCGCGTCAAAAGATTCAGAAGTATACTGGACATTACCGGACAGAATCACAATTCTATCCACCTACCCACACATTCTACAAACAGTTATACCAATCTGTTAAATCCCTATTAATAGTGTTACCAATTAATAGGGACCAGAAATCAGTTCCTTCAGCAGGTCACTTGAGAATACAAATTGACCCAATCCCAAGCTCAAGGTCTGTTGAAAAAGATGGGAAACTCCCAGAAAATCTCAATGACTCAGTCTACCCTCTGGTGAACTAATATAGCTATGGAAAATCACCATTTTTAATGGGAAAATCCACTATAAATGGCCATTTTCAATAGCTATGTTAGTTTACCAGAGGATACCCTTCACTTAGTTGTGGATGATCACTACTAGTGTGGGCAAAATGACTCATTTGATGTTCAGGAACCGTTGGAAAAAAGAGGTTGCGCTCCCCACCTGTGGTGCACTCCACGGTGACCATTCGCTCCAAAGGCAGTCGCGCGGATGGAAGATGCAGTGGGGCGAGAGGCAGCCCGCATGCGCCGAGGTTTCAATCCTCGGTCGTCGCTCGGATGGGAACTTCATGGGATGGTTTCACCTGGCCATGGCCAAAAAGGAGACTTTTTCCGACATGTCATGAATGTCAATCATGACGATATGTGACGGTCTCCAGATTTTGTTTCAGCCCTCCTCCTGATCATCGCCCCTCATGGCTCCATGTCACCGTCCTCGTCCATATGGCAAGTGTGGTGACCGCAAGGCCGGTGCAAGGCCGGTGGATGTGTCAGAGAAACTGTCGGAAGACATGTGTCAGAAGAAGTGCCAGAAGATATGTCATAAGTCATAAGATATGTCTGAAGCAAAAACAATCAGAACATTATATATATACATACACACGCTATGGATCAGCATATGTGTATATATATATATATGTATATATATAATGCCAGTGAATATGTGTCAGAACATTATATATATATATGCAAATGTTCATCTCAGAGATTTTGTCAGAATATAGAGGATATGCGAGAAAATGTTTCAGAAGATATGTCAGTAGAGATGCCAGGAAATATGTGAGGTAAATACCAGAGATGGTCGGAAGAAAAGTCACATGTCAGGATGGAGTTATGATCCGCTGGGGATCGCACAATGTACCATCTGGTTATTTAACATAGCCATTGAAAATTGCCCATTTATAGATGATTTTCCCATTAAAACCTCCATTTATAAGGGATTTTCCATGGCTATGTTAAATAACCAGAGGGTAGGTGAAAACCTGCTGGTTTTTGGTCCACGGCTTTGGCCCAGCAACTTGGCACCCATACACGGCTGGCCACATTCGTTGTTGGAATGCAGGATACCTCTATGTCGGGTGCACAGCCCAATGCATCCCCTCAGGGAATACCAATCGCTCCTGCATCAGAATGTGTCAGAAACAAAAAATCATTGGCAAACTTCGATTTCTTTTGTGTAAGTCAGAAACTGGGCTATAGCCGGTATAGCCGGTATAGCCGGTATAGCAGTATAGCCATCATTTACGGGCATCTGAACATCGAAAATAATGATTGATTACGGGTACCCCATCTCACACAAACCCATCTGTTGGTCTTTCTTCCACCTGCACTGAAAGCGAAAATCTCAACCAAATGATCCCCTCAGAATATCATTTGGTGTTTTTCACCATCAATCCCTGCCCCTAATATTAAGTATTCCCCTAAAAATCCTAAAAGCTATGGTTTAGCAATAGATTTATTCATGTTTGGCGCTCCGCAAATTGCGGGTATTTCCTAATTAGTAATTTCATATTAGGGGGATTGGATTTTTCGTGACAAAAAAATCCCACATGTCCCAGCACAACCCCCCGGTCTCCAGGGCTGAAAGATGCAATCTTGTCTCTCACACAAGGGCTTGCAGGAGGGTAACCTGCGGAGGTAAAGCAAAATGCGCAGAATCTGTAGTCCATGATGAAAATGTCAGATCCAAAAACAATGATTGTATTTCCCCAACAGTTTAGTCCTTATGTCTTGAAGACAACACAACTTAGCTTGTCTGAACATGTTGGGGGAAAAAGCTTCTAATCCCTTGGTTTAGAGCACCACTTCCGTAATTTCAGTGGCTGTATATTGCGAATGTTATAAATATTGACCAACATCATCAATGAACACGGGGTTCCTAATATTTTCTCAACCAACAGTACGCAGAATGTCGCAATGGGTAGATTTGTGGCTGAGCATGGCTAGCACAACGGATCGCAGATGCAGGTTGGGTATAGGTATACTCCATCTGAGCAGAACCACCTTTTGGAGCCCAAGATGAACGAAATCAATACTATTAGGTACTATATAAACCATGTTTCCCAAGGGCCTGTTGATTGCTGGGAACGAATTTGTATACCTCTTTCGTGTGTGCCTGCAGAAACAAGACTCGGTGCATCAAGCTTTGCATGGTGGTAAGTTCCATTACCGACTACGAAACCCACCTGTAACATCAGATCTGTTAGATCTGCTCGCTATTCACATCCCAATCAAATCTATTCTGCCAACGGTGTTGGGATGTTGATTCACCCTCCGGTAGTCAAAAATGGCTAGCTGGGAAATCTTCGAACTAGATAGAGGCTTTCAGGTGGGAATATCATCAACAAAACTAGTGTAGATTTTCCAGCAAGCCATGTTTTGACTACCTGAGGATAAATCACGGTAAATCATTTTTTTGTTCTAGAACAACAAAACCCCATAATATCCAATTATATTTCATTGTATATAATATAGATATATATATATACCCTTTATATATGATGTTCCCATTTCAATAGATAGGGGATTACAGCATATTTTGGGTGTTTACAACAGCTTTATGGACGATTTTCCCAAAACCATCATTAGTTATATCCCATCATGTTATTCCATTTACCATCTGGTTATTTAACAGTTCGCCATGGAAAGATCCATCCGTTTTTTAGTTCGGTAGACCATCTATTTCAATGGGCCATCGAAAAACCATGGCGAACTGTTAGTCATAACCAGAGGGTATACCTAGATATCATATTATACCATATTCTACCATATAATACCATAATATATCATAATATAATACCATATGTAATTATATATGTGTGTGTGTTTTATAAAGACATTCGCGGACTTTCCCATTTCCTTCGACCCATTTCGTTAGTTACCCGGTGAATCATCCAAGGAGAATCACCGAGGTTTTTTCGTTTGGGATGGATGGCCAGCCAGAGATTACCCACATAACTGTAATTTTTTGACATGATATAACTATGGTGAACCACCCGGAAAAGTTGGAAAATGTCCTATTTCGGGGATTTCATTTAGAATGTTGGGTTGCATCATATCTACCCCTATCTACTTACTGGTGTTTGGTAGGGAATGAGGGAATGATCCACTGTCTAACTATTAGTAATAATCCCATTCCCCCATTCCCATCCATTCCCTACTAAGCACCAGTAAGTCTATGGATGATTTTCCCATTAAAACACCATCATTTCGTGGATTTCTGCCCATTGGTCCCACAGTCCCATCAAACATTCACGGGAAACTCCTCGCACACGCCGGTCTCCTCTTCTCGTCCGCGGCATTCTCCCGAGACCAGCTTCACCTGGCATTCTCTCGGTGTGTTTTTTGAAAGACATACGGGAGGTGTAGTTCCGGTGAACTAAAAGGATATATCATATTTTTTAGTTAATATTATTAATAACAATAATCATAACAATAACAATAAGAATAGATAATAATCATTATTAATATCATGATAATAATGATGATAACTGATAACAATAAAAAGTGATAATATATGATAATGAATAACGGCAATACTCATAAAACTTGTATATATGTATAACCATAGTTTCAGGGGTTCTATCTGTTGTATCCCAACTTATGAGGGTTATTACCAGGATTATTCCCATGTATAATCATTAATCCCGAACACACACCCCAAGTAGGGGAAAAACAAAATGAGATTTGCCCGATGTGTTTTGGCAATCTCAAGAATATCATAAGTTATCAAGTGGGGATATCAGCTAAATTGGGAAATAGGTATGGGTCAAGTCATCGGGGATACAAAAATGGTACCCTCTGGTTATTTAACATAGCCATGGTATAGATGGTTTACCTATTAAAAATGGTAATTTTCCATGGCTATGTTAAATAACCAGATGGTATCTTCGACAAATGTGTTCACCTATACGAATAACAAAAATATGTGGTTGCCGAGAACCGAAATTTTGACCTGTCCCTGCTGTAATTGGAACGTTGGATCACCAGTTGCAAAACGTAACCGTCCCAGAGAATGTCGGGTTTGTTTTTTGGGGGTCGCGAACCACCATGATCACTTATTAGGGTCATATCCCAACTTATGGGGTTAATAACATAATTATGGGTTATATGTACGTGTATACATATTTATATTATGTATACCCATGAAAATATATATGTTTAAAAAAAAAAAACTTTCGCGAACTCAAAAAAAAAACGCGAGGGTTTCCAACATAACATGCACGGCTTTCGCAATTAAAACTCCTTATAAGGACCTTTAGATCGATTGCCACATACATATATATATATATACATTATCAATTATAATATATATATATATGATGATGATGATATGTATGTATACCCATGAAAATAACCTCCAACGGCAACCCCAGTTCTACCTCCCCCCGTCCGCCCTGCCATGGCACCTGAGTTATCTCCTCAGCTACCGCTGAGCTGAGGCCCAGTAGGAGCCATCTCCACATGTCGCGCCACCGCCTCACCTCCGCACAACAAAAAGATGGCTATTACCCTCTGGTAAACATACAAAAAACCATGGAAAATCACCATGTTTTATGGGAAAACTCACTATAAATGGCAATTTTCAATAGCTTTTTGTATGTTTACCAGAGGGTAAATACGGGGAAAGATGCCAACCATTAAAGTTTAGGGAAAGTGTCTTTGCGTGTGAAGAATACGGACCATAAACCTAGAAGACGATCCATACGACACTAGACTCACTAGACCGTTACATTGGGGATTGGAAGGGGCGCAAATTTTGGGACATACCAAGTTGAATGGTTCGTTTATATAAAGCTACCTAACTAATTAGGCTGCAAACGATCCACAAGATCCACAATCAAGAACTGCACAAGACACTCTTCAAGATGCTTGATAAAAGTTCTCATATTGAAATATTTTACCAGTCCCAATCAAATCAGCTAGGCTATATTATATACCCTCTGGTTATGACTAACAGTTCGCCATGGTTTTTCGATGGCCCTAATCGAAATAGATGCTTTTTACCTGGGTTTACCTATTAAATGGTGGATCTTTCCATGACATATTGGTTTACCTTTGTATAACCTCAATCATCAACTACCAGGGGGTTCGGATCCCAAAACCCCGAAATTGCCAAAGTCAAAGTTGACAAATTGGGAGCCCCTCCATTTTAAGATAAAGCCCATATAATGGGCCCCAAAGTCTAGGAATTCCCCACTTGGTGGTAACCAATGTTGATCCATGTTTGGAGAGGATCCTCCCACTTAGGAACTGGTTACCCTCCAATCAAACATTGCTGGCTGGTAAGTCTCCAATTAGTTCGGGGATTTCCCAGCTGGCCATTATTTCCGCAGTGTACCACGATTTTTCATGGTCAAGTCAGTTAAATCTGCGGTTCATCAGTCCCCAAAATTCCCTGCGACGATAGCAATTTGAAGCTGGGTTCTGAAAAACCGCACGCCTTGGAGGATCAGCACCGGTGGCGGATTGGTTTTGAACCAACAACTGCAACGGATGCGTTCTCAGGGCCTGGGACCCCCCAGATTTCAACGAATCTTCGAGACTTGGGGTTTGGTAGGTTTGGTACCGGAAAATCTAGGGCACAGTTTTCAAGCCCATTCCATCCAATGGTTTAAGATCTCAGTTTCCCAGTAAAGACTGCCATTGGGATATCACCCAGTTTATCAGACGGACTCATTTCTCAGTTGAACCTGGCACTGAGATCATCGTCGAATCTGGTGTTCGGTCAAGGCTGCGACTGTGAGAATGTCCTAACATCCATAGCTGCTTCATGAAGAATCATGAACGTTTGCTTTCACTTGTATTATGAAAATGATGACGTGCAGCCCAGGGAGGATCCGTATCATGAAAATAGATGAAAATAGAAGTTTGCTTCCAGATCTTCCAGTAGATAAGGATCTTTCACCAATGGAAACTGATAATACACACCCAAAAGAATTCAGATGCATGGATGTTCATCCAAAAAAATATGGAAGTTCATAGGTTTTGATCCATACCCACATTAACCTTACCGCACAAGGTGCCCCATGATACAAAACTAACGCAATCGAAAGGGTCGTTGAGCAAGGCGAAACATCACGAGGGGTGCAAACTTGTGACACGGTTTCCCCATCTGCAACAAACACTCAAACACATTCACAAAACCAAGGTTACAAGAAAATTGTGCACCAAAGTGTTCTTAAAACATGGAGTATGTTGTTTGTCTCGCCCACATCGGAGCATCAATCTCCCCTTCCCAAAAACACTGGAGTGCCTGTACTCCCTGAGGCGACAGGTGGTAAATTTCATCGTCCTGGCAGTCACCATATCCCACAGCCACCAGAAGTGGGGCCTCTGATGTTTTACCCCGAAAAATTGAGCTATATAAAGAGAGGGTAAAGCGGTGTATTTCCGAAAAGGAAGAACCCGGGAACCATCCATTTTGCCATGGACCCTTAGGAAGGCCCTTCGAGTATTGTGAGGCAAGTATGACAAACCACATGCCATCGGACATGATTGTATCCGCGTCGCCCAAAATTCAACCCCCTGCTGAAATGCAAGTTTAAATATGTGAAACCTTAAACAATAGACCCCAGTTTTGAACGTTTGGAATCGTTTGGAATGCATGTTTAAATGGTACAATAGGTTGCGCTTGGTGTACCAAATAACTGGGAGGATTTGGGAGCTTCACAAAGGTGCGAAGTGAAGTTTAGCGGCCTCCAACTTGCTGAAAATGTCCGCCACATACCTTCGAAAACTGCCAGTGCCCCTATGCCGACTTTCAACCCTGCAAGCACGGGCCAAACCCATGGGTATTACCAGCCATCAAAATCTTGCAAACGAAAATGAAGCAATTTTTCTTGCTAACGATATTGCAGGAAATCAGTTTTTTGCGATTTCCTGATCATGGGACAAAGAATTCGAAGTTTGGATCCCAAAAAAGCCGAACGCATCCAACTGCACTGGTGGCATCATCAACTATATGATGTCTGGGACATTGGATAGCTACCTGGATTGGATGGTAGTTCGGATGTATTGACTGGTTCTCGGCCGTTGAACCCCCCATGGCGCACTCGGCCACGCCCTGCGGGTCATCGTCATCAATTCCGCATGGTTCCTTGAGAAATACAAAAAATCCCCAAGGGCAGAGGATGGATCCACTATGATCCACTCAAGTTTGCCGGTTTTGGTTGAAAATTGTGATGTACTTATTTAATCTTATTTATCGTGTTTATGTTTTGCCGTATTTATCCAAATTTTGACCTGGCCCGTATAGTTTCCGGATCGCCATGCATGAGAAATCTATGTGGAAGTGGGAAAACTGCATTTAGTGGAGAGTGCATGACATTGCATGTTCATTTATCTGCTAGGTGGGCATCCTTTTTAGCATGCACAACCCTGCACCTTTCAAGCAAGGAGGTGTAAATAATTTTAACAATCATCAACAATCAGACCATCAAATGAGTACATCGGCAACCCCTTCCCCCAAATTTTCCCAAAAAAAACTCTTTGGATGCGCTGCTTCAACGGCAAAACAAACTCATCTGGGGCCCTGGGGCCCCGAAATGTTGAGGTCATTTCTTGGGGAAAATTTGGGATCTTACAAGATCTTGGGGCCATGGTGATCGCACCTGTTTTAGATGTTTCAGATGGCCGTCGGGGACCCACTGAGGCGGCAAAAAAAAGGGATTGGTTCCATGACCTCAATCCGGGACTTGTCTATACTTGTTGATATGAAGCACTTTGTTCCAACAACCATTGGAATCATGGAAATGGAAAATTACGAAGCGTCATTCTTTAGTAGTTTCAGGCAGGAGCACCGCAGTCAAGGCATCGGGTCTCCGAGCCGGGGAAAGCTGCAGCCGTGCCAAGCGGCGGTGCAACCTTGGGCACGGCCGCAGTTCGGGCTTCGTGGAAAAATATGTGAAGGATCATCCCACTTAGCATAGATCCTCTAAGTAAGTGGGGTTAGTACCAAGTAAGTGGTAAGTAAGCAGCAAGTGGTTAGTAACTAGTGATCACCCATTATCCACATAATAGTTCGGGAAAAGACTTAGTAAGTGGTTAGTAAGTGGGGTTCTTACCCATTTATAAATGGAATAACCCTAGTTCGGGACAAACCAGGCTTGTTGACCACTTACTAAGTGGGATGAACCTCAAGTATGGCTAAAATTGGGGATGAAAACAACCACAATGGAGATATCATGAAAATAGACGCCCAACAATATGTGGTTTCGGACCTTCGGATTCATCCTGATTAGACCTGTGAATTGATGGGGGTGGTTCGGTATTGTGTCAATTGTTTTTCTCAGGCCATATTTCTATCGCATGATATGTTCATTTCTTCAGATTTTCTCAACATGTGTATGTTTCAGTAATTAATGTTCAATTTGAATCAGTAAAAACAAAAACAAATTTCTGAAAATATCAAATGGTTTATTAAAGCCGTTTAAAAAAAAAAACTGCACCCAATCAATTGTTAAAAGGGGTTGCCCATGAGCAACCCTGATCTCCAATAGTATGTTTGTTGTGGGGGTCTTCCATTGTGTTCAGCTTTTTTTTGGCTGAAAATGTTCATGAATCCCTTTTGAAAATGTTCATGAATCCCTTTATCCCTGTCTTTGGTATAGCTATTGTAATGTACTTAGCGTTCTTCTTGAATCCTCAAAATGCCGAACTTTTAAAATATAAAATGCCTTATTAGAACCCATTTTTATAAAACAACACCGAAACAATATATCAAGGCGGTAGCCCATGAGCAATTCAGATCTGCGTTAGTACATTTGTTGAAAAGGTCCTCTATTGTGTCCAACTTTTTCTGGGGTTAGTAAACAACAAAAACAAAACCCTCTTATCCTTTCCTTTACTATAGCCTTTCTCTAGTTCAATTCTCCTGGCATCTTCTCCTGTGGTCTATGATGTTTCTATTGTTTTTTTTGGATTTCTATGGATTTTCTATGGTGTTTCTATGATATTTCTATGGGATTTCCAAGGGATGTCTATGGGATTTCTATGGGATTCCTATGGGATTTCTTTGTGGTTCCTATGATAGTTCCATGGGATTTCTATCATGGGGTTCCTATGGCATTTCTACCGGCTGTCTATAGGATTTCTATGGGATTTCTATGATATGTCTAAAGGATTTGTATGATATGTCTAAGTCATTTTTTTAGCGTGTGTGTATGTATATATATATACATAGACATGAATTGAAAATCTTAGTTATCCTGATATTTCTTTTGGTTGTAAAGGAAAATGAATCGAAAGTATATAGATCGATATGATTTGAAATCCTTACTTATCAAAAGGAAAATCAATTGAAAGTAGATGGATATCTATCGAAGTCCTTACTTAGATTTAGGTTTTTATATATAAGGAAAACCAATTGAAATCAATTCCGTTCTTATCAATTGATTTCTTGAAGGTTAGAAAGAAAAATCACGTGAAAGTAAATTGAAATCAATTGAAATCAATTGAAATCCTTTCTTATCAATTGATTGTTTGAAGGTTTAGAAGGAAGATCAATTGACAGTAATTTGGCATCTTTGGCATCAATTGAAATCCTTACTTAAGATCATGAACCAAAAATGATTCAGACCCTGGTCCCTCAAAACTTACCAGCCTGAAGAGTACCCCTCAAATATTTGGAAGGTCCCCCTACACTAATCAAGATTCAACATTACAGTATTCATAAAGGTAAAAAAAAGGTCCCAGTCGAAAGCATTGTTCTGTTCCCACAGTGAGCATGGCCAAATTTAACTTCATACGTGTAGACATATTTCCTTAGATGAATATATGTATATAAAGTTTTGTGATCATACATCTATTTATTCACGATGTTTTGTAATCCTGTTTGAATGTTCCACCTGCTATGATCGAATTGAAGCAGGACATGTCGTTCTGATCCACGGCTGACGCATCAAGAGAATCAAACGCGGCTTGGGGGTTCCCAGTTTCGAAAGCTGGGACCCTCGAAAATTCCTGAAATGTCAATCGAATTTCTGCGCACAAGAGTATGGGATCAAAATTATGTATCCCGGAAAAATGGAAGGGTGCTTTCCATAGTACCAAAAAAATACAAAAATCAATGGGTGAATAGTCTTGAATTTTGACCCATGCCCACAAAAGCAGACTCTCTGCTTAAGCCCGTACTGCATCTCACTTCGCAAAAAAATCAATCCGCAAACTGTTCCAGCAGGAGGGTCTGAAAGCATCAACAGGTGGTATGACTGAGCGTCTTCAAAAGCTATCAAACAAATAAGCGGGCAATTCAACTCATTGTGACGGGTTGGTCAGAGTGACTGGTCCAACTCTGATTGTGGCCACGCAACAAGCATATCACCTTGTCCCAACTACTCACTCAACTTGCACAAGGTGTCTGGGTCATGGATCACACATGATCAAACTGTAAATGGCCACAAACCACGATTGGCCAATCATTTCTTGTGCGACTTTGGGCACATCCCCTATGTTCTCGATCACGTGGTGCCGAAAATTTGGCAAAGTGGGATCCTTCAGAAGCACATCACTACCTGGCCAGATCCATCAGGGAAACCTGGGTTTGCTAGACGTTCCTCTGGTCATTTGGGGGGTTCCAAAAATAGGGTGACCCCAAAATGGTGTATAATGGAAAATTTCTAGTTGATGATTTGGGGGTACCCCCATTTTATCAATATATCCCCAAAAATTTCCAACCTGGACATCAGTCTGATCCCAACATTGATGGGTTACAGTGCACCCTAGGCAATCCCACCGGTACACCCGATAAATCCTGTGTCTCCACCCTCGCAAAACAACATGAACTGTGAAAAACACCTCTTTCCCATCTTATGATATTGGTTGGAAAATGAGGCATCACATTGACCAAGGTTTAAAGTAATCCCCACTGAACGAGGTAGGTGAATAACCCCATATAATTGCCAAGCACAAGCAAGCAACGTGGGTGTTCTAATCAATGGCCCACAAGAATGTTGGGTCAAAGCCCTGGTGAGCCCAAAATGTTAGTACCTGGTAACTGGATGTCAAAAACATGGTGTGCCAGAGAACCCAAAAGCAAGACGGCGAACGCCTTTTTTTTTAATCTTGTGGTGTGGGCAGCTCTGCTCTGCGCGAAATCGACGAAAAATCTTTACTGAAACATCGTGCGAACTGATTGATGGTATCAGCGGCCACAATTCACCACAGCATGCTGTGTCAGCTACGTCTACATTCTTCTAGACGCTAGTTTTGCTACTGTAATTAACTCTATCCCATCTTTCTAGTCGCTATTTATTCCTGGGTTCTGGTTTAGTTTGCTTCGCCGAAGAGGGAGGACAAAGTGCGGACGGACAGAACACCGTGCGAAATGAAAACTAAACGACGAAGGGAGTTGACCAAAGGAGCATGAAAACGAAGATATGAAGATGACATATACATATGTATATATATATAGTTTTATCTATGAATCAATCTGTCTATCTATCTATCTATCTATCTGTCTGTCTGTCTGTCTGTCTATCTGTCCGTCTATCTATCTATCCATCTATCTATCGACCTATTTATCTATACATGCACCTGCCACACTGCACCTGCATATACTCATGTGGCAGTTGTTTTAAAGAACATTCAATGTACCTGCACCGACGCACCTGCACCTAAACGCCTGCGTTAATAAGATATATTAATATTTGCATACCTCCATGTACACCTGTGTATCTCGTTTTGTAGAGGCACAAGTTGAAATTTGTCAAAAATGAAAAGTTATGATGTTGTCAGTTTTGCTGTTGTTGATGATGCTGATGATGTGGGCATGGTCGATGACAAGAAAAGGTGATCATGATGAAACTGATGGCGATGATGATGTTGTTGATGATGATGATGGTGCTGTGATTATGTTGTTGTGACGGTGTTGTGCTCATGGTGATACGAGAAGATAGTGATGTATGTTGGCAACAACTTTTTCCAGGTCCTTTCGGGAATTGGTTGCCCCCTTCGTGCTGGTGTCTTGGTGGTCTGTCAATTTTGTTTCGGTGGGGGAAAAAAATGGCACGTTTTTGGTCGCTGAAACGAAGCCGGTGATGAGTCCGGATTGATGACACAGACTCTTATGGCAGGGTTGTTCGGGGGTGTTAAGTTCATTCTGTTCCGAGGATTTGAAGCCAACTACATCTTGGTCCCAAAATCGGTTGTATGTATTATATTTGAATGTGTACACAATTTGAACCCATTCCCATGTGACTCAGGAGGACGAAGGCGGGCAACAAACAAAAAACCTGTGCGCTCTGGTTTTCATATCACAATGGTTTAATTGGATGTTCCCCTCCCCTCCAGTGAACTAATATAATTACGGAAAACCGCTGTGTTTAATAAGGAAATCATCTATTGTTATGTCAAATAAGGCGTTCAAAGCAGAAAACCATCGCTTTCCACCCATCCCCACATCCCAGTACCCACCGCACCCTACACACCCTACACCTGCGGCAAGCGTTTCAGCGCAGTCAGCACTGCCGCAATCTGCTCAGCAGCGTCCACCCGCTGTTGGATACGAACCTCGCAGGTGGACAATGGGGTGTCGCAGATGTGTGTCCAGAATATATCATCATATTGGTTATATACCAGTAGTACCGCACAAGGCGGCGGCGGAAGTTTCAAAAATAGGAAATCTATAGGAGAGGTTGGTTGTTGTGAATCACATATGGCAGAGCGTATCCACTGATGGACCGACAGGTGATTGGAGTTGTGTTTTTTGGAATGGTTGCAATGGTTGCAGCGGTCACCTTACCACAACTGCTGGATGTAGTGTGGTGTAGTGGGTGTAGTTGCAGTTGTAGCTGTAGTTGTAGTGTAGTGTAGTGGAGCTGTAGCTGTAATGTAGTGTAATTAGTGCATTTGCAAGCGCGGTTCAGTTGTAGCCGTGGTGTGGTGTAATTAGTGTAGTGTAGTGCAGCATAATGTCGTGTAGTGTTGTGTAGTGTAGTGTGGCATAGTGTAGTGTAGTCTATCTAGTGTAAGGTAGTGTAGTTGTAGTTGTGATGTAGTGCAGTGGAATTAGTGTAGTGTAGCTGTAGTTATAATGTAGTGCAGTGTAATTAGTGTAGTGTCGTGTAATGTAGTGTAGTGTAGTGTAGTGTAATGTCATGTGGTGGTAGTGGTAGTTGTGGCCGTCTATCTGTCTATCTGTCTATCTATCTATCTATCTATCTCTCTCTCTCTCTCGATCTACCTATCTATCTATCTATCTGATCTGATCTGATCTGATCTGATCTGATCTGATCTGATCTATCGATCTATCTACCTATCTATCTATCTACCTATCTACCTATCTACCTATCTACCTATCTACCTATCTACCTATCTATCTATCTATCTGATCTGATGTGACCTGACCTGACCTGACCTGATCTGATCTGATCTGATCTATCTCTCTATATCTACCTACCTACCTACCTACCTACCTACCTACCTACCTACCTACCTACCTACCTACCTACCTACCTACCTACCTACCTCTCTCTCTCTCTCTCTTTCTGTCTGTCTGTCTATCTGTCTATCTGGCTTGAAACGAAGCTATTCTGCGAGACTTCCTTAATTTTTGAACTTGGCAACATCAACAACGCAGCAATTCAGGGCGACTTCCTCAATGTTTGAACTTGATAACGTCAAAAAAGAAGCAATTCTGCGGGACTTCTTCATTTTTGGAAGTTGACAACATCAAAAACGAAAGAATTCTGCGAGACATCCTTCAAAAATAGAAAGTTGAGTGCAGATCTGACGGCCTCGTACCAATGCGTTTTGCGATATTTCCAGTCCACCTGTCTAAAGTACTGCGCCTGCCACGAAAAAGTGATGCCAGGTCATACGAAGTGCTGCACCTGTCACGCAAAATCATCTCAGCAAACCTGAAGATCTGATGCTCCAAAATGCAACCCCTCTCAGGAAAATCAGCGCCCGGACCTCCTAACAGCTCTGATGAACATGTCTCTTGTACTGCGCCTGCCACGGAAAATGCATCTTTGCAGACCCTCTTCAAATGTCCCACGCCTGCCATCGCTTTTCGAAATACTACAAAACCCCCACGTTTTGCTCACGTCTGACAAGGTGCACAATCCCTTGCGCCTGCCGCGCGAAACGACATCTGAACGTCCAAAAGTGGTCCGAACCCTGGTGTTTTTAACCTTTTGACTTGGAAATGTGCTTCGCGCCACAACGGCGTGCACTTTCTCGACATCTCAACTTCCAAAAGTGGTCCGGGCTCTGGTGCGTTTTGTGCATTTTGACTTCGAAATGTGCTTCGCGCCACAAGGGCGTGCACTTTTTCGACATCTCAACTTCCAAAAGTGGTCCGGACCAGGTGCGTTTTGTGCATTTTGACTTCGAAATGTGCTTCGCGCCACAAGGGCGTGCACTTTTTCGACATCTCAACTTCCAAAAGTGGTCCGAGCATGGTGTGTTTTAAATTTTGACTTCGAAGTGTGCTTCGCGCCACAACGGCGTGCACTTTTTCGACATCTTAACTTCCAAAAGTGGTCCGAACCTGGTGTTTTATGCGTTTTGGCTTGGAAATGTGCTTCGTGCCACAACGGCGTCCACTTTTTCGACATCTCAAATGTGCACTCCGCACCCGCCGCTTTAGCGAGCCTACTTTTCGACCTTCTGGAGCCACAAATCATTGGAAAAACAGAGTGTTTCGCGACTTGCCTACCTTTTCGCGCACCTGCATCTTCTTTCTTCTGACTCTTTCTCTTCTCTGATCTTCTCTCCTTCTGCTCTTCTCTTCTCTATTCTTCTGCTCCACCTCTGCTTTTGATCTGTCCATATTGTCGGAAGTTTGACTTCTAAAATTCCTTCGAATATACAGTATTTGGAAAATGATCATCAACCATCAACTTAGGTAGTACATACCCAAAGTGTTGGATATTTTTTGGTGAAACATCTATAAATGGCTTGGACTTAAATTTTGGTGCAAAAAAACGCAATGATCGCGAAATAGGTTCAACTGCATATCATTTCCATTTTCCTGATTGCTTTACACTTTTTCAAACCTGGGATCCTGTACTGCCAAAGCTGTGGGGATCACATACCTTTTTTTTGGTGCAAGGTCAAGGGCAAAATCGGAACTCGAAACAACCAGAAAAACTGGCCAAACCTTGATATCACCAAAGACCTTGCAAGGCCTGACTCGCCGGTCACCCTTTCTGACAAACCCACGTCCATGCTTCTTCATCGGTGAATCCCTACGTGTAATATCAATCCTCATTTTTGCTGAATAGCTAAATTCTCATTTATGCCAGTGAATTCCTTTATTTCCTCTGATTCATGAATCATTGGTTTTACCTCTCAAATGCAACAGGTTCAATGACTCATGGTTAATCAACAAAATCCTCGATTGGTCAGGGATAATTAATCATCGGTTTTACATGGTTTTACCATGTTTTACCCATCATTTGAATCATTTGGTTCAATAAGCATTGCTTAATCGGCAAACTCCCCCCGGCCCGTGTGACATTGGGAACAAAATGCTACAGGACGGCCCAGCGACTGAGGTGTATCGACCGCCCATCCGACTTTGAACGGACAGGGCCTCCGAGGCCATTGGGTAATAACTCCATTAAACCTCATTAACTCCATTATATATACCTTATTGGGTATCAATTATATAAGCCAACTTCATATGGAATTTGCCATAATGGGTGATAGTAGTCCTTCTTTAGCTACAGACAGATCGTATGGACGCTGCTCAAGCAAGTAAGGGTCCCAAAAAATGGAAAAAGACCGAAAATGTGGATCAGGATAGAAAAACTGAAAATTGCCAACTGAACTAAGGCTTTAAGATCTAAACAACAACATTGAGATCATAAATTATAACCAGTGTATACCAGTGTATACCAGTGTATAACCATCATGATTCTCAAATGAATCTGACAACCCAAGTACAAACATGGGATGAAGCTGGCAATTGGGGGATCATCCAATTTCGGTTCCAAGTTGTGGCCCTCAGATGGATTCACCATCCTGGAAGCCTGTTGGTACCCTGTCGATCTTTACGGAGCTGGCACTTCTTGTGTTTTTTTGCGGACCCCACGTGGCCATACCTATGGCACGTAAAAACATCATGGGGGATGTACCCTCTGGTAAACGTTTACATAACTATGGAAAATCACCATTTTCAATGGGAAAATCCACTATTTCTATGGCCATTTTCAATAGCTATGTTAGTCATTACCAGAGGGTATTGGGGATACAATGGGACTCAAAATCATGTTTCGATGACCGATCACTTCATCTTATCCGAGTCTTTACCCCAAGCACACTGCTGCACACTCCTTTGCTTGGTCCACTGCCAAATCCTTTGTGTTGAAATTTGGCAGCCCAACAAATCACCCTCGGTGATACTAGCGGTCGTTAAGAACTAACATTGGAAGTGTGATCAAGAATGTCCCCAGCCACGGATTTGAGGATTATACCTACTTTTTCCGAGTCTTTCACCCTTGCTGTGTTATATACCCGAAGTACTGAATTCCGTGTGTAAATTTCAAGTTACAATACACTCCAGTAAACTACCATAGAGACGGAAAATCCACCAGTTGTAGATAATTTCAATCATGTCCAAACAGGAAGCGCATGGAATTTCGTCACTGTGTTAGTTCGCTCGCCGTGGGTACGCCCTCTGTGAGAACCTCCGCAGCAAGTTGACTGTCCGTGTTTGCTTGCACAGCCTCCTCCACCTGCTGTTGGGCAAGTCGCGGTTTGTCCAACAGGTTTTCCGGGCAAAGTAAAGGGTCTTTAAATTTGGGTTCCATATATGCTACAAATGTGGTGTACATCAAGCATCATTAATACAAGTTACACCCATACTAGATCTCTATACGCTTCAGCAACAATGGAACTGGGAGCCGGCAAGGACGGGGTAAGGGGAGGAAAAATATCAACCTGGAAGGCTAAAGGGGAAAAAAAACACGTGGGGAAAAAATAACAGATCGAAAAACAAAAAATGTACCTTTTTGGCTTGTTGATTTGCTTGTTGATTTGCTTGTTGATTTGCTTGTTGGTTTGTTGCAACCTGTTTTGTTTTTGTTTTGTTTTTTGTTTGCGTTTTTTGGGACACGCAAGGGACATCAGCCAGGTTGCTTTGGGACACTTAACGTTACTTATTTATACTTATTTGCTAGTGTGGGAAACCCAATAACAAGTCGCAATTGGGTATGATTCTGTATGACTTGTTTAAAAAGTTTTAAGAACAACAACAACAACAACAACAACATGAACCCAACTGGTCTCTCATGGTGTATTTGGTTCTTGGTTTCAACCCATTCAAAAGATAACAAGTCCATTGCAATTATCCCCCAATAGGTTGGAAATCAGAAAAACTACGAACCAGCTATGTACACGGTTTGGTTAAACAAACATGATGTCTGCATGTGACTGTGAATTTGTACACCCATACCTCAAAATGTGATGTATGTATGTTTAGCAGAGCACGTACATTCGCGCGCAAAAGATGCGGGAAAGTGTTTCCAGGATGGTTGTTCACGATGTGTTCCAGGAATATTTTCCAAGTGTCCCACTTTTCTATCCATGACTTGGGGTAGCTATACAGCCACTATCACATGTTGCTTGGTTTATTCTCTATTCACCTTGCCACCTTGCCTCGCCATGGCTCCCCAAAAAACCACCTGAAGCCTGGCACCTGTGACAGGAACTGCGCCCGCTCGGTGTCACTGAAGGTCTTGCCCACCACCTGTCAAAAAAAGTCCTGATCTTGAAGCTGAAATCACTTGATTCTTGATTTCATCAGACATTATTTCAGCGACATTCAGGGATCTTGAATAATTTTTTCAGTGGGGGTTGTAGTCCAATTCCCCACTTCCCCACGCCCCCTACTAAGCACCGTTCAAGCTTCAGTCGGCTTGAGGTCGGTTTAGTTTGCTGAGAAAAAATTTGAAATAGGATTTGTTTAAGGTATATACCAACAAGACTGGTGGTACAACTGATGGTGACAATGACGATCATGACGATCATGACGGTCATGACGGTCATGACGATCATGATGATGATGATGATGATGATGATGATGGTGGTGATGATGATGATGATGACGACGACGACAATGATGACAATGACAATGACAATGGTGACAACAATGCTGATGACGAAATCCGAAGATTGCGACGCAGGGAAATGTTACTGGAACCTCTTGGTTCTTCCCGCCATATTTAGGGACGTCTATTGAATGCCCATCAATTGACTTTTATCTCGATGGATTTCAAAATGAGCGCCAAGGAGAACTACATCGGTTTGGTGGAAAGCCTAGTCCTGGAGAACTCATTTCGCCCAGCTGGTGTTCTGCTCCTAAACAATCCAAGCTCTTGTGCTTAGGTGTGTCCACAATATACCGCAATATGGCCAGGTTTATCCATTTTTCGTTTCCTTTTTACAACAGTCAACGAATTTGGGGGACCAATGGCTCTGCTAAATGGTACTAAACCATCCATGCCAGGGGATCAACAATTTTGCGCGGAAACCCTTGAGCCTGGAAAACGTGCTCTGTCGGAAAAGAAGTCAGCGCACCGGTAATGGCACCCACCCCGTGCTCAGTGTCGGGAACGCCCTGGGAATGTGACCAATTTTTTCACCAGCTTTCAGAAAAGATGCACCACATAGGTGTGTCTGAAAGTGGAGTATAGTCACTTTCAAATTATTCCAAAGACCAAATCCAACAAAACATTGCAATTCCTATGCGTTTTACTAAAAAGGCACGACTTTTCAAATCAAGTGCTCCCCAGCTATTTACGATGATTTCCAAATTTTAGGCACGACTTTAGCATTCCACTGTAATGAGGAAATGATGATAAGCCAGTTGATTTAGGGATACCCTATATTTTCAGACACATATATATATATACAGTATATATATATTCTCATCTTCACTGAGATTTCGGTCAGAACCACGCAACCACAACCGTGATCCATCGGATTGCTGCCGTTTCGGTCTTGTCATCTAATCCATCAACAAATTGTGGTTGTTTTTTAAAACCGAATGGTACCATATCTACAAACAAGAATCGCAACTTCGTCGGAACACATGATTGTAGCTCACAAATAAGAACTAACCCATTTTGTGTCTAGAATCTAGAGTAGAATTGCGGAGTCATTCCACCAGTATAGCCCCTTGCACAGAATATCGGCAGCTCAAAATCTGACATGTTCATGAAGTTTTCTCCTCTCGTTTTGGATTTGTCCTTTCCAGGAAACAATGGAAAGGTAAGAACAACTAACAAACCAGTTGTGCTTTAGTGGCAACCGGATATCTTCAGTTTCGAATCTTTGTCCCGCAGATGCGCCTCGGGCACTTTGTACAGGCCTTGATGAGCCCTGGAAAGCTGAGTCCAAAGTGGAAATTTAGGTACTGGTGCCCTCCTCATAATGTCAACATCGGATCATTCTGAAGAGAATAACTAATTTTTGGGGTGAGGCTGCCCGAAATAATCAACCATAATCCGGAGTTAATATTTCCTAGCTATACCATGCTATACTAGTATTTGTCAAGGGTTTCCTTGGGTGGATGTTTTCTGGCCAATCTCACTTTGACTCACTTCCATGTGTGCGTTGCTCTTCCCAGGATTCCCAATCTAGATCCAGTTTCCGGTGTTTGTTTGGTAGCCGAAGCAAAGGCGATGGGCGAACTAGATTTTCAAAATGTCAGACTTTCTAAACATGTTAGACGCTGAAGTCATGTGGTATACCATGGTATACCTAGTAATTCACCCCTCATTGGTTTGGGGGATGGGTATACAACCAAATTCTAGCCATATTTGGATGGTGGATTTTTGGGTTTGCCACACTATACCATAGATACCATAGCGTTTCTAAACAACGTTTCTGCAAAGCATCCCGCACCGTGGCCCAGTACCTGGATACTGTGTTGACCCGTTGCAGCACATCTTCCGACATAGCTTCGGCCTGGACAACCGCAGGGTCGAAATCAAGAAATCCATTCCTGCCATGTATTTGGGATGTGATCATGGAACACACCAAAAAAACATCACGCCCAATCAACCACCGGTGCGCCATGTCACTCCGCAAACGTGTTTGACCAATCTTCACAGACTGGACCCTCAAGTCCGGAGACAGGTTTCGCCTTACAAGAATTGGTTCAAAATCCACGTCACAATATTCTTAGGAAATGCAAACAAACCTGAAAAAACATTTCTGCGCACAATGTGTTTTTCGTGCAAGTTTCAAAACCTGTATGGACAATCATACACCACTGGTCTGAAGGTGATATTTGGGACATGCATGCGCCCTGAATACCTCCACCGTCTTGATGCCTTCTTGGAAACAAAAATACGAGCGCTGGACCCTTTGCAACACCGACATGAACTCACCCGCAAGGCACAACAGCGAACCAAAAAAAATCGCCCCACGAAATCCAGAAGTCACCCCGCCATCGGCAAATCACCATGGCACAACGTTGCCCAAAAGTTTGATCAGACTTTGTGATTTGGGTCTAGAATCTCGCCGTGCCTCTGCATTCTGTCAAATATATGTTCTGAAAAGCAGCGTGTTTTGATCAACCGGCCATTGGCACAACAGGTTTGACAATAAAACCCTTTGAAGTCCTTGGCATTTTTCTGTGTTTATTCATCCGGGGTTGCGTGAACTCTCCTTGCGACCTTCTATTACATTACACTCTAAGTTCAGACTGAAGCATACTGTGCGGAGCCCGTCAAAATAGTACATATACACATATTTACATGCATATGTTTATACGCACATTTTTACATATATGCAAACACATAATTTACATATGTCTACATGTTTACAAAAGAATATATATATACACACACATATACTTAAATATTTGCACATCCACAAATGTACACATACATTTACATCTGTATATACACATGCATACATACAAATATATATATATACAAGTCTACATATCCACAGATCGACATATATACACGCATACATATCTACATATACACATACTCACCAAAATGCAAAAATAAATATATACATATAAGTATATGAATATATATATATATACATACATACATATTTGCATGCATTTTTACATATATGTATATACATAACATACATAGATATATGTATATATACATATACACACATATACACATATACATACACATACATGCATATACATACCTATACATACATATACATACATATACATACATATACATACATATACATACATATACATACATATACATACATACATATATATATATATATGCAAATATATATATATGCATAAATATATACATAAATATATACATAAATATATACATAAATATATACATAAATATATACATACAAACAAATATACATATATATATATATCTTTCTATATATACATAGATATTTACATGCATACATATATATATATAAATATACACATATTTATATATATATATACAAATATAGATGTATATACAAATATATATATATATACATATATATATATACATACAAATATATATATATATATATACAAATATATATAAATATATACAAAAATATACGTGTATATTTATACATATATACATATACATGTATATATATACATATATACATATATATATATATACATATACATATATATACATATATACATATATGTATATACATATTTATATATATACATATTTATATATATATACAAATATATATATACATATATATATACA